GGGCTGGGAGGAACGAATCGGAAGGTCGGTCCAGGGATGGTCTCAGCACTACTTTCACTTTTTCCTTCTCAGCTCCGCGCCGCCAGCGCATTATCGTGGGTATATTGGATTGGAGCCGGTTTCTGCGTGCGGAGGCCGATCCGGTCGCAGGCCAGACCACCCCCACCCTCGCCAAGTCTGCTCACTGGAGTCTCTCTCTCCTGCACGGGAATTATCTGCGCAAGCTCCGTCGGACCTGCTTTTGATTGGCCTTAATGTCAAACAGCACTCCCGTCGGTCATTTATCGAACGCATCAAGGCATCGTGCTTACTGCCATCTGCCTTTTTCTTCTCCATCAAAAAAAATTTATGCGCGCAGCAACTTTTTCCAGATTGAAAGGGGGAGAGAATCCCGCTATGCCTGGGTCTGCGTCGGACTTCCCATAAATGCTTAGCTGAGGCTCCGTTTAAGCTTATTTTGAGCCCTGCGCCTTCACCATTCTTTCTTTCTTTTTTTTTTTGCCACCCCTTTCAACCGACCATCTTCGAAGCTTCACCTAGGACCTTATGGTTGATTGCTTTACTTTTGCTTCGTGAAAGCGCACGCCTCGGCCGACGACAAAGACCGTTCAAACGATAACATGCCTGGTACATTTGCTTGGTCATCTCGCACAACGCATGTATGTACGTACACCCCACGTCGGGATGTTCGCCGCGTTTGTGGGCGCGTTCGCCGGAACGCTAGCACTGGGTGGTACCATGCGGCACTCGCGAGGGCCTGGCCGAGCATGGCCGAGGGCCTGGCCGAGCATGGCCGAGGGCCATCCCGGCGAGGTTGCATGGAAGTTGCGGTACGTGGCGACGCGGGGCTTCCGCGCCCGGAGGCAGTCTTGATGCTTGCTACGTCATTTCATCCCGGGCTTGAAGCCCTCGAGTCTTGTTAGTGTCGGATAAGGAGCGTGCTCGATTGGCTTTGTGATTTCGTGGGCCGTAACCGAAAACGTGGTTGGATAGACTACCGCTAGCGGGTGGCGGCGGCGGCGGCTGCGAACGTGACGAATGACGGCTGTGCTTCTATAGTAGAGGTATAGTGTCGTTGCCAATCGATTAGGGGTGGGTGCTGCGGAGGATGGTGTCGCGCACGAGCGAGCGCGCTACCTTTTTTGGAAATAACGTTGGAGGATTCGCACGCTAATAAGAGATATTCCGTCATAGCTCCCCGTTCAAATAATGAGTCCCATCTCCCATCGTAGCCGGGACCTAGGCTCATCAGCCGCTAGAGCGACTATTAAGACATGTTAGTCAACCTACACTTACTGCGAGGCTCGCGTACTTCCCCGTGCGAAATAGATGCGCGCACAGAACCTCATGCAGATAAAAGGAAGAGCGGGTGATCGATGGAGGAAGAGATGGGGCTGGCAAACTGTATGCTTGAGCGGTCGAGGGCGGACTTAACTGAGCCCAATAAGGCTGCTACCATGATGATGATGAACGAAGAAAAGACTTTCAGCAGGGACCCAGATGGTCAAGCGAACCTCGGCCACGTCCACCGAATATTCTATGCATTGGTCGCCAGTGGTATCAGTCCATGATCGCCTTCGCCAATATCATTAACATTGGAACATTACGCGAAATGGACGGTCGAACCGAGAGGCACGACGGAGCATACAATACTGCTACGCCACACCGTTGTCACCAGGGGAGAGGACGTGTTCATTGCGATCATCATGTTGAGGGGTGATATTTCCACTCCAGAAAATCGGCACTCATTTCGTCGGATGGTTAGTTGGTGGCGAAGCCGATCGCATTCAATCGATGTTCGCAGGCTAGGACTAAAGCCGGTTCGCGCTCATTACCCGAGAACCTACGACTTCACCCCAGAGTTTCCCTGAAAGTTGCACGGGCTCCGAACACAATGCTTCATCGCACAGAATAGGTTTCTGGAACAGCTTTACCGCTCACGGCCCGCAAACAGAAACCGTGTACATGAGGACGAGCCTTGGCCAGGATCGTTGGATGGTTTAGCGGCGACAAGAAACACTGCAGGGGAAAAGGGGCATCCTGAGCTCAGCGTGGATACTACAAGGTGACTGAGTCACATTCAGTATTCTCCGTTAGGAAACAGGCAAGATGCGGATCTGAGACAGGGGCAGGTTGCTGCAAATGTTGAAATCGCGCATTGGTTCGAACATGCCGTAGCCGATGGGCGGAAACTTTGAGCACATTGAGAACGTCAGAATGAATCGTACGAACAATGCAGACAAGGTGGGTTTCTAGAGGCAAGCAGAGACATCGGTTACATGCATGCATGGGTTGGTGCATTTGTATGGAGTCCAGGAGGCGTTCATCGCCCTGGACATCCTCGACAAAGGTCTCTGTTTGACGAATAAGCCAAAGACGTTATACCATAGTAGCAATGGAATGCAATGGCTTTTTCGTGGGTCAACGCAATGCCCCGCCGAAGTCGTTACCTGTCTCAACCATCCTTGTATTCTTCGTTCTCCGACAAACAACATGGCGACTAAGTCAAAATCGCGTCGCAACCACGGATACCTCACCAGAATGTCACAGCGAACATTGTCTCCTTCCATGTATCCTTCCGTATCGCGTGGCAGTGATTTGGCCATATCCTTCGCTTTGCTGAGACGATGAACTGGGATACAGTTAACTTGGCGAGCCGACACCGGCCGGTGAGGCAGTCTAGAGCAGTGCGGACAGCAGTGCGGTAAAGCTCCAACGCCAGGGGTGGCGACTGAAGGCTCTCTCAATCGCGCTTAGACACTGCGAGCAATTCGTTCCAAGTAACCTCGTGTCTCAGCCAGTGTGTCTCGGTCTTTCATCGTTATGCCCAGACACGATTCGGCACCGATATCGTTCACTCGGTAGTGCTGTTATGATATGTGGAGAGCAGTGCAAGCTCGTCCTGCGAGTCGAAGAGGCGTTGAAGGTAGCGTCACCTGTGAGGATGGAGCGGTCAGCCAGCTTGTAGCGTCTTGAGCGACCGAATTGTCGCAGATAGAGTGCGTGTCGTTGAGGCAATTTTTGCACGGCTCGGAGTACTTGCTGCTAAGTAAACGTCTTCGCTTCTCTCGCTGATGCTCTTGTGCTGGTTCTGAAGCTGCTGCTCGCTGTTGCTGTCGCTGTTGACTGAGGTCATCGGAGGTTGTTTCCATGCTGATGTGACGGCATTTGTCGGACGGAGCGATCAGAGGCTCAGAGCAAGTGACGGCCGGTCGAGCAAAGTGTAGGTCAGCGTGACGCGGGACTGTCTCAGTAGTGGCGGAAGGGCGGGGATGGAGTTTTGTCGAACGCGCATTAGCGGTTGGAGCTGACGGAGGGAGAGGTCCAGATTATCGGCACAGGGGAGGAAGTGCTTTAGAATGTCAGAGATGGACAGGCGCTTACCGGTGACCTCGGCGTTGAAAGCCCTCACCACCCAGCTTTGCCATGCGAGCGATGATGGTTTCTTCATCTTTGGCCGCGCAAGTGAAGATCATGACGGCGCACTTGTGGGAAAGCTGCGCAAGCTCGACAGATGTGCCGAGGAATGGTCGGCCGCCGCCGCTGTTGCTGCCAGCGCGAACGATGGTGCTGGCAAGGTCGCTGGAGCGCTGTCTTGCGTGTTGGTAGGTGTTGAAGGCTCACCTGCTGCCTCTGGCTGTGCATGTTGGAGCGGATGAGAGGACACCCGGGTCATTTGCTTCACGGAGGTCGCCGCAAGCATGCTCACAGGCTCCTAGGCACTGTTCTACAGCTGTCGCCTCCTGCTGCAGGTGCGACTTTGCAGCTGCTTGCGCATCCTTGAGGTACTCTACATAGTCTTCTCGATAGTATGCTGTTGGCTTGCGACGAGCGCATGCTGCGATGGCTGGCAGCACATGGTGGTGCCTCCCTTGACTCACCCTCCATTATTACCTCCAACCAAAGCCGTCGCGGTGGCGGTGGATGACGTGCGTGGCCCCTTCCCACAAAGCTCCTCTGCGCCTGCCTCCGGTACACTGAGCCTGCCTCCGTTACCCGCAGCATGCAGCACGATTGGCCCAAGCCTGTTGCCCCCCGAACGGCGACCACTCCCTTTCCGGTTAGCTCCCGGAACCGATCAGCTGCCACTCTCGCCGAAAAACTTATATAAACCCCTCTTCCCTTCGCCCCCAAGCTCTTCTTTTCTTCTTCAGCTCTCTTTGCCTTTTGGCTTAGATCAAGTGTAGTACCTGTTCTTTTTAGATTAATCTCTAGAACGCCCCTACGGGGGTAGACTACTTTGCTTGTTTTTGGAAACGGGTCGGTGGCCGCTGAGCTCCGCTCATGTCACTGATCACAGTGTCGCTCGTATTGCACTGCTTCGGGCTGATGCGAACCATCTTTTTCGTTGAGCGACCTGGCTTGAACAGGTCCTTGAGGAAGGAGAACGAGCAGGAGCAGCAGCAGCAGCAGCAGGAGCAGCAGCAGCAGTAGTTGAGGCTCAAGCACAGCGCGCAATGGCGGCGTAGGCATGCCCGACCGTTCGACTACTTCGTTCGCCGCGACCGCGCCGGCCTGAACCCCCCAGAATCTGCTCCGACTCTCATACCAGCCGCGCTGTCGCCAACCGAGCCTTTGGAGCTCACCGAATCCCTCCCCAAGCTCTGCGGCGACAACCATCTACTCCTCACCCAGCTCGTTGCGCGCAGGGGTCCTCAGCTCACAGCTAAAGTGGTCGCTCAGAGGCCTCCGCGCTCGAGATGATGATCCAAGTCGAACCTCTTCAGGTGCGAGGCACCCTGTCAAGTGTCAAGCTCCCTCCAATGATGCCGTCATTCTGGTACATTTTCCCACTCCGCGCTCGAGCAAATTCTGCTGGCAGCTGGTCATGGAAGGCGGCAGCGCTCCCATTTTCGCCAGTACTCGCAGTTCCGCCGCCTTCGGTACGGGAGCGCACAAACCAAACTCGCATTTTGGACCAGTCTTCCTGCCGTAGCAGGAGCGGGACGAGAGTATGGCAGCGGTCGGAAGCTCTGGCAATAGCACCGCCACCAAAGCTACCGCGCACCGCTGGGAGTACGTCTTCCCACCATGAGACACAACACTCGGCAGTGAGCTGTATCTGAGGCTGACCGAGAGTAACACGAACAGAAACACCAGCATTCCTCGTGGCCCTCACTGGCCAGTTCGCCCGCACCCCCCGCCTCGAGGACGACGACGCGTCCGCTGCCAAACCCATCGATTAGCCGGCTCTGTCTGCGTACGGCGTGGGACTCGCCGGCCACCGTCGATCTTGGACATTCACGAGCGCAAAAAGAGCCTTCGCAGCGCACCACGCAAGCTCTAGGCACAGGCACATCATACCAGGCGGCACTATCTGGCTGCCAACCCCATACATGGGCATCACGGGCTCCAAGAAAGCTTACGGTCTGGTGTCGGGCTCACCTATGCCTAATGGCGTTCATGGCTGACCGAGCAGAGCGCTGGACTGACTCAGAATGCCAGGACACATCCATCTGGAACATTGGTGGCGCGCTGGACGGATACCTCATTGTGGAGAGTCGGCGCACTGAGTAGCAGACCAGTTATTTGGTTCGCATTGTGACGACTGACGACAGCGCCAGCAGTAGCGGATTCGCCTCTTCCTCTGGAGACAAACGGATCGCAAGTACAAACATCAAACTTAACTGGCCAGTACCGAGTCTCGTTGATATAACCTTAGGGCTGCTGACGGAGCGACTCGCTTTGCTCCAGATCTGGTCGACCTCAGCGCCAATGAGCAGCCGAAGCTACCTGCCTCGCAGTGGGCAGCACTTCTAACACCTTGCGGACATATTACAAGAAGAGTGAGGGTCTGGCCACCTATCGCGTGGCTGTTGCAGTCCACCTTTGCTTGTGCTTCGAGTGGCTCATGGAACACAGGTCAGACCACCCACAGCGGCATATTGCGGAAATGGCTATGTCTATCGTTCAAGTAGCGCCGCATGATTAACATACCTGCCGTGGTTTGATACCATTGTAGATGCTGGCAATAATGAAGAAATTTGGCGATCAGGGCACAATGTCGACAGGCAGAATCTCTCTGTTTGAAATTGCATTGCTGTAGTGCTGGAGGGGCGGCCGATGGATGTGTTGGCGTGCGGTCGCGAAGATACTATCAGCGCTCCAAGGAATCTACACCGAAGGAATCAAAACAAGCGAAATGGATACAAGCAGCACCATGCTTCCATAAAAGTGAAGCTGGGAGAAGGTTGTGGAAGCGTAGCCGCTATAATGTGGATAGGTATTTACATACCTGTGTACATTGTATATCGATCCTCACCGCTATTTGCTTTCTTTCAGCCCCCACTTATTGTGACTTGGCCACTGCCAGTTTCTCCTTTGCCCCCACCGCCATTCAACGGAAACAACTCAGCCGTGGCACAGCCTCGCTATTTTCATCGCCGTTTGTAGGTACGCTGTCGAATCAAGTTTCAGATCTCACCTTTTGAGGCTTGGGATCCTCCAGGCAGCAAGCATTCATGAAAAACCAGCATGCAGCTATCTCGTACCTTTAATAGCCCTCTACATCCAGCTACTGTTGTTCAGCTATCTCTCTCGTAACCGACTTTTCCTTCCAGCTCCGCAATGGACGTCTCCGGGGCTTCTCTTTATTATTTCGACCGCAACACCGCCCTTGCATATATCATCTCTTTCGCAATTCTGGTTTCGAGTGCCGTGGTCCTGGGATCCCTATGGCGCAAACCTCAATTAGAGAGGCGTCAGAACCTCTCCTTGCCACAACGGACGAAGGATCTGACATGGCGTCTTCTCATCACTCCTTCGCCGGCAATGCTGCCAGCACCCCTTACCAGTGGTGCACTTCGGATTGCATTGGAGAAGAAGTTGGGGCTGTCCTTGTTGGATTCAAAGCTCGTGCTCGCGCCGGAGAGCGACCGATACTGCGCAACACTCTCGATGAAATGTCAACAGTCGCCCTTTGAGCTTGGACAACCCTTTGATTTGGAGATAGACATTGGCGATTGCTCGCAAATATCAGCCAAGTATGCTCGTTCTCAACGCCATGGTAGCCACTCTTGCTTATGTTCGCGCGTACAGTGTGACACCGGACAACACCTTCATTCGCATGACTACGCTGTACGATGGCACGCAAGGTAACAAATACGCCAATCAGGCTGAAGCCGTAGAGTAGGTCAAAACTTTGGAGCCTCGAGTAAAGTGTTGGATCTAAACATGGTCCAGTTTCATCGTGGTTCCAGGCCTTTCCAGCCATGCATTCGGCTCGTTCAAATCTCCCCGCGACGCCACTGAAAACTGGCTGCGAGACTACCTCCCTACCACCCTGCCCAATATCCGTGTCCTTGTTTACGGATATGATTCTCATCTTCTCACACATGAGGGCAAAGAATCAATCGTAGACCATGCCAAAGGACTGCTTGACTCCATCCGTTCGCATCGTCAGGATCCACAGGTATGCACATACAGCTACCCCGATCTTCACAGTCGCGGTGGCTAACGCATCGAAGACGGCACATCGGCCTTTCATATTTCTTGGACACAGCTTGGGGGGCTTGGTGATCAAACAAGTACGTGGCGCAACTCGCTTGATCAGCATCGACTGTTACTTACAAGCCGGCAACCCAGGCTTTGACCACACTGAGCTGCGAGATAGGCCGGAATAAACAGGACGAACAGCTGTTCAAGGCTTGCTATGGGCTTCTATTCTTCGGTGTGCCCAACCTTGGGCTTCGCCACGAAGAATTGCTCGGGGCGGTTATTGGCAAAATGCCGTCCGAAAACCTTATTCGGGACTTGATCGTGACGAAGGAATCCGAACCATCAGCCTTCCTGACTGCGCTGTCGGAGAGCTTTGTGACTTGCTGCAAGCTGCAGGAGTTCAAGGTTGTTGCATTTTATGAGACATTGAACAGCAATACGCTTGAGGTTGGGCCATCTATGCTATGAGCGTTGTTGGATACAGAGTGCTGACAGTCCAGCAGCAGAACCCTGACGGTAGGTGGGCCAGATCTGGCCCAAAAAAGCTCATGGTCACCAAAGCGTCCGCCACTTGGATCCACGGGCAAGCCAACTCTCGTAAAGAGATTCCGCTTAGCACCGACCATTCCGGCTTGGTGAAGTTTACTGGAAGAAGCGACCCCCAGTATACCGATTCGGTGAAGTTCCATATCGAAGAGATGGTGAAAGCTGCGCCTTCGACAATCAACGAACGCTTTTCCCGCATGCACGGTACGTGATTGTCTCTTTGTAGTTGATAGCAACATAGACTCATAGCTACAGGGCTTTCATCGGACCAACGTGCCGTACTGGACAGCCTGAGGCTGGATCCGGTTCACGAGATACGCGACGGAAAGATTGACGATCCTTGCGCGGATACGCTTAAGTGGTTCTTCATCGATTCGCGGTTCCAATCGTGGCGCGACTCCCCAGAGGCACCTTGCTTTTGGGTCTACGGACCTCCCGGCCAAGGTAAATCCGTGCTCGCAAAGTCTCTGACGAGTCATCTCGAGAAATACGCGAGGACGCGTCCGGCGGAGAACATCGCAGTTCTCAGTTTCTTCTGCTACGGCCAAGGAGAGCAATCCCGCCGGCCTACAGACATCTTGCGGTCGCTGATCATTCAACTCATTGACTGCAAAGAGCTCTTCGACTACCTTCCGGAACGTTATCGTCAGGATCCCGCCACGTTTCGCGGATAATCCCTCAGTCGGCTGTGGGAGCATTTCTCGAAGATGGCATTGGACGACCGACACCAACGCATCTATTGTGTGGTCGATGCGTTCGACGAGTGCGACCAGAACGGCGACCAACGTTCCGATCTCTTGCGAAGACTTGTGAAACTGTTTTCGAAGGACAACAGCCGCTTGAAGCTCTTTATCACAAGCCGGCCTGGCGAGAGGGACATCGAGTTCCACTTGAGCTCCAAGTTCGTGCTCAAGTTCCCGTTGAACGCGCAGAATGCGGACCTCGATATTTATGTCAAGTCGAAAGTCGACGATCTTCCCGATTACCTGTTCACCGAGCAGCTCAGGGAGCAAGTCCAAAAGAAGATCTGTGCACAGGCCGGAGGCACGTTCTTGTGGGCCTCGCTCGTCATGAAGCAAATCGCGAAGCTGGAAGCGCCAAGTATGTACGAGGTCGAAAAGGTGTTTGAAGAAAGCCCCAGCGAATTGGATGATCTCTACTACAGGCTTGTTGCTAGGTTGACGGCGGTTCCGGTCTGCGCCAAGGTCTTGGCCTGGGTTGCGTATGCCAAAACGTGAGTAAAACATATCCATGGCTCGCAAGGAGGACAGAGCAGGACGGCGAAGACTAACAAGAGGAAACCCATAGACCACTTACGGTGGACGAACTGAGAGACGCCATAAACTTCGATCCCGGACAGCGCCAGTACAAGAGCTTGTCCGAAATGGCCAAATACAGGCCCACCATCACCGAGGAATGGATTCGCCAAAGTCTCGGGACACTCCTGAGCGTCCAGAAGAAGAATGCCCCCTTTTATCCCTTCTTAGAAAAAGACTGCGTGTTCTTCATCCACCAATCCGTCAAGGAATTCTTCCACCACCGCGCCGAGACCCCCCTCGACAGCTGCGGCGCCATCGGCGGCGTCGGCGTCGAGCCCGACACCTACCTCGCCCGCACCTGCCTGTTCTACCTCCACGCCGAAGAGTTCCGCGAAATCGGCCAAGTCTCGATGGCGGACTTCACCCGCTGGGTCCGCGAGGCCAGAGAGGGCGAGGCTTCCAAATTTCTCTTAAGATCACTCATTGACGAGTTCCCCAAGCTGTCCAATCCGCAGAGCTTCCCGTTCCTGGCGTACGCGAGTCAGAGCTGGTACAAGCACCTCAGGACGGAGGAGCAGGTGGAGGGCGAGTGGGACAAGGTCGAAGCCCTGCTCGACGACGAGCAGCCGTACCTGGCCGTGTGGATCCGGGGCCAGTGGGAGAGCGGGAAGTCGACGTTCCTCAAAGACTTGTATCGCGAGGATGGTCGGGGTGTGGGTGTACGGCCTACGCAGGTGGCGATCGAGCTCGACATTTGCTGGTTGACGCGGAGGATCCTTGACGGGCGGATCGCGGGCGAGGGATTCGGCCAGGAGCAGATTGTCGAGATGGCGCGGTTCGCTCCGGAGTCGTTCGAGTACCTGTGCGCCAACAGACAGGACATCCGCCTGCCGAAAGCCGTTCTCAGAGCACTTGGGAACGGTCATCATACTAAAAGAGGGATAGAAGTGCTACTGCGGACGCGCACAGCGGAGTTCGAGATTACGGAAGAGATGCTCGAGATTGCGGTGGCAGCGGACAACAGCAGCGAGGGGTGCGCCGACCTCGTCAAACTGCTCCTCGAGAAGAACAAAGCCCTTACCGTCGCGGACAAGTGTCTGCGGGAGGCGGCACGCAAGCCTCGGAGCGAGATCCTAGAGTTGATATTGCGCCGAAGGGGCGGAAAGGTGGACATTGTGGATGAACTTGTCATAATCGCGGCCGGTGAACACAGCGGCTACGAGGCGCTGAAGGTACTGCTGAAGTCCTTTGGAGATCGAATAACCATCACAAAAGATCTCCTCATCACGGCATTGTATTCCTGTAGTGTGGAGGTCTTTAGATATCTGGTCGAACAAGCTGGTCCCGAACTTAAAATCACCGAAGACATACTCGTGGCGGCTGAGGGAGTAGTCTACTTAACATCAAATGAGATGCTGGAGTTCCTCCTAGAAACGAAAGAGAGCGAAATCGTTTTCACACCCTGGGTTCTTCAGGCCTTTTTGGATCGATGCCAACCCAGGAGTGGGAAAAGTATGACGCTAATCTTCAATCAGGACAATTGCCCGGTCCAGATCACAGAGCAGGTCATTCTTTCCGCCATAGAGTGGAGCAAGGATACAGTTCCGGACGCATTGCGGTGGGGAGAGGAAGTTGTCGACATAATGGAACTTCTGCTCGTGCAGAAGCACCAAAAAATCCAGATGACGGAGGAACTCATGCAAGTTGCAGCCAAGAAGTTACCCCGCGAGCAAGAGATGAGATCAGCCGTGGCGATGATGCCTGCGCCAGTCGATATCACCGAGGGTATAGTAACAGCGGCGGCAGCAAATGAGGAATGCGGCCAAGCTATTCTCAGATTTCTTTTTCACTCGGCTTCTACCCCGGTCAAAATCACAGAAGGCGTATTGAACGCTGTTGTCAACAATCGACGGGAAGGAAAAAACATCCTAGAGTGGATGCTCCAGGAATACCCCGACCGAGTTGACATTACTCGAGGCGTCCTTTTCGAGGCCGTGCTCAACCCTAGGGAAAGATATCCCGTCTTCTCCCTTCTGATGGATCGCGGTCTTGTTCCAGAAGTTGACATGGAAGACCTGTTCCAGGCCTCGGTAATGACTTGGGCAGACAGCATGGAGATTTTCGGCCATGTCAAGCGAAAAATGGACCGCTACCCCAGCTTCTCCGGTCAGCAAGACGTGGAGAAACGCAACAAAGCGGCCATGGAGACCACCAAGCTCCTCTTCAAGCGCCTCGACACGGACCGCAAAAGGACGGAGGACCTCCTGATTTCCTCCGCCGGAGACAACGCGGCGTCTCTCATGCTCCCCTTAGTCTTTGACGACATGACAGTGGCTCCGCAAAGAGGCCACGAGTTCGTCAAGTTCCTAAAAGGCGCCGGCTTCTCTACCCACCTCCTCGCCGTCTCCAGCAGCAAGAACGCGGACTGGGCCAAGATCCTCGACGGCTTCTGCCGCATCGCCCACCAAACTATGGTGGTCCCCGACCGCACCCTGATCGACGCCGCAGCCAGCGACTGCGACCCTCCCGTCCTCCCCATCCTGATAGGCGACGGCAGTCCGTGCATGCAAAGCGCCGACCTGGCGCGCTCCATGCGCTTGGCCGCTGCGACGAACGGGCAGCTCGAGACGCTAAACCTCCTCTCAAAGCGCTCATACGGCAACGACGACGACGACGACAACCGCTCATCCCCTGACCGCGAACACGACCGCCTCGTCGCCGTTGCCCAGCTCTGCGCTGCATCCAAACGAGGCGACGATGGCACCGTCGTCCAACTCCTCACCAGCGCCGACCCACCGCCGCCCGATGTCCCCAGCCACCTCAATCGCGCTCCTCTCTGGCACGCCTGCGTCCGCGGCCACTTCTTCGTCGCGCGCGCGCTGCTGCGGCGTCAAACGCGGAGGAGGATGAGGGTGGACGTCGGGCGCGTGGACGGCATGGGGCGGACGCCGCTGCACTGGGCGGCGGCGCTGGACCACTGGCGCATCGTGGGGCTGCTGCTCGAACACGGGGCGGACCCGTACGGCAGGGATCGGTTGGGGAAGACGCCGTTGGGGTTGGCGAAAGAGTGTTCTGCGGATAAGGCGGAGTGTGCGCTGTCGTGGTTTGAGGAGGAGTGGTTGCTGTCGTGGGTTGAGGAGAGGGGTGTGTTGAATTACCGGATGATTGTTGTTGGTGGTGGTGGTGTATGGACGCCGCTGCATATAGCCGCGCGCGGTGGGCGGGCGGCGATGGTCGAGATGCTGCTCATGAGGGGCGACGACGCGGGGGCTGCAACTGCAACGCGGGAGACGCCGCTGCATCTTGCGGCGCTTGGTGGATTTGTTGAAGTGGTGCGGGCGCTGTTGGCAAAAGGAGCGGACGTCGAAGCTCGGGACGAAGACGAGCGGACGGCACTTCATCTGGCGGCTGTTCGTGGTCATGAAAGTGTTGCGAGGACCTTGCTGGACCACGGGGCTTGCGTCCAGCCTGGCGATGACCGCCGAATGACGCCGCTACATATCGCCTCCCTGGCCGGCCATGTGGATGTGGTGAACGTCTTACTTGAAAAAGGAGCTGATGTGAACGCTCCATTTGGGGATCAAGATACACTTCTACATCTTGCGTCCCCAGTGGAGAAGGAACGCGCGATCGAAGCACTTGCCCAGCATAAGGTCTGTGTGAGCGCTACTGAGGAGAAGAAGCGGACGCCACTGTCTATGGCAGCTCATGGCAGCTACATGGAAACTGTTGAAGCACTACTCAGCGAAGACGCTGATGACAACGCGCAGGATTTCCATGACCGCACAGCTCTTCAATATGCATGCGAGGCCGGAGATGAAGCCGTAGTGCGGATCCTGCTGTGGCACAAGGCGAACATCGACGTTCTAGACGAGCACGACTTGTCTGCACTGCATCTTGCTGCACGCAAAGGACATGAGAAGGTCGTGAAAATCCTACTCGAACACGGAGCGAACCCCAACATCCGGGATTGGGATGCGCTGTTCTGCGCCGCGGCTCACAGCCATGAGAAAACCGTTAAACTGTTGCTAGATCATTCAAAGGCTGCCGGAGACGGAACCACGCCTCTGCACTACGCTATTGGATACGACCTAGACACAGCAAAGATCCTCTACCGAGCGGGAGCCGACGTCAAGGCCAGCGCCAATGACGGGACCACAGTCTGGCACAAAGCAGTACAACACGGACAGCTCAACGCCGTCCTCTGGCTGACAAGCATCGAAAACGGCGCGCAAATCAATGCCGTCGACTCCGAACGCCAAACCGCCCTTCACCTGGCCGCGCTGTACGGCCACCACGACATCGCCGACGCACTGCTGCAAGCTGGGGCGTCCCACGGTCTCCAAGACACCACGGGGAGGACCCCGCTGCACTGGGCAATCTACGCGGGCCACGACGCCCTCGTCGAGCTCCTCCTGACCCGCGGAGCAAACACCACCGACATCTCCGACGGCTGCGGCAAAACCGGCTTCGAACTGATCCAGCAAGCCCGCGGCCTCCACTCGCGGGTCCGCCACCTACTCCCAGAACACATATAGAAGCGCCTCCGAATTGACGCCAGAACCACGCGCCAGCGCCAATGCGCGCAGACGCTGGCGACGCGCTTCTTGGAGATGCTGCCTGGCCGCTCGACGTGGCCGCGATGTCGGACTGCGGTGGCCATGGGTTCTTGGAGGTGCCTGGGCCGGACTTCCCCGGGCTGGGCTCCGAGACTGTGAATGCAAAGGGCGAGACGAGGGAGGGATGGCTGCGGAGGATGGAGAATATACCTGCTCGCAAGCGAGGAACGGGTGGTAGGGACGAGTTAGCGTAGCTGAGCCATGTGGGTGACACTCGGATCCTCTGTCTGCATTTTTACAGCTGTTTTGTACACATTAATACACACCTCTGATCAATATGCATGGTTCCCGAATCGAAAGACCGCAATGAAGTCTGCTTGAGAATTACTTGCAAAATCCCCACTGGCATCTTCGAGAAAGATGACATACAACCGCCCCGAAAAAAAGACATTGATATCATGTTGCGGCACACACACGCACACATACACACACACACATATATACACACATACACACATACACACATACACACATCATAATCACTCCGCACAAGCCTGTTTCCCATAAGAAAAGGGGATGGTGGAAAGAAGAAAGAGAACGAAGCCAATAATAATCACCAGCAAGCAATGCAACACAGCACAACGAGCAAACGAAAGCAAAAAAAAAAGGACACCGAAAAATACCAGGAAGAAATCCGCAGAAGTTCAAGCGAAAAAAAGAATATGTACATACAAATAAGCAAACAGATAAAAACTTGTCTTAGCTTCCGTAGAAGGTGCTAGCCGCCATGAAAAAAACAAAAACAAAAAAGCCGTTGAGCTCATGATCCGACCGAATGATCCGCGAATAACTACTAGTAGTCTTCATGCTTTACGAGCAACACCTTAAAAAAAAAAGCGAAGCCTCTAACCCGAGCGAGAGCAAAATGGACCCCGATTTTGCTACAGTAGCAACTCTCTCGCTGTTTCTCTCATTCCTGTACATTTTTTCTTCCTCCCCTCCTTCCCTCTTTCTTTTCCTTCACGATCGAACCCCCTTTTTTGACAAGAAGAAGAAGAAGAAGAAAAAGAAAAAGAAAAAGAAAAGCTAGACGACTTCCTTTCCCTTCTCTCGTCCCGTACCTGTAGATCCCCGGAGCCAGCAAGAATCATCAGCAAAACACACGCCTTTCCTTCCCTCCTTCCTTCCCTCCTTCCATCTTTTCCCCCCTTCTCAGTGGTTGTTCAAGTTCATATGCATCAAGGCCTCCTGCGGCCACTCGTCGCTCTCAACGCTGCTCCGATTGGCGACCCTCAGCCCGCCGCCGATGCGGCCGCTGTCGCCGCCGCCGCCATCGATGTCGGCCGGCAGGCTCAGGAAAGGCTTGCTCGCGTAGCTCGGCTGCGGTGCGTCGTCCTGCTCGTTGTTGCTTCCTTGCTCGCCGCCGCCGCCGCCATAGCCTTGCTGCTGTTGATACTGTTGCTGTTGCTGTTGCTCCTGGTGCCACGAGGGGTCGTACTGCGGTTGTCTTTGCCACTGTTGTTGTTGCTGCTGTTGTTGCTGTTGTTGACCCTGATACAGCATCTGCTCGCCCATCATGCTCGGCCGCCTGCTCTGCTGGATCGAATTCTGGCCGCTGTGCGTGTAACTGCCGCTCTCCCACACGCTCGCCATGTCGACGGGCGAGTACTCCATCAAGCCGCTTCCCGGGCCGACGGCCGCGGGGGGTTGCAGGTGCGGATACGCTTGTCGGTGGTGATGATGCTCCATGGTGGGCGTGCGCGCCACGTCGTCGCCCTCGCCCGGCGTCGGCACCTCCTGGATGCCCGGCTGGAGGTCGAAGCCGGCCTGCTGCTGCTGCTGCTGGTAGATCTGCATGGGCGACGCCATGCCCGGGTCGGGCAGGGCCGAGGCGGACGTGACCTTGCGGAGGCTGCTGGGCCGCTTGATGCTGCTGCCGTTGCCGCTGTTTTGCGACTGCTGGTGCATCAGGCTCATGTGGCGCGCCGCCGCCGTGTTCTCCTCGGCGACCTCGGTCAGCTGGCTGTCGGCGCCGTCGGGGTCGCGGATGCTGAATTGCGCGATGGTGCGCATCTTGCGCGTCACCCAGGTCGCGAGGATTTTGCCCCGCTGCTTTTCGCCCAGTCTGGAGCGCGGGAAGTCTCCTTTGGACACGAACGCGACTATGTCCGTGACGATGTGGTGCTCGTTGAGCACGGCGTTGACGATGACGGGCACCATTGAGGCTAGGAAGTTCTTGCGGAAGATCTCCACGAGGATGACGATCATGCCGCCTGCTTGGAACACGGCACTATTTGTCTGTCAGCTCTGGGTCCGTCCTGGCCATGACGCGCGGGCCGATGACTTACCAGCCTCCCGAAACGATGTTGCGATGGCATCGCTCCACCGAGTATTCGATATCCATGGGGAAATGGCTCAAACCGTTGACCTCGAAGGTCTCGCCGATGCTGCCCAACACAAACAGACACTGCATGTCCACCATGGTGCCTCCTGGGCCAATGGGCCTTGCCACGTTATGCAAGAAACCGAGGTCTCCAGTACGCATGTACCTGACGTTCGGGTCGCCATCAACGGTTCGACCGTTGAACCTCTCCAGATCGAAGATGTCCTTCGAGCCGTAGAAGCTGTGAGCATTCGCTTCTGACTGCACCCATATTTCACCATACTCTCCGTTCAGGCAAAGACGGTTTGTTTCCGGGTTGACAATGGAGATCTGCGTGCTGACGGGCACCATGCCTGAATCTTGGAGCAGCAGGCTGAAAGGCTCCGTGTCAGGATCAACGGGGACAACGAGGCCCCGGCGGAGAGCGTTCATGTCGAGCCACAGCTCGATGGGCTCGATGCACATGTATGAACGAGAGGCAACCATGGGGTTCAACACGTGCGAATAAATGGTGTTGATCGCCGTCCTCTCCAGCCCGGCAGCTGCAAAGTGCAAGCGCACTTTCTGGTCTGTCCGAAGGTCAGCAAACAAGCGCGCTTCAATAGATGGTCACAGCGAAGACTTACAAACATCGACGCGTGGTCTACCATCGGTCGATATCATAAGGTTCTTGAGCTCGTGCAGAGCAGCGCTCTTCCCAGCATGGTGGCCCATGGCGAAATCCAACATTTGGCTGGTGGCGTATGTGTCTTTGATCTTGTACCGCGACAAAGTCTGGAAGAGAATGTTGGGGTTTTGCGCAAAGTCCACGGGCGAGACCAGATACGTCGGAGCCGCTACGGATAATGTTAGAAATGAAAGCGCAGACGAGTGCGACGAGCTTACCCAAGAATATGCCCATGAGGCAAGTGTGAATGAAACCCAGGCCAATCGTACTTCTTACGCAACCAAGAACTGGTCGTGTGCTCGTCATCTGGCAAGTCTCCTTTTGAACTTTGCAAAGCGCCATAAGAGTATCGTGGCCTAGTTGCACAGCAACTCGTCTTTGGTCAGGTGTCCAGTACGTCCATATCAGAACCGGATAGCCGGTCTGGACCCATGCAGGCCGGATGGTCAAGTTGAGCTCCCGGCAGCCTTGCGACTGTTTCGATGGCTTCGAGGTGTTGTAGGTATGGGGCATGCTGACCTTCAAGGCGGTGGCCGTCTGTTTGAGGTGCTGCGACACGGCCTTCATCTTCAGCACATGGTCGACTTCGTTGTTGACAATGATGGCCTTGATCCCATAATCAGCGACCATGTGCAGAAGAGCGGGCGCATCCTCGCCGAGGCGGTTTTGATCCAAAATCGGCATCGGAATTGCCACCAGGCCGAGTACGAAGCAGGCGTGGATCGCATACACAAAGTCCTCGGAATGCGTGTACATCAGGACCAGGTGATCGCCAGGGATGACCTTGACCTTGTTCTTCAGGTAGATGGCGACAGCCGCAACCTTCAAATCAAATTTGCGCCAGTTGATGCCCTTGCCCTCTTTTCCTCTACCGTCGATTGTGCAATAAGCCAACTCCTCTGCTTGTCTTGATACGCGCCATTGCATAAGATCGTGAATGTTGCTGAACTGGTTGAGCGGTGTCGATGTACGGTCGTCAATGACGACTTCACGGTAGTCGACTCCCGAGTATTGCTTGTCTTGCATCATGAGCATGTCCTGACGAGCGGCGGTCGAGAGCGCAGACCAGATCCCGCCAGCAGGATCGTCTCCAACAGGGAGATTCTGGACAGATCGCTCAACACCAAACTTGACGTGGACACAGGGAAGCTCTCCGCTATCGAAAGCTTTTCGGCAAAGCATGTTGCCAATTTCTCTCCGTCCGTTCTTGACCACCCTAGGCAATGTGTTGGGAGCAGTCGTCATGACACAATAGACACGGAGGTGATGCTCTTGATAAAGGACGTCCATGACGCGCTCGGAGAGCGAATCCAAAAAGGCAATATCCAGTTGGCGTGGCGGGCCGCCTGTCGTGGTTGGGGCTGTTGATGCAGACTGAGTCTCGACCAGAACAATGGGGAGATATTCGCTGTTGACATGAGAGTCGAAAGCGGAGCTGTGACGCATTAGTCCTGCGCGCACTCCAGCAGGATCAAGGGTAGTGACTTACCAGTCGTATATCTTCGGCACCGTCTTCATGATGCTCACGACGAGGTGTTGCACGAAGAAATAGCGATGCTCCGCTTCTGACACGCCATGTTCGACCCATTCGACACGCTGCCGTATCCTGTCCTCGTACAGGCCCAGAACGAAGATCTTGCCTTCTATGATACAGCCCAGCAGACCGGTGCGCAAGAATTCAGGCTCAACGAGCACAGGGGTGGGGTTCCCCTCCATGAACCGGTAGGGGCGCGCATGGAAAATGCTTTCGGTGTGCTTGGGCAGTGCCCAGAACCCACCTGACAGAGAGGGCGAATCCACCCAGATTTCGCCAATCTGGTAAGGGGAGCACAGAAGATTCGTCTCGGGATCGACGAGTGCCATGGTTGCGTCGGGAATCGGGTATCCAAAAGCGCCGACTCGGATGGTGCCGGGCTCATTGGATCTTCTCTTCACCTCTTCGCCCATGGCGAGAACGATGACCTCGTTGGTCTTGAGGGCTTCCTTGTCAAGAAGGGCCTCGCTCAGCTCCGTGCGACTCTTTTGCTTGTGCGACTTCTTTGCCGTTGCACCGCCACCGCCAATCAAGCTGCTATAGCCATTGGAAGCCGCCGCCTCGGTGGCCTTGTCTTTGCCATCCTCGGCGTCTTCGGGTTCAGGGTCCATGCTCAATGGGCAGCCCATTCTTTCTTCGCCACCAAGCCAGTCCCTGATTGAAATGATCATGCCACCGTGTTCGGGCAGGCAGAGCATAGGCGCAACGAGCTCGCGCGCTCTTGGATTCCGCATCGGACGGAGCCACCGGTCGGCCAGGACTTCGTGGAACTCGCAATCAATGGTCAAGGTGTCAATAAGACATATCTTGACAGAAGAGAAGTTGGGTTCGGTGTTCTTCTTGAAATTCCTGGTCGCCATGGGGTCCTGTTGGTAATTATATGCCGCCCGCTTCAGACCGGGGTAGTCTGCGACCATGATGGTCGTCCTGTACTTGGAAATGAGGTGCGCATACAGGCCCGGAGTCTCTACAGTCTTTGGCTCCATCCAAACGGTCGTGTGCCCGCCGTACACGGCATGGAGGACGCCCAGAATCATGCCGGGCCCGGAACGGGGATCCAGGTAGCTCAAGAAGACTTCTCCGCCGGTGCTCCTGGTTTGTTGGTTCGGAACAATGAAGTTGCCGTTCCTGTCGCGGAGATTGGGATTGAACGTGTCCGCCTTCTCCTTCTGCTCGCTGTTGTTGATGGAAGCGACTATGGCGCTGATGCAAGCCATCTGGTGCATGATGGTGCGGTGGCTGAGCACAACGCCGCGCAGATCTCCGGTAGGAGCACGAGAAAACTCGATGTAGGCCAGATCTGGGACCTGCAACGGAGGGACTTCGTCTTTCTTCTTCGGATGATAACTGCCAAATTCATTCGTTTTCCACCACTCGACGCCTGTGGGCCACTTCTGGCGCGAGTTGCTGATGTCTCTCTGGAAAGCCTTCAGGTTGTTGTCTGTGGTCAGCGCCAGATGGGCCTGAGTAGTGGTGAGAAGCAGACTGAGTCTGTTGTAGTCGTCGACACTGTTCATGGGGACGGCTACGACGCCGGCAATAAAGCAGCCCAGCAGCGCAGTGGCGAAGTCGATGATCTCGCTGTCTCGATAGACCAAGGCAACGCGATCTCCTCGGTATAGATTGCTCTTGTCACGAATGACCTGTGCGACCTTCTCTGCCTTGCTGCACAGCTTTTCCCAGGTGATGGACGCCGTCTCTTTGCCCTTGGAATCAAGGACCCAGAAAGCAGCCTGCCTTGCATTGGTGCGCCCGCGATGGCGGAGCACGGCTCCGATGTTATCGAACTTGGACATTGGCACGTTTCCGTTATGCGGATCGTACACGGCAAAGGGCACCTCGCGCGGTTCCAGCGGCAATTGGCACTCGACCACGCTCGGGGGAGGAAGCTCGTGCTCGCCCAGCATGGGCGGGGGAATGACGGCGGTTGGAGAGAAAGCATCGCCCGACGAGTAGCGATTGGGCCCCCCATAGCTGTCCCTAGACGGATCCTGCATCTGGGCGCCGGCAAAGTCGGAGAAGTAGCCTTGCTGGGAATCGAGCATGGTGCTCAGGCGGCTGGTGCCGCCGGGCGACTGGTCGTTATATGTCGGGTGGGTGGCGGGGTTGAAGGCGAAGTCGGAGTTCATCAGGGTGCTCGACCGCGAGGGATTGCCGTACATTTCGGGCGTCTGCGGGCGAGGAATGAAGGCGTCATTGGCGTAGGAGGACTGGCGTTGCACCATGGAGTTGCGCACGCCCAGCTCCCGTTCCTGGAACCGGCCCACCGGGGTGGGCGCCGGCATCTGGCCGGCATCTGCGCCGGGCAAGTATCCGCCGTTGGGGCTGTAGGGCGACTGGGCCCGCAGCGCGCCGTCCTGGGGCGGCAGGCTGATGGCGGGAGGCTGGTAGGCGGCAAAGGAGCCGGCTCGATTGTGACTGTCGGCAAAGGAACTGGTCCGGTTGTCGTTGTAGATGGAGAAGGTGCGGCCCTGGTCGAGGCTGGGGGCGCCCGACTGGATCGAGAATGTGCGTTGGGCATTGCCGTCGCCGAGATACTGCGACAGCAAGAGGGTGCGGCGCTTGTCGTAGCTGGGCAGACGTCAGCATTTCAGTGTGGTCGCGCGCAGGGCGGCGGTGTACGTACCCCTTCTGGGTAATGTCGCCCTCCTGCTCGCGGGCACCATGCTGCAGTCAGCCTCAGATTCGGCGGCGCAAGGCGGGGGACGCACCTCTAGCTCGTGGTCGAGCTCCGCCAGCTGGGCCTGCAGCTCAGGATTCTGGGACTCGGCCATGGTGGCATGCGTCGCTCGGGCGCGGGGGTCGGGGCAGTGGTGCGAGCGGCGGGCGCGTGTTGAGGGTCATGGACGGGCGGCGCAGGGAGAGGGGCTGGCGCGTCAATCCGATGGGGCGCGGGCTGGGGGGCGGGCAGCAGTCGCATCCACGGTCATACGCCAACGGGCGCCTTTTGGGGGCGTCGGGAGGATGTTGGGGCAGAGGCGACACGAGACCCTGGGGGCGGATGCGAATGACGTCCGCGTGGGCGTTAAGTGAGCAGTTAGTGCGAAGTCTGAGCACCGCGCAGAGATCTGAGGGAGCGGCAGCAGCTATCGCGCGCAGCTGTGGAGCCGGTACCTCACTAGAACATCAGGGGCGCTTCTAGAAATAGAGCTGCCAGCCGTTGGTCCTCGAGCCCGGCCCGCCTCCCAGCGCGTCTCCTTGTCCGACGCGTCCTCGGCCACCCAGCCCTCAGGAACTGCAGTGCTGTGCCGGTGCCTTGGGCTTCCGCCGTCCGCTGCCAGCCCCTCACGTGATTGCTAGCTCCGGCGCTACCTGGGCTGGTGCTCACTGGTGCCCATCGGCAGCCGGAGCCGGGCGGCAGTAGTGGCAGCGGCCTTCGGTGCAGCTGCAGCCGCCTGTGCACCGGCCAGTCCACAACCTCGGCACCTGCGAATCATCGCTACTCATCTTGGCGCAGGTCAACGCTCATCATCGTAGCCCGCCAGCACCCGCCAGCACCATGTGAAAGCCAGTCGTGTCGCAGCCTTCATATCCTACCGGTCCCCCCCCCCCCGCCGTGCGCCTGCAGTGCCAGCCATGTCGACCCTCATCAAGCCGCCGCCCATCGACTCGTCCAAGTCTGCCATCGAGCAGATGCTCGACTTGACCCAGCTCACGCCCATCGACCCGGACCTGTTCACCAACACCCAGCCGCTATGGCACCCGCCCGGCGCTCGCGGCATCTTCGGCGGAGCCATCATCGCCCAGTGCCTTGCTGCCGCCCAGCGCACCATCCCTGACGACTTTTCCATCCACTCGATGCACTGCTACTTTGTGCTGGCCGGCGACTCGGAGATACCCGTGGTATACCACGTCGAGCACGTGCGGGAGGGGAGGTCGTTTGCGACACGCACCGTGCAGGCCCGCCAGCGCGGCAGGGCCATATTCACAACGACCCTGTCGTTTGTCAAGGTCGACAGCGCCGGCAAGGAGAAGGTCGAGCATTCCTTTTCCATGCCCGACGTGCCCGGCCCGAGCGAAGAAGAGTCGCGCCGCCATGCCAACGACGACGACCAGCCCTTTGAGAGCCAGCGGATCGACATAGGCGACAGTGCGCCCCCCAAGACGCCCGACGCTTGAGAAGAAGCCCACACTGACGGTTGCACAGATGACTCGCCGTACCCGCATACCAAGAAGTGCAGGCAATGGCTCAGGGCGCGCGGGACCATATCGCCCGCTGGCGGCCATCAAGCACACCTTTCGGCCATCGCGTACATGTCCGACAGCTTTCTCATCGGCACCGTCGCCCGCGTGCACGGCCTGTGGACGTTCAAGCCGCGGCGGGGCGGACGGCCGACCATCGACGAGGAAACTCTCCGGAGGCTGCTGCACGAGGACGAAGAGAAGGTGAAGCGCATTCCCGGCATGACCGACCACGTCATCAAGAGTCTGCGCGCGGGCAAGAGTCTGGCACAGGCCGAGGAAGACAGGCCGGAAATCGGCATGATGGTCAGCCTGGACCACTCGATATACTTCCACAGTCCTCGCGACTTCAGAGCGGACGAGTGGATGTTCACCGAGATGGAGAGCCCCTGGGCGGGTGATGGACGAGGGCTGGCCATTTCCAAAATCTGGAGCAGAGACGGCAGGCTCATTGCCACATGCGTGCAAGAAGTGAGTTACGCTGTTGTCCTGCCAAAGGTTCCTGCACTAACGCTTTCTAGGGGGTTGTCCGGCTGAAGCAACCGACAGAAAGCAAGCTGTAGATTGGCGTGCGACGCTGGGCTTCGGCGCTACTTGAGGCACCGTTGCTGCTTTCTGTATCAATGGTGTACTCTTAAGCTCATGGGTTTGCTTTTGCGGCGTTTTGTTTCGGAAAGATATGGAGACAGCCAGAGCTTGGAGTTGCGCAATGGCGCTGTCTGACTTGTTTTTGGGATAGACTGGATTTCAGCCTCTGGGCAGCCCGGCGACCAACATGGGAGCACAACAGGTGATGCTAAGCTTGCAGGATGCCCAATTGGGGGGATCGTTTTGGGTAGCGCGCAAATAAGAGCATTACTAGGCCTTTCTATTGGGCGGTCCTGCAATCGGCGGTGCTGGTGGGAAGGGGTCCCGGTGTCGGCGCGGGGGAATAGCGGGGCTGCACGGTTTCTGAGCCGTAGCGTGGTAGCGATATATTTATTCTGCTTCTAATACTAAGCTATGCTTACTTTTCTAAATGATTTATTAAAGTCGCTTTCTTTCCGGGCGATAGTGCACGATAAAGACGTATAAGTAGTCCACGAACGGCCTTTATATATACTACCTGGTACATCTCCATCTCCACCGCTAATTCAAAATCCCCGTTTTCTACTAGAGTTCTCTATCTTATTACGACGCTCGATCGTGGCCTTTCCTTACTGGTTAATATCGCTTCTTTAATCTCGAACACTTAACTCTACGTAGTAAATCTATCTTCTAATAGTCTTCCGGTCGTGCGCGCAAGCGAAGTGGAATGTCTAACTAATAGGATTAGCCTAGAGTTTCGCCGTATAACTACTCGGTTTGCCCCGCATGCACGCAAGCACGAAAGGGAATCCCGTAATCCCTCATTCTCGGGGCAAAGCACGGCGATGACGCTCCAGAATAGGCTGCTCGGCCCGGGAGTTTCGTGAAGCATGCGCCTTATTTTAGGCTGCAACACCGCTCCTCGTTACTACCCTAGTGCAGATCTCAGCGCTCTCATTGATGGATCTTTGTACCTGACATTGGCCCACCGCCGTATTCCTAGTATGACTTCATGTGGCATCCACTGACCGAGATGATTGAAATATAGCCTGACCCGAGTCCCTCTTTTTTTTCTTCTTCCCCCTCCTGTGCTCGGCGCTCCCTTGGCCTCCTTCTAGCAACAGACATGCGTGCCGTCGCAATCCTATTGTTCCTTCTGGGGGCAGTCATCTCGCTGGCAAGCGCACAGCGAGACAACGGATACACTGATGTCGTCCAGTGGGACGAGAACAGCCTGTTTATCAATGGCGAACGCGTCTACATCTACTCAGGCGAATTCCACTATGCCCGTCTGCCCGTGCCAGAGCTGTGGCGCGACGTTATCCAGAAGTTCAAAGCGAACGGCCTGAACACCCTCAGGCAAGCATTTACCTGGCCTTGTTCGCATACCTAGCCAATTAATTAACCATGGCCCGCTCGCAGTGTCTACTTCTTCTGGTCCTACCACTCGCCTTCCAAGGGCGTCTTCGATTTCGAGTCGCCCGGCAAGGACATCCAGAAGCTCTTCGACATGGCCAAGGAAGAGGGCGTCTACATCATCGCCCGGCCGGGGCCTTACTGCAACGCCGAGACCAGCGCAGGCGGCTACGGCCTCTACCTCACCGACGGCAGCGGCGGCGACATCCGGACCAACGACGAGACATACCACGCGCAATGGCTCGCCTGGGTCGACGCCGTCATGCCCATCATCGCGCGCAACCAGATCACCGAGGGCGGGCCCGTCATCCTCGTGCAGGTCGAGAACGAGCTCACCGAGAGCCGGCACGTGGCCGACGACCCGCTCGTGCTGTACATGGAGCAGCTCAAGCAGGCGTTCCGCGACCACGGCATCGTCGTGCCGTTCACGTCCAACGAGAAGGGCATGCGCGGGCAGAGCTGGTCGGTCGACTACCAGGACGTCGGCGGCGCCGTCGACATCTACGGGCTGGACTCGTACGCGGGCGGGCTGAGCTGCAGCAACATCGACACGGGCTTCACCGTGCTGCGCACCTACTACCAGTGGTTCCAGAACTACTCGTTCACCCAGCCCGAGTACACGCCCGAGTTCAAGGCGGGCTGGTTCCAGCCGTGGGGCGGCTACTTCTTCGACGAATGCGTGTCCGAACACGACACGGCGTATCCCGACGTCTTCTACAAGAACAACATTGCCCAGCGCATGACGCTGCAGAACATGTACATGACGTACGGCGGCACCAACTGGGGCCACCTGGCCGCGCCCGTCGTCTACACGTCCTACGACTACGGCGCGCCGCTGCGCGAGACGCGCGAGGTGTGGGACAAGTTCAAGCACATCAAGCTGATCAGCCTGTTCACCCGCGTCAGCGACGGCCTCTTGAACACGCGCATGGAGAGCAATGGCACCGGCAATGCCGTCAACGACACGGCCATCTTCACCTGGGTGCTGCGAAACCCGGAGACCGAGGCCCGCTTCTACTTCACCCAGCACGACAACTCGCGGTCCCGGGCAAACACTGCATTCTCCCTGGACGTCGCCACGTCCGCAGGCGCCATCACCATCCCCAGCCTCGACCTCCAGGGCCGCCAGAGCAGGATCGTCGTCACCGACTACCCCGTCGGCGACTACACGCTCCTGTACTCGTCGGCCGAAGTCCTGACCTACGGCCTCTTCGACGTCCCCGTGCTGGTCTTCTACCTCAACGAAGGCCAAGTCGGCGAGCTCGCCTTCAAAGGATCAGACCTCCAAACCGCAAACTTCACCACGCACGGCGCCACCACCGACTTCGCCGCCAGCGCCGCCGGCAACGGCACCTCCGCAGCCTTCAAGTACACGCAGACCAAGGGCGCCACCGTGGTCAAGTTCGCCCGGGGCCCGGTGCTCTACCTCCTCGAGCGGTGGGCGGCCTACACCTTCTTCGCGCCGGCCACGACGTCGGATCCGCACGTCGCGCCGGACGAGCAAGTCTTCGTGCTGGGCCCGTACCTCGTGCGTTCCGCCTCCATCTCGGGCAGCACCGTCTCCCTCTCCGGCGACCACCTGAACGCAACCAGCATCGACGTCTACGCCGGCGGCAGCGACGCCGCGTCCGCCGTCGACACCATCAGCTGGAACGGCGTCGCGCTGGCAACCACGCGCTCGGCGTACGGCTCGCTGCAGGCCTCGCTGCCGGGCATCGTCGACCGCGCCGTGCCGCTGCCGGCCCTCGCCGGGTGGAAGGTGGCCGACGGGCTGCCCGAGGCGGCGGCCGCGTACGACGACTCGCGGTGGGCGGTGGCCAACAAGACGACGACGCTCAGCCCGGTGGCGCCGGCGACGCTGCCCGTGCTGTACGGCAGCGACTACGGCTTCTACGCGGGCGCCCTCATCTACCGCGGCCACTTCGACAACGACGATGGCGGCGTCACCGGCGCCAACGTCACCGTGCAGGGCGGCGCGGCGGCCGGGTGGTCGGCCTGGCTGAACGGCGCTCTCGTCGGCGGGCACCCCGGCAACGCGTCGCTCGTCTCGACGTCGGCGGTGCTGGACTTCGCCGGCGCCGGCGGCAACGCCACTAGTAGCCTGGCGGCCGAGGGCAACGTGCTCACCGTCGTGACCGACTACACCGGGCACGACCAGGACAGCCAGGGGCCGTACGGGCCGCTCAACCCGCGCGGCATCATCGCGGCGAGCCTGCTGGGGGATGGTACTGCCACCAATGCCACGGCGCCCTCGTTCAAGCAGTGGAAGCTGCAGGGCAACGCGGGCGGCGGGGCGGGCTACGTCGACCCCGTGCGCGGCCCGCTCAACGAGGGCGGGCTGCACGGCGAGAGGCTCGGCTGGCACCTGCCCGGCTTCGACGCCTCGGCGTGGGATGACGGCGATCCGCGCGAGGGCTTTGGCGGCGCCGGCATCCGCTGGTACACGACCGAGTTCGAGCTGGACGTCGATGAGGATTTGGATGCGCCCATCGGGTTGGAGCTGGGCATGCCGGAGGGGACGGTGGCGAGGGTGCAGGTTTTCGTCAATGGGTGAGTGGCTATGTCTGTTTTGTGATCTGATGATCGGCTCGCGGAAGTCGAGTGCTGACCTGATGCCGTGTGAACAGGTACCAATATGGCAAGTATTTGCCGCATATTGGCCCGCAGACGAAGTTCCCGTTCCCGCCGGGCGTGCTGAACAACAGGGGCTCCAACACGCTGTCGCTCAGTGTCTGGGCGCAGTCGGAAGACGGGGCTGCTTTTGACAAGGTGGAGCTCGTTTTGTATGGCAAGTATCAGTCCGACTTTGGCTTCTCGAGGGATTGGAGCGACCTGCAGCCTGGCTGGTCGGAGGATCGCCTGCAGTACGCGTAGTGTTGTAGATAAGAAGAAGCAGGCGTTGTGAAAACGAGATGATGAATGAAGTGAGATGAAGTGAGAGTGAGACGGTTGTTCCTGCTGCAACGCACCGTACGCACCCGGCGGCTCCGCGGGGAAGCAAGCGACCCTAGCACACATAGCGCCGCGCTAGTGATGACGCAGGCTATGGGAACTTTTTCAACCCGCAACTACCGTCTCCCATCCCCACGCCAGCACTGCCAACGTGCCTTCCTCCACCATACGTGCTCTACTCACACGCCCTGCGGGGCTTCGTCCTTCGTTCCCGGCCCTTCTCTCCACCCGCGCCATCATGACCACCACGCAATCCTCCTCGACCGTGGACAACAGCCAGGACAAGAAACCTCTCTGCTTTCAGAGGCCAAAGCTCCACGGCCGCGCATTCTACGAGGCCCTCGGCAGCCCGAAGATGGTGCTCGCGCCCATGGTCGAGGCCTCGGAATTCGTACGCCACACAGTCACCTCGCGAGTCCTGCTCCGCTGACAGCCCGCCGACAGGCCTGGCGCATGCTCAGCCGCTCCTTCATGCCCGACGGCCAGAAGAACGACCTGCTAGCCTACACCCCCATGTTCCACTCGCGTCTCTTCCACGAGAAGCCCCCATACCGCAAGCAGTCCTTCCAACCCCTGCGCGACGCCATCCCCTCGCCGCCCGACCCCGAACACCTCAAGCACTACACAACCGCCGACGCCTTCCTCGACGGCCACCCCGCCCTCGACCGGCCCCTCTTCGTCCAATTCTGCTCCAACGACCCCGACGACTTCATCGCCGCCGCCCAGCACGTCGCGCCCTTCTGCGACGCCGTCGACCTCAACCTCGGCTGCCCCCAGGGCATCGCGCGCAAGGGCCGGTACGGCGCCTTCCTGCAGGAGGACTGGGCCACGGTCGGCGCCCTGATCGCCCGGCTGCACGCCGAGCTGCCCGTGCCGGTCACGGCCAAGTTCCGCGTGCAGGAGACGCCGGAGCGCACCCTGGCCTACGCCCGCGCCATGCTCGCCGCCGGCGCCAGCGTCCTCACCGTCCACGGCCGCCAGCGCCACCAAAAGGGCCACGAGACCGGCCTCGCCGACTGGAATGCCATCCGCCACCTGCGCGACAACTTGCCCCCGGACACGGTCATCTTCGCGAATGGGAACATCTTGCAGCATGAGGACATCGCCGCCTGCTTGGAGGCGACGGGCGCCGACGCCGTCATGAGCGCGGAGGGAAACCTGCACGACCCTACCATCTTCGCGGGGCCGCCGGTTGGGGAAAGCGATGGGAGGGAGTATTGGACGGGCCAGGACGGCAAGGGTGGGTATAGGATGGACGCCGTGTTCCGCCGGTACATGGACATCATATACAAGCATGTCTTGGGCGTCGCGCCTCCGGAGCGGAAACCGCTGTTCCTGCCGTCGGACCTGCCTGCGCAAGAGGAGGAGTTCAAGGGCGAGGACGATGCGGCAGCGGAGGAAGACGAGGGCGGCCCGCCGAAGAAGAAGCAGCGCTTGCTGGACAATAGGAACAATAACAACAACAACAACAACAACAACAACAACAACAACAACAACAACAACAAGAAAAAAGACGGGAAGAAGTTTGAGAAGTCGCTCGATCCAAACCTCACGGCCATGCAGTCCCACCTCTTCCGCTTGCTGCGCCCGCTCGTCGCCAAGCACACCAACGTCCGCGACGCTCTGGCCCGGTGTCGCTCGGGTAACATCGAGGCCTTCGAGAACGTCCTGCAAATGGTCGAGGCGGCCGTGAAGCAGGAGCTCATCGAATACGAAAACGAGACGGCGGCGGCGGGTGCCACAACGGAAACCGAGAACGGTGCTGCGGAACCACCACTGACAGCAGCGACAGCCAACGGGGAGAAGTCGGAGACGGCAGGAGAAGAAGAAGCTGCAACAGCAGCAGCGCTCGACCCGCACGAGAGCTCCGTCGCCGCCGTCAACAGGTGCAGGCGGCCGCGGTTCATCTGCCAGCCCTACGTGCGGCCGCTGCCCAAGGAGGCGCTGGAGAAGGGCGCGCTGTCGCTGAGCAAGAAGGACAAGAAGAAGATGGAGCTGCAGAAGCAGAAGGAGGAGGAGGAAGAGGCGGCGGCGAAGAAGGCGGGCGTTCCGGCGCCGGAGGGGAGGGTCGAGGAGGTGGAAGTGGGGGAGAAGAAGGTCGAGAATGGAGAGACGAAGGTCGAGACGGCTGAGATACCCAAGGAAGGAATGGTGTGTGGTTGAAGGGGGTTCTTTCATCAAAGATCACATACGTATTAGAGGGGGACGTGATATATTATTCCTCTGCATCTGGAAGCGGGTGGTGATGATTCAAGCATAGAGAAAAGGCGTTTTGCGGGGATTCTTGGCATACGATGGACTACTCGGGATTGTACAGATGACGAAGACCAATCGGAAAGATTTTGGTGCATATATTAATAACTTGTGTTGTGCTCGTAAACCAACATAGCCATGTGCTTGTCAAGCCTCGCGTTAGCAGATGCTGGACGCAAGACTTCTTGTGTATAGTACTACCGAAATCAATTACTCATACTGTTCCGCCTGGCCGGTTTATGGCAGCTTCTCTATACTAGTCGTGTCAAATAGATGGCCGGTGATCGAATCCGGATACTTGATGCGCATATCCGGCAGTGAGCTAGGATGCTGCGTCTCCGCGTTGCGCACTGAAGCGGAACAGCATTACATCAGCCTCGGTGCGCAGATTCGTTAGAGCTTAATCGCTCCGATCCCACCAGTCTTCCAGAATATTCCCAGAGCAAAGCCAACATGTGGTATGTTCAGCAGGTATTTGTGTGGCCCTGATGAGGTGATTGTTGAGATAACACGCTAGAATATCAGGAAGAAAGGCGTGCTTTCTCATGCGCGAAAGTTTCCCAGATGCAGGACTACTCTAACACATGATCGCATCCCTTACTTCATGCAACCAGTCACGCGTGAGGCTTGATCGTGCGAGTGCGTAGCCCCCTTGCGGAAATCATCGTTGCGTCACTTGGCTTACCACCCTCCTCCCTCCACACATAAATACCACTTCATCTCTGTGGGTGCTTCTGATTGTCCAAGTCCAGACAATCACTGGCGCTTACGCCAAATCAAAAACAAACCTGGCCACTCGCCGTTTAAACGCTAATAAAATCTTTAGGAGAAGTAGCACACTACGGCTAGGCTCCATGGCGTGGTTTCTAGCTCAGCCTGGGACGTTGACGAACATCGCCCCAGCAGCTCAGCAGTATTTATTACGCGCGCAACACTTCAGCATGCAGCAAAGATGATGGTTTAGAGAGCCAAAAGGAAGCGTTGAGCTTCACCAAAAGCGAATGCTCGACCTTCGAAGCCATCCAAATAGATTCTCCCATGATTGTAAGCGACCGGCAGTGGCGGCAACAACGCGGTGAGTCGTAAGCGTGATTCCGACCGAGAAGGAGTAGGAGGGGAGTCCATAGTGTCCCCCACCTCCACTATCCGGAAGCCGCAAATATTCCTCCATATGGAATCCAGAGACAGTAGAACGCCTGTCACCTGGGTCACAACAGATGTCCAAAATCTCAAGATCAGGCGCATATGTGAGTTCTGTCAGCGAGTTTCTCTGCGCTTTTATGTGATCTTTCCTCTGAAGAGTCGCACGGTCATGCGTGCGTGTCTGCTGCCCTCGTTGGGCATATCAGGACGGTGCATGACTGGGCATCAGCTGCCGATGATCTCTCGCCCAATCGAAGCTAACCGTCAAGGCGGTACTTCAGCATTGGCGGCTTTGATGTTCAAGTGACCTTTGCCAAAACATAACCTGCTGATGTACTTGACAAAGTTGACTGGGGCAAGCGGATGACTTTCCGATTCCCGGACGTATGTACAGGGTCGTGTGATTTTCAACTTTGATACTATTATAATACCCACTTCAGCTCATCATACGCAGCTTTGTGACGGCTTCTTTTCTCTAAAGATCAAGAGAAGTACTTTGGGCGAGACTTTCTGGAATCAGCAACCACATCCCCGACACTTTGTGTTTCTTTCACACAGTGCTGTTCTTGACGACGGCTCTACGCATATCTTTACTCGAGTTTCGCGCGTCATCGTTTGCTTACCTTCGTCATGCCGAGCAAAAATGAAGGATGACTTTCTCCAGCATTTTTGCTCCGTGATGCAATTCAGTGTTCTCAGTTTACATTATGTAGACTTTGACAGGCCGCAATTAGAAGGGCACGAGGGTCCCAAGTGATATGCCTGAGGTGTTCCTCTTGCTTCTTTCCAAGTCGCATCCAGCTGCTCAGGGGTGCGTGATACTAGACAAACGGAGATGGAAAAGCGTTCAACGGCAATGAGGCCTTGCTTAAAAGCCTAAAAGAATTGAAAGCAATCACCAGACATAATATCTCATAAGGTTCATTGTTTAATACTGGCTTGACAACAGTTCAAATCTTGCCGAACTTAGTCTAAAACATCAAGGGTGGACATTCGTCGATCCGGCCTTAACTCAATGCGTAACTTGCCAGCTTCTCATAACGTGCTTCTCAACAAACAAATGAAAAGGGTTGAACACAGACGGGGGAAACCCAAGCTACGGAAGGAAGCTGGCCAGCGTGGCGTGACAAAACCGCCATCTTTCCGTATGTAGGTAGCAGCTGCCGAAAAGCAATTCATCCGGGCGTTTACCGCGCAAGATGTCAGCCCACCAGACAAACCAACCATATAAGTCCACCCCGTTCAATGCACAACCATCACTTCCAATTTCACCTCTCACATCACCATGCTTTCTTTGCTTTTCTTCTCACAAGCCGATTTTGGCCGTCAAGCCCCCTCCACTTCTTCTGCAGCCGAAAAAACACACACAAGATATAACAATGCCATTACAAAATCTTAGCTACCCAATCCCCACCCATTCGTCGTGCTACGTGCGTATGATCCTGCCCCCCTAACAAGAGACAAGACAGGCCGAACCCCCCACACACTGGACAAACCCCCATGCGAACCAATCAGGTGCTCTTTTTTCACCTTTTGGATCTCCCCCCTCTTCCGAGCACGGCGTATGCTACGAACAAGCAAGTAACCATCCGAACCGTCGACTCCGGCTCGCCTCGTAGTAAGGATGAATATGCGCCCGTCCCCGAGTCGCCTTTCCCGATGCACATGCGAGCGCAGTACAAAAAGACGTTTGATGAAAAGGAAAAGAGAGGGAGAAAAAAAAATTGCAGGCACACACGGTGTGAGAGAAAGGACAGAGGGAGCAAGAAGTGAAAAGAAAGAGAATGAATGCATGCCGTCGAACAAGCTTAGCCGTTGTCTCTTGACTCTCTTCCCCTCGGTTCATGCATGCTACGCTTTCCAAATGGCCTACCTAACCTATTATTACTAAACTCCACTCACGACCACTTCCCTGAATCTCTCAATCCCCCCTTTCCCTCCAGCTCACCTCTTCATCCACTCCGAATAGATAAATAAAAGAACATACCCTTATTTTCTTTCCTTCATCCGTTCATCCCCCAGCCCCACTCCACCGAACCCACAAGTCGATCGCTCAAACACATCCCTCCCTCACATCGCTCACATCATCACTATCATCATCATCATCATCATCAACACCATCATCGTCATCACCATCATGACCATCATCACCACCATGATCACCACCACCATCACCTCACCGTCCTCCCATCCCCGCAAAACACGGCCCCGCCCCCGAAGCCCCACACGTCCTCCAGCTCGCGGGCGTCGCGCAGCGAGGGCACGACGCGGGCGCACCAGGCGCACCACGCGCGGCTGGAGCCGTCCTTCTCGCGGGCGAGGTAGGGGGCGCGGCCCTCGCGCTCGTCCTCGTACTCCTTGACGACGGCGCCGACGCGCACGCGGCGCTTGATCTTCATGACGCGGCGGCCGCCGATGCCCTCGATCTCCTGCGCGAAGAAGGAGGTGCCGCTCCACTCGTCGTGCGGGCCGCCGACCGACGTGGCCGTCCCGGCCCCCGCTTCTTCTCCGGGTATGCGGTTGCTGCTGCTGCTGCTACCACCGATCGCCACACCCCGACTGCTCTGCTGAGTCCCTAACCCAGCAAGTCCTCCCCCACCAAATCCCCCAATCCCACCAACCCCTCCCCCACCAATTCCCCCACCACCAAGTCCCCCACCAACCCCCCCGAATCCCCCACCAATTCCCCCACCCCCACCCCCTCCCCTCCCCACGATCCCCGCCAGCTCCTCCGCCGTCCCGCACTCCTCGTGCTCGACGTCGCACCCGCCGCGGCACGCGGGGCCGAGCCCGCACTTGACGCCCTCGTGGCCCTCGCCGATGCCGGCGCCGAGCCCGCCGAGGTACGTGCTGTAGCGGGTGCGCCACGTCCAGCCGAGGGCGTACTGCTGGTCGCGGGTGCGGATGGCGTGGCCGCAGGGGGGGCAGAGCCAGACGGCGTCGGGGCAGGCGCAGGGGTGGCGGGTGAAGGCTTGGGCGGTGAATGGTGGTTGCGCGGGTGGTTTTGGGGGAGTGCTGTGGGAGGATGGGGAGGAGGTGGAGAGGGAGGGGTGGGAGGGGTGGGAGGGGTGGTGGTGGTTGTGGCTGCTTTCTGGTGGTGATGGCGGGCCGTACGAGGAGGAAGGAGGGGACGAGGAGGATGATGCGGCGCCGGGCGAGGACGATGGCGTGAAGAGCGGAGGGGAAGAAGACGAGGAGACGATGTTGGCGCCGGGAGGGGGGGTGCTGCCGAGGAGGATCGAGGACGACGACGAATGCGGCGACGTGGATCCGGGGGTCGTTGACGACGACGATGAGCGAGCGGCGGCGCGGCAGGACGGCAGCGAGCAGGCGGGCGGGGGCGTGGTGATGTCGGGCGACGTGAGGACCGACAGCGGCACGTTTGCGCACGTCTTGCAGAGGCGGCGGAGGCGGAGGGGGAAGGCTATGGGTGGAGGCGGCTTGCTGGTGCAGTTCTGGGAGACTTGTGAGTACTGTCCCCAATCCTATCATCGCCACCACCACCGCCGAAAACGCAGGCTGTTTCTTCTTCCGCTGCGCTGGTCCATGCTCCAGAGGCTGCCGCAAAATGCGGGTACAGACCACCACTGCCGCAGTCTCTCTCTGTGGCAGCCCCTTCGCAAAATCAAGCACCCCCTCTCCCCATATATCAACAAACTTACCCTACAAACCACAATCCCGCACTTCCGACACTCCCCCACCATGTCCCTCGCGCACTTGCCGACCTTCCCGCTCAACAGCCTCCTACCTCTGCCCCCGGCGGCCTCGTCGCCGGGCGAGCTGCGCCAGTCGTGCTGGGCGTGGTGGGGGTCCGAGGGCGGCGAGCGGCTCTCGAACGGCGCCTCGTCGTTGCAGCAGCGCAGCGTCTGCGTGACGAGCTGGTTGCGGTACTCGAGCAGGTTGGCGCGGAACTGCCGGCACGTGCGCGACAGGTCGTGCAGCGAGTTGAGGTCGAGCAGCGACGCGAGCTGCGTGACGATCCTGTAGGTGGCCCCGAATTATGCCCAAGTCAGCCCTCGGCCAGCTTCTCCTCCGAGTCCAGCCAAAACCCGTTTTTTTTTTGACCGGTGAAGGGGAGGGGGAATAATGAGGGAGGCAAGAGGACGGGGGGGAAATTACGGATAGCAGCTCAGAATGGCTGAGAAGCCGTTGATGTTGGGATTGGGGCGCTCGTCGTCGCACGGGTGCGGGTTTGGCTGCTGCTGCGCATCGTTGTGGTTGTTGTTGTTGCTGCTGTTGGCGTCTGCAGCGCTCTGCTGCTGATGCTGCTGCGATGACGGATACGCGTCAGTCGGACGGTAGGAGGAGGGCTCGAGGAAAGATTCGTCCTCGTCGAAGTCAAGAAACACCACCATGGTGACGGAACAGCTGCGCCGCGTGCCTCATCGAAGCTCCCGCAACAGGTTACGGCAGAAACTGCACAAGGGGGGGTTGTTGGTGGGAAGAAGGGGGGGTGTGGAAGAAAGCAAGAAAGACAGCTGCGGGGAATGGGCGGCGGCGTTTTGGAGCGAGCAAGCAGCAAGCAGCAGCATCATGACTCGGCCTGGGGCGGGCCAGGCACAGAGGACAGCCTGCAGGCCAACGGGGCAACAGGGCAGCAGCTCACCTTGTCATCCGACATGATCTTGATCTGATAAGATCCTGCCGCCCCCCCATCCGCCTTTCCATTGCCCCGCGCCTTTTATACCTCCCCCCCGCAGTCCCCCCCTGCTTCTTCCTTTTTCCCACCGGTGCGCTGTGCACCCCGAACACGGAGTCATGCACCGCCGATTTCGTAATGCGTTACCCCGTCGTGCCGACCCTTTTCTGTGTAGCTCTACTCGCGTGCTCTCCGGTCTTCGGAGGAGCCGCTTTCTTCTGCTGAACAGACCCCATTGCACACTTCGTGTCCACAAGACTGGGATCCGTGGTAGCGTGCTTTCTTCCATCTTCTCCGCCACTCCGCATTCAGCTCGACCCTCTTGCCGCCAAGCACGTCATCACCCACGGGCCGCGAGATAATTATGCTGCTGTCATCATTGTGAGCGCTGAAAAAGTCAAAGCCTGCATCGCTTTTCCGTGTCCACCACATCCGCCGCCCATGATCCGTCTCGGCCAGCCCGGCAACCCGCCCTCACCCCGTGCTGATCTTCTCAAGTGCATTCATCCCATTATCAGTAAAGAGCATCACTCCGTTCAGGATGCATCATGAAGGAGCCCTAGTTTACCAGTCACGCCCAAAGCTGCAAGGGACCCGACGTTGGAGGGTGTTCTCAAGACAGAGCCGACACCTCCATCCCAGCCAGCCACCCACCATTTGCTTTCCCACCCACGCTCGCTCCAAACGCCCGTATGTGTTGCTGAGCAAAGTAGTCAAAAAAAATAATGAAGAACCGCCCAATCGCCCTGAGAATTCAAAGGAAGAGCCTTATCTACACTCTTTAACACCCACAGAACCGTCCGATTTGCGCCGCCCGTGAGAAAGAGTGAAGAAAGGCAAGAAGCCTAACCATACTATACATTGTCGCATTGAAACCGCTCGTCTCGAAATGAAGCAAAGGAGCTCACGGCGCTGGGGTCCCGGTCGAGCTTTTGCACAACTACCGCCCTCCCCAGCGGTGTTGCACTTCGTGGCTGTCGTCCGGCAGGCATCAGCAAGATGCGCACGCGACTGGCGACCGTGGCCGCCGCAGAGAAAACTCTCTGCTCAGTACCTCTCACCTCCTCTGCATCGCTTGCGGCGGTGGCTGCTGCATCCCCATGCCCATGGGCGGCACCCCGTTCGGGGGCATCCCCATTCCATACGGATGTGCGTGATGGTTGATGTCGCCGATGAAGTTGGTCATGGCCATGCCGCTGATGCCTTGCGCCTGCGACACCGGGCAGTCCTTGTGCGCGAGAAGCATCGTCTTTAGGTTCACTATCTCCTCGCGGAGCTGCGTAATCTGTGCCGAGAGCGCGTCGTTCTCCGTGCTGAACAGCTCCACCTTGGCTTGCAGGTTGGCGAGCCACTGCTTCTTTCTTTGACGACACTTGAGCGCGGCAACCCTGTACGACGTTAGACGGAAAAGAAGGCGGTGCGTGCAAGACAATACCATACCTGTTGCGTTCCAGGAAATTCTTCCGCTTCTCCTCGTCCGTCATCTTCTTGCCGTTAGCGTGCGTATCGCTACCCTCCTGCTTGACGTTATCGTCATCAGAGTCGTCCTCCTCGTCGTCTTGGCTTTGGGCAGCGTTGCCACTATTGGTCTTAGCTTTCTTTGCCGGGCCCTTGACGGCACCATCGTCGGCTTTCCGCCTGCCATTAGAGACTTGGCTTTTGCTGGTGGAACCCTTCTTGCCGCCACGAGACCTGGCGGGCTTTTGGTCCTCGCTGTGGGCGTCGTCCGAAAATTCGCCAGTGTCGGCAGAGCCGGACATGCTGACAACAGAGTTCTTACCCGCACGCTTCGTCGTCGGCGATGTCTCTTGAGACTGGTTGTTCATCTGGGCGACGTTGGTGTTGACGTGAGACGGCTGGCCAGGCATTGCAAATTGGTTGTTGGTGTTCTGCTGGGCGTCGGCACGCGAAAGACCCAACAATGATGTCACGACATTCGCATCATGTTGACCGAACGGATCCTGTTGTTGTTGACCCTGGTTCTGCTGCTGGTTACCTGATGCCTGGGGTGGGTATTGTTTACTGTCGCTGGTCGACTGGTTGTTTTGCTCAGCCGGCTGAGAGGTGGGAGGGTTAACGTTTTGCCCGAAGGTATTATTCATCTTCAATGCAGCCCGGTAGAATTCACTAGTGTTGGGTGTTGCGCCGCCGCTTTGGAGAGAATTGAACAAAGCCTGTGAATTGGGACTCGGAGCAGGGAACATGGATCCACCACCGCCGGGAGTCAAACCAGTACGCAAAGAGGACTCGTTGGGGGTCGGAAAACCACCCTTCCAGGGCTCGCCAAAGTAGTCACCACCGCCGGTAGGCCCGGTTAGCATTGCAGGACTCAGCGGTCCTGACCTTAGGGAGTTGGGCCAACCAGGCGTGCCTCCCGGCAGCAAAGATGAAGGCGATGTCAAACTTGCAACGGGCGGCAGCAAGCTCTTTCCAGGTGTCTCCGCGGCAGGGTTGCCGAAGGATTGCTCGAAAGGGTTTGGCTCCAGGTTGAAATGGCTGTTGCCAGAGCCGTGTGCACTGCTAAAATAATCCGAACCGTCGACGGCGGTATTTTGTCCCGGACGGGGAGGAGGAGCAAGAGGGGCAGTCGTCGTGGGTGCGGCCGAGGTTTTTGCGTCGCCAGCGTTGTCTGGTGCTTCTGCACCATGGTCAGAGACAGTCATTGAGTGATGATGATGAGAGGCAGATGACGATGCAACGGAGCGCGTCGATTGTCGGTCACACATACCTATTCTGGGTGGAGTGGGCTGCTTCGTCTCATTGTCCAACTTGGGGGTTTCTGCAGCACGCAGAGACCGTCAGCAGGGTGGCTAGGCGGTGCACGGGGGGGTGGCGATGAACAGTGAAGGTGGACGGGCATGGCAAGCAAGCAACACGACGACAGGAGAGGTGGAGCAACAAACCTTCGCCTGGCAAGTTTCGCTTCGAATCTTGCGGGGATGACATGCTTGGAACGACTTAAGGGGGGGGAGGTGTTTGAGTTTCTGTAGGCGGGTGGTGCGCTCTTTGAATGACGTAAGGGCGTGTTGTGTCGATCCGTCGTTTGGATGGTTGGACTCTCGCCAGCCCTCAGGACCGCGTCGTGCCAAAACCCAACTACTTCCGGAGGCGCGAGCAGGCGCAAAGACTTTCTTTGTCTGTGTCGCAGCACGGCAGTCAGCACTCTGGTCTAGCGCGCGCACCTCTCGACGACGTCGTCGCGACGTGGGCGAAGGGCTGGCTGCGATGCGGCCTCCTTGGCGCGGTCGCAGGGAGGAGTCGCGCACTATCTTTTGCCACCGGCGGAACAGGCTTACCAGCAACAGGCGGCGCGTCGCTGCGTGCACGCGTTGAGCCGCTGACGCGATGGTATGCAGACGCGCAGGCGAAGGAGCTTGACGCGAACAGATGCTGCGCGACGTGGTTGTCGGGTTGGGGCGTGGTGTTGCGAAAATCTCGAGGCTCGGGGGTGGGCGTGACGCAATTCCCCTGATCGCAAAACGGCAGCGACGATGGGGCAGGCGCACTGCTGGGCGGCGCACAACTGCGCGTATGGCCGAGGGGGGCGTGTGTCTCGGGCGGCGTCGACGGTACGGGAGTGAGGCTGATGCCAGACTGCCAATGCCTGTTCGTCCCAAAGCGGGCGTGGTTTCTGCGAGTTGGCGGTGATGATGAAAGAGGTGACGTAGCGAGGCAACGGAAGCATTTTTATGATACCACCGGCTTGCCCAGGTGCTTGTTAATCAGGCCAGGTCACGTGCCGCACCGCGCGATTCAGACCCCCGAGCCCACGCCACCCCTTGGAGCGCTCCCCGGCAGCGCGTCGTCAGCCCACTACCGCGCAGCTGTCCGATAAGCATAGCGGTATAAGAAGCAGCGCTGCGCCTGCGACCGACGCTGCGAGTGCGATGCCGCCGTCGCCGCGGCTGCAGACTCCTCTCGGCGTGCGTGCCGCTGCTGGCCGCAGACGGGCAGCCCCTCTTCCCAGGCGGCTGGGCGATGACGTTACCTGCTCGCTAGGGCAACCGCCTCGTTCCACCGATCCATGCGGCCGTCGTGCCCGCCTCGACACGGCTGCCAGACGGCAACCGTGCCGCCAAGCACACACCCAAACCGCGACGCCCATGTCTTCTTCATCTTCACCAGGTGGAGAGCGTCTTTAGCATGTGCACAGCTGTGCCGCCGGAGCGGCAAGGGCCGCAGTCTCGCTGTTGATACTGTCTGCTGCTGCTGCTCCCTCCGACGCCTGCCCATTGGTTCATCCCCCGTAGTTCGTGCCACTTTCCCCGACCAAACCTGCCCCAGCCCACTTTGTGCGGAACCGCTGGGCGTCCATTAAATGGAGATCTCCTGTCTCCGGCGCCGTCCCGATCCGTTGATTCGACCCGACCCCGTCGTCTCTCCTGTCTGCCCTGCCCTGCCCTGCCCTGCTCAGCGTTCCTCATCGCCATCACGATCCCCGGTACGTCGTGTAGTTGAACGGGCCCAGCAGCAGCGGGACGTGGTAGTGCTCGTCGCGCCCGCGCACCACAAACTTGATCTCGACCTCGGGGAAGAAGGCCTGCACCCCCCGCTGCTCCCAGTATGCCCTGGTCTCGAACTTCAGAGCCCACACCATCTCCGCATGTTCCCCACTCTCCTCGTGTGCCTTGATGTTGTGGAAGATCTCCTCGAGCGTGGTCGGGTCGCCCGCGGGAGCCGCCCATCCGGTCACTCGTCCGTCGCCGTTGGTAGTCGCCGAGAGCGGCGTGCTCGGGCCGTACGGGGACAGGAGCGTGAGGCTGACGGGGATCGAGGCGGCGGGGCGGCCGGCTGTCGTGTCAAGGACGTGGCAAGTGATCGGTGGGCGCTTCTGGGCCATGGCGGTGGAGGATGGTGGGTGGGCTGTTGCGGCAGCCGACCGGTTGGCTAGTTGTTCTGCAAGTGCGACAGCGCGGTTGACTGCGTCCGGTTTGGGCTTGGGCATTGGTTGCGGTTCGCGACGCGCGAGTGGTGCTGAGGGCTGCTCGGAGGGGGGCGAGGTGTGCGACACGACTTTAAAAAGGATAGGCGGGCGATGGTTTGTCAATCGCTCTGCAAAACCGCCAGGCTGTTTGATACTCGGACCCCGCCGTCGGTCCCCGCAGCTCGCCGCCAGCATGGACACCGCTTGGAATGACTCGCCAAACAACCGCCTTGGCGCATCATGACGCACCATTTGTGTCTATTTATTGCTTTGTCATTATTCTTACTTCTCGAGTTAACTAGAATCATCACTGGAGCAGCAGCGTCCCAGGTTGCAATCCAGGTATGGGGGTTTGGACAGTGGCGCAATCTCTCCTCTTGGCCACTGTATCATAGACTTTAAGCCTGCATGTCTTTGTTTTTTCTGTGCTTTTTTTGCCGATCAATCAGTATTCTTACACCCGTTCACCGTGCTTGGGCTAAATCTCTAAAAAAAACTCATGGGAATTGTCTGTCATTGATTGTACCGAGCAATATATGTACACGATACGAAGAAAACCTTCAGCTACACTGCCACGAAAGCGCAGCCAAAACTGAGAACGACAGCCACCTGTTTGCAGGTCCGACCGTGGCTGAAGCAAAAAAAAAAAAAAACACAAAACGCCTGACCGACACCGGGCCAGAGTAATACTCCTTGCTGCACTATTTGCCCGAAAGGACCCGACTTTTCCGTACGCATATACCAAACGTCGTCACAGCGGTGAAGACGCGTCAGACTTCTGGAGCGTGAAAGCACGAAAGAACTGATGTTGGAGCCAGTAATAAACGCCGTATGAAAACCGGAACAATCCCCGCAAGCCGGATATCAATGTCGCTGACAGCTCATTATGCGTTACCTGCCCGCCCGTGAACTCCTAAGTCCGTTACGCCTGGTATGTGTCAAATAGTGATCGAGAAAGATACTAGGCTGTATGGTTTTACCTGGAACTCTAGCCAGTTTGTTCAACCCTCAACCTTTGGCCTTTTCTCCTCACGTTCATGCTCTCCTATTGCATCACCGTCTAGGCTCCGTTTGACGCCGGTTTCAGGAACTGTTCTTGGGGCAGGCGATGGCCGTTTACCTGCAATTTGCCCAGGCCCAAGTGCTGGAGGTGTTGGGTTCACAGGCGTTCCTGGCTTGGGACTTCCGCCTAATGGAGTCAACGCTTCAACCGGCGGTGGAACAGGTGTGCTCGTGCCGTTCGCACGTGGTGGCAGGACTTGCGCTGGCACTGAAGCCTGAACTCGCTGCGCATTGGGGACTGGCACAGGTGTCGCTGTGGCTGGTGTCGAAGTCGCTGCAGGCTGAGATTCGGCGGTGTTGTTCGCGCTTGTCTGCAAGTGATTCTGGGAATTGTTTGGGATCGAGAGCTTTGGGGAGGTATCCGTGGATAGCTGGTCCGTTGAATTCTGCTGGGAATCAACATCTGAAGCCATGACCGGCCCGGAGCCACCGATATGCGTCTGAGATGAAACTGGCTGCGACGGGGTGGCTCGCTGATTCTGGGGCGGCGCTTGACTCGGAGAAGTGGTGTGTACACTTGCACCAGGAACATTGGAGAGACCTTGGGCAGGTTGGCTATCCGTTGTGCTCTGGGCTGGTGTGGGTGTCTGACCAGCATGAACCGGATTTGACGCGGTGTTCTGTACTGGAGCCAAAACACCTCCGTTTGCCTGCAAGGACCCAGCAGGTGTCGTTCCCGCCGTAGGTGCCCTTCCAACTCGCCGTTCAGCCTCTTCGACGAGATACCCGTAATTGAACTTCTTCAGCATGCCCTTGACTGCATCTTCAATGTCTTTTTCGTCTTTAAGATCCAATTTCGCGGTCTCATCCATTTCCTCCTCCGTCTTCGGCAGATACCTCTCTGGGTGGAGGGCGCGCTCTAGGCCACGATCGAGGAGTTTGATAATTTCATCCCGCGTCAGTTTGCGCTTGAGCATGGTGTGAGAATTCTTGATGTAATAATCGCGGAAACCGTTGAGCATTGGGGCATATGGCGCAGTGTCCGAATACAGATTAGACTTCCGTGGCGGAATGGGTTCACTAGGCGGATTGGCTGCAGAAACGGGGGTTGGCGTAGCGCTCTGCTGTACAGGATGCTGCGGGGCCTGTGATGTTCCAGGCTGGGCATGTTGCGGTTGCGTGGGATGAGGTGGACGCGGATAAGCCAGCGCGTGAGCTGGCGGAGAATAAGCAGGCGCACCCGCCGTGGCGTAAGGCGATGGGCCGGCCGTTGCATATGAGCTTCCAGGAGGTAGTGCTGCTGACGAATTTGGAGGGTAAGGCATAGCAGGTGCGCCCGGTGGGGCCCCATAGGGCGAGGCTCCGTAAGGACTAGGGTAGGGCGGCCGCGCACTGTTGGGAGGCCCATACGGCGGTCGGTGCTGAACGGGCTGTGCTGCTTGTCCAAGAGGTTGAGAGCCATATGGAGACTGGTAGGTGCGTTGTTGCGCTGCTGGATATGCTTGACCAGGAGCTGCCGGCGGCCTTGGAGGATACGGACCAGGAGGGTGCTGATATCCGGGTGCGCCATGGGGCATACCATAAGGAGATTGATGACTTGCAGGATAGTAAGGTCTGGGTGGGGCTTGCGGTGGAGGGGTCACCCGCTTACGCCTTTCCTTCTCGATAGAAACTCCGGGATTGATGGCCCAGAGCCAGCCCTTTCCTTCCTTCTCAGCTTTGCGGAAAGCATCGTGTTGACCAAGGTTGTGTCGGACACTGCTCTGCCAGCCTGTAGTCCCAGTCTTGAACTTGTAGTAGGGGTACTTTCGCTCAATGGCACTGTAGATCTGCTGGAGATTGAGCTTCCCTTCCTTCGAGTTCGAGATGGCTTCATGAATGAGAACGACGTAGTTGGCTGCTGGACGCTGAAGTTGCTCTTCCGTGTAATCGGACTCCTTCATCTCCGGTGATGGTGTGCGCAGTGGCCTTGAAATCTTGACTGATTTCTTCTCTGCGCCTTGTCCGTCACCCTCCGGACCTGCAGACTCGCCCTCGGTGCCTTCCTTGGGCTTCTTCTCCGATTTCCCTTCTCCTTCCTTCTTCTCGCGAGGGCGGGTGAGATCAACCTTTGTGATAGATTCTGGATCGAGTCCCAACTTTCTGGCTTTTTCGGCTTCTTTCTTGCGGCGCATGATCTCAGCCTTCTCACGTTTGGACATGATGCCATCCTTTGGTGGTCGGCCTGGCCCCTTTTTCCTCTCGATCACCGTGCCAGGCTCCAGACCAAGCCTCTCGGCTTCTTCAGCCGTGAGGACACGCCTGCCACTACTGTCCTTGTTCGCCTGCGCTTCGGACTTCTTCTCTTCTTTGTCCTTGCCGTCCTCCGTCTTGATCTCAGGTTGCGGTATCTCGGTACTCGGCTGTGGCACATCTTCAGGAGGGACAATGCTGACTTGCGATGTAGATTCACCCTTCTCTTTGGGTTGGGCAACCGTCTTCGAAGGTGCTTTCGAGGGAGCTTTGGAGGGTGCTTTCGAAGTCGTCTTTGAAGCGGTTTTCGATGCAACTTTCTCCTTCTTCTCCTTCTTCTCCTTCTTTTCTTTCTCTTTCTCCCTCTCCCTCTCCTTCTCCTTTTCTTTCTCTTTAACCTTGTCCTTCCCAACATCGTCGGCTGCACCATCGTTTTCAACTTTCGGGGCCGTCTTCCCTGCGGCCTTCGCTTTCGCTGCTCGCTTAGCTTTGAGCTTCTCAATCTCCTTCTCCTTCTTCTTCTTCTTTTTCTTGAGGCGAGCTTCTGCCTTCGATTGCTTGGCCGGCGTTTGCTGGGATGGCTGCTTGAGCTTCAACTTGAGCTTCACCTTTGGCAGATTCTCATGCTCGCGATATTCATCTTCAGCGTCGTCATCAGCAGAAAACTCCTCTTCCTCGGAATCCCAGCCATAGGCGTGTGGGCTAAAGTCATATTGTTCGGCATAGCTGAAGCCATCGTCATCGCTCTCATCGTCATCGGGAATGATACTCTGGCCTCGGCCGTCTTCGAAGTTGAGGCTGATTCCCCCGCTAATGCTGTCTGAGCTGTCTGAGCGAACGTCTTCATCATCGACGGGAGCGTTTGGTAGCCGGAACATCATGGTGACGGCACCGATCTGGATCTTATCTCCATCGTGGAGCTCAACGGCATCGTGTTCCGGCATGTAGTGAACCTCGTTCAAGAAAGCACCATTCCTGCCAAGCACCTTCATTTCGAAAACCTGGCTGTCAAAGCTATAGTAAATCTTGAGATGCTTTCTGGAGATGCCCTTGTGGCCAACCGGACCGCTGTCGGACGTGGGTGGGTGAATGGGTACCAAAGGAACCTCGTGAGGGTCTGGAAGGAAGGAAGAGGAGTCGGGGTGGGATTGGTAAACAAGTTCGTTGTAATCTACCGGTTCGAAGGCATTGCTGCCAGCAATGGAACTCTTCCGGGAAATGCGTTGCGAGGACGAGCTGGCCGATTTTGCTTCTTTCTTCTTCCTTTTCCGCTTCAAGGGTGCGACATTAACATGATAGTCCTCTCCTCCCATGATACCACCGCACTCGCTGAGGTTGCTGCGACAGACACTTGCTACACTGGGAGCAGCAGGCCTCATGGGTGTCTGCGGGCCTTCTCCGCCATTGCCAGCCGCTTGTTGCTCCGGGGGCTCTTCCTGATTACGCTTCCGCATCTCCTGCCGGAACGCACGAGTGTCTCGGCCAAGCTCCACCGAGTATGTTGTCATGTAGAAATCTCCATCGGGGAACTCGAGCTTGGCAAAGGCACACTGGCGGCTGTCTTCGATTTGAAGAGCTGGATTTGACGACAGAAGAGTAGAGGCGAGCATGTCTGGAGGAATTGCCAACGCATCGGATGGTTGAACATCCATGCTGTCGAGGTAGTCCTGCTCATTCGGGGCGCCCATCAGGAAGACGTCCTGTGCCGCCGCACTGTTCAGGTCTTGAGGGCCGGAGACGAAGGGATCAGGCAAGTTTGCAACATTAGGCACAATGCTGTTGTCCTGGGTCGCACCCTCTGGAGGCTGCGGGGGACCGTCAAAGAAGGCGATGAGCTGATCTCGGGTAGCTATCTCAGTAGGCACAGGCGTGTCGTCGGGCTTTGTGGTGGCTGGCTGGGTTGTTTGCTTTTCTTCGGGCGCTTGAGTTTGTGCGCCATGTGAGCTTTCATCCTGCGCCACTTCCCCATCGGCCTCAGCGCTGGCTGCTGCAAGGTCGTCACTGGCGCCTTCGGCGGCAGGCGCAGGCGGTGGCAGGGTCGAATCGGCGGCGGGCGGCGGAGCTTGGGTGTCGGGCTGGGCGTCGGGAACGGCAGGCTCGCCTTGTGTGTCTTCCATGGTTGTCGCGTCCGGCAGGGGGGCGGGATTGGTGGTTGTCTCTTTCTCCTCCATCATGACGGCGGTTTCGGCATCGGCATCTTGCGTCGCGAATGGAGAAGGACGCGCATACGGCGGGGAAGCAGCAGCTGGGGTCGGCGCGGGCGGGGCGGGCCTGGCTGCTAGGCGTCTGCGACTGCGCTCCCGAGCGACTGCGAATTGTGGCCCGGCGAAGGTGGACGGCAGCGCGGAGTGGCTGTCGCGGCGGGTGAGGGACGCTGGAGCGATCATGAAATCTCAGGCTTGGCGCGCTCTGGCCGAGGATTATCCAGATTTGTTGTCTCGCCGAGCCTGCGGGCGGTCCACGCGGCGGGCGGTGAGCGGTGGGCGGGCAGGCCTCCTCTTGTGCCGTCTGTCGCGGCTCGGGGCTCGCAGAGGGGTTGCGCGGAGAGGGAGGGAGCGCGGCGTTTGTTCTGCGGGTGCGGCTAGCTGCAGCTTTCCACACCGGAACAGTCATCGTCATCCGACCAGCGGTAGGTAGGCAGCATCCTGTTCAACGCTTTTTTTGAGCCGCACGTTCCCGCTAGGCCCCTCCAACCGCGCCAGCCGCAATGCCGCCCAAGGGCAAGAAGAAAGACGCTGCGATCAAGCCAGCTGCCGCACCGCCAGAGCAACGGCCGCCGGACTGGCCTGCCTTCAAACCCCTCATTCCGCCTTCAGACCTATCCCTGCAGGAAGTCGTCCCAGAGCAGATTGTAACAGTGCCCAATTTCTGGCCGTCCTCGCTCTGCAAAACTTATGTGTCTTTTCTCTCGTCGTTGCCCCTCACCACTACTCCGGGGAAGCCCAAGAAAGGAGATGCTGTGCGAGTAAACGACCGCTTCCAAATCCAAGACGCAGTCTTCGCCAAGAGGCTGTGGGAAGAAACAGCACTCAAGGATATTGTGCTCGGCAACGTCGAGTCTGAAGATGGGCTGCGCATGACTGAGGCCGAGAGGACATCCCTCTGGGGCGGTGAAGCCGTGGGACTAAACCCCAACATCCGCATCTATCGCTATTCGAAGGGGCAGTTTTTTGACCAACACTGTAAGCGCCCTGTTGCACTGCCAGACCGACCCCGCTAAGGAGGCCTAGACGATGACTTCAACAGCGTGGTGATTCCAGGAGAGAGAGACATTCAAGCTCGGACGACTTGGACCCTGCTTCTCTATCTAACCTCGCCGGCCACGGGGTGTCTTGGAGGTGAAACAGTCTTTTACCCGGATCCTCCAAAGAAGGCGTCCAAGAAGGACCCTCCGCCAGAACCCATTGTAGTCGGCTTGGAAGTTGGCATGGCTTTGCTCCACAAACACGGAGCGGACTGCATGCTGCATGAAGGCAGGGAAGTTTTGGAAGGTGAGAAATGGGTCATTCGCAGCGATTTGTGCGTTCGCCGGTAGCGACCACAGACCCCGTGTACGGTGTGTGGTTGGATCACGAAGTTTGGCAAACAAAAGAGACTGCTATTCTAGTCTGTGCGACGGGTGGTGCTGGATATGCTGCTTCGTTTAAGCTACCTTGAAGAGCCTCCAGTGCGCACGGGCCTGATGAGAGCAGATGCATCTATTGGCCAACACATCACTTCCAAACAAAAATCTTCGGACCGCAGAAGTCCTTGCGAAACACTGCAAGTGGCGTTCAGCCAGGTGGAATCTTCAGCACGGGCCGAGTGGTACAAAGCATCATTATGCATGACTATTGCGGCTTGATGCCGGCAGGAAAGTCGCAGCATGGTTCTGCAGTGCGCCAGATGCCTTTGTTGACGTGTGATAGCAAGCCGGGTTTTTGAAATGTCTTGGCGCGAGCGCGCTACGTTTAGTCTCGGCCGGTCATGCGGGGCGCACACCGCAACTATAGCGGCTTCCACTTTTTGGCGGTGTGGCGGCGCTGTGGACCCTTGCAAGCGGCAGCGGCGCGTCAACCTCATCCAACAGACGCGAACGACAACACCAACGTGCTTGGCCAAGCGCATCTGTTGCCACTCGATCCAAGCTCGACTAAGAGCTCCTCAGCCTCGGCGCGCAAGCCTCTCCCGACCGCCGCCGCCCTCGCATCGACCAGCGCCGTCAACAGGCAAGCTTCGACCCGCCTTCCACCATGGGCTCCAGACTCCTCAACGCACCCATTGTGCTCGACAACGGCAGTGGAACGATCCGAGCGGGCTTTGCTGGTCAGGACCTTCCGAAATGCTACTTTCCGTCCTACGTCGGCCGCCCGAAGCACGTCAGGGCCCTTGCCGGAGCGCTGGAGGGTGACGTCTTCATCGGACCGCGAGCACAAGAGCTGCGGGGTCTGCTAAAGATCAATTATCCATTGGAGCATGGCATTGTCACGGACTGGGACGACATGGAAAGGATATGGCAATACGTCTACGCCGAGGAGCTGAAGACAGTGAGCGAGGATGTGAGTTTCCAGTGGTGCGCTGGCTCGTTCAAGCTAGCTGGCGTTTCCTCCGATTGCCTGCCACATCCATCACTGGCTGCACATGGCTAACCACAGGCGGCACGCAGCACCCTGTCCTGCTCACCGAGCCCCCGCTGAACCCGCGCACCAATCGCGACACTGCTGCCCAGATCCTGTTCGAGACGTTCAACGTGCCTGCGCTCTACACTTCTATACAGGCCGTGCTGTCCCTCTACGCGTCTGGCCGTACTACCGGTGTTGTCCTTGATGCCGGAGACGGCGTTTCCCATGCGGTGCCTGTTTATGGTGGATTCCAGATCAACAACGCGGTGCAGAGAATAGATGTCGCAGGGCGCGATGTGACGGAACACCTCCAGATGCTGCTGAGAAAAAGCGGCTACGTCTTCCACACGAGCGCGGAGAAGGAGATCGTGCGCAACATCAAGGAATCACACTCGTACGTCTGCCTGGACCCGGTCAAGGAGGAGAAGGAGTGGTCGGGCAGCACTGCCAGAGCGAACGAGAAGAGCGTCGAGTACAAGTTGCCGGATGGAAAGAAGCTCAAGGTAAGCCATGCCGGCTTTGCGGTCTTTTTGCCTCCTTGATGACCAACGAAATCAGATCGGCGCCGAGCGCTTCCGGGCTCCTGAGATCCTGTTCAATCCGGAGCTCATTGGGTCAGAGTACCAAGGTGTCCACCAGCTCGTCGTCAACGCGATCAACAGGACCGATCTGGACCTGCGCAAGGATCTGTTTGGAAGCATTGTGCTCTCGGGCGGGTCCACTCTGACGAAGGGCTTCGGTGACAGACTGCTGCACGAGGTCCAACGACTTGCGGTTAAGGACATGAGGATCAAAATATACGCACCTCCTGAGCGCAAGTACACTACGTGGACTGGCGGCAGCATTCTTGCTGGGCTAAGCACGTTCAAGAAGGTCAGTCACGCAAGCACCCCTTGAGCTAGTACGGAGGGCTAATGATCAGCAGATGTGGGTGGAGAAGGACGAGTGGCAGGAAAATCCGGACATAATCCACCAGAAATTCGCATGAGGCGTCGCGCAAGCCCCCTTCGGAGATTCGTCATTTCGCCTTGCATCAGCTTAGGGGCACGCTCGCCATCACGCGGGTGGGTGTCCCCCTGGCCCTGCGGCGAGACTCCGAGCGAGCGGTCTTCGGGGAGGTTGGCGCAGGCGATCTACGTGTCATGTCGGGGTCAGCCCTCTGGTTCTTAGCTCGGCCAGGGTCGGGCTCCCCCGCATTTTCGCTTACCGCCGCGTTCCTGCTGTTTCTGTTACCAAATCCCGAGCTTCCCCTCTCCGCACTTTTCGACTCCATGTGCGGCGTTTTGTCTGGACTGCAACACAATACCCCGGCGTTTGGCATTTTCACGATGGTTGAGGGATTTGACGGACATCTCTTACGCAACGGCTCCCGGAGTGGCACGAATTACCTGATCCCAACAGACGCAAGGCCCCTCTTTGACCGGCAGGAGCGGGGCGATGAGGCAATTGAGACGCCGGCTTCTGGAGGCCTTGGCCGGTTGCAGCGGTCCGGGGTAATGGACTAGGGGCGGGAAGCAAAGTCTGGGGACGACGCTAGGACATGGCCGGCCAGGAACGCAAGAACAATGCCTGCTTGTGCGTCGCCGCTGTAGGAACGCTGTTACCTCGTGTAGGACTACGTAGGTAGCGTATTGCCGAGTCTCGGTTCATCAGCTTCTCCTGAGCCCCGTGATTCCTCCAGCGTGGCCTCGCAGTTGCACAGGCCAGCGCTGCGTCAGCAGGCGTGAGCAGGAGCGCGAGCACGGGCTCGTCCTGAGGCATGAGCTGTCCTGCCCCGGATCGCCCAAGTAGTGCACGACGGACGGGTCCCCAGGACAGCAGGGCGAAGTGCGGTGTGCGGCGTGCGGCGTGCGGCGTGCGGCGTGGCCGGGGCGGGCGTCATGGGCGGGCGCGGTCACAGCAGCTTACCCCGACGCTGAGGGCAGCAGGCGCAGGAGGGCGCGTCTGGCACAGCGGGTGCAGCAGGCCAGGCCTGGAGCGCAGCGCACGCGGGCGGGAAGCGATCTCACGATTCACGGGATGGTTTCTGTTACGACGCCATTACCCCATATTTACTGCCTGGCGCGGTCGCATCATGCGCGGGCATCCAGTCAGCGACGCGGCTCTGGCACACGCGCCACACGGCGGCCTAGAGGTTACATAACGGAAACGCGCGCAGCCAGACTTCCAGACACGGGGCCGGGCGCCGGAGGGCAGCCGCGACCAGGCGTGCGCAAAAATTGCTCCTGGCGCCCATGCCGCTAACTGCAAAGCGCGTCTTATTTTGACGCCCGCCAAGGATCCCAGACCGGCCCCGTGACGAACCCACGTTCTCACAACTGAGGCCGCTTCCCCAAGCTGCAAAGCTCGTTCCCCAAGCTGCAAAGCGCTGCTGAGCTGTGACGCATGGCATCGTGACCTGATTCTTTCGCCATTTGATGCAATTTTTTCGCCCGGAAAGGGGCCCACGCCGTATAAGACGCCCCGACAGCCCGCGGCCGTTACCACCAAGCATCCAGATTCCCCTCCAAGCCTCGCTAGAACCGCGCTCCAGTGTTCTCTGCCATTGCCTCTTTCGGACAGCAGCTACCACACCCCACCATCATCACCACCACCCCACCGAATTTTCAAAATTCCAGCCATGACCACCAGCCGCAACTACAGCATCACCGAGCCGCACCCCTCGGTGCCGGCCGCCTCGACCGCCTTCCACTGGGGACGTGGTGGCGCCGGCAACGTGACGCGCATCAGCTCGAAGGAGGTGACGGCCGGCCCCTCAGCCACGGGCCCTGCGTCGCGCATCAAGCTGCCCGCGCCTCCGTCGTCCGGCCAGTACCTCACCGGACGCGGCGGCGCCGGCAACGTCCACCGCGAGCGCGCCATCTTCAGCTTCGACGAGGAGCTCCGCCAGCAGCAGCGGCTGCAGGACACGGCTTCGCCCGTCTACCACGTCGGCCGCGGCGGCTCGGGCAACCTCATCAACGAAGCCAAGCCGCAGAACATCCGCAAGGGCTCTGCCAGCTCGACCTTCTCCAACGACAGCGATGACAGCGTCAAGTCGGCCCCGCACATGAAGGCGCGCCGCAGCTACGAGGGCGCCCGGAACTGGCTCAACCGCACGCTGTCGGCTCGGTAAACACGTAGCTCGAACCAGTCTTGGGCTTGTCTCCTTTTTTTTCGGCAACTTTATATCTCGATTCAACAACCATTGACCGTCATGGACTCCAGCGGGCTGGTCCTGATTCCCGCGTCTTTCAGAGCATTTCGACGGCGCCTTCGGCTTTCGGTGGCATCTTTCAACCATTCACGCCATCCTTCCATCTGGATCGAGGCAACCAACTTCGAGGAATACGTTTTAGTAGCATCACAGGGAGCAGTGTCATCTGGAGGGAAACAAACAAAAAGTTATTGAGCGATTACTGATTTGGGTGGGATTCGGCGATCATCATCATATACCCGGCGAGGAGTTTGGGAATTCCTCGTGGAGAGGGCCACTACTTTTCCAACTAGCATGTGTTTTTCTTTTTTTTTTCTTTTAGTTCTTTTTCCTTCGCGCATCATCGTACAACAACCAGCGGCGGATATACCCAACCCCCGGTGAGGGCGCTAGTAAACCCTAGCAAAATTTTGTTTTCAAATTAGCTCTCAAGTACCGAGTTGCCATTCGGCAATTAATGCTACCGAGTGGATTTCCACCAGACTTGTTGTTCTGTCTTGGCTCTGTCTTGGCTCTAAGCGAGTTGGCTTTGTCATCACGTTCTTCGACTTCTTCGACATCCATCTCTCACACGCAGCGCTACTTTCTCGCTCCCGATCAGCGCGACGGTTTCTTATACAAAGGGATTTGCGCTCCTATTAATACTTCACAGCTGCGCGGCATTAACTGGACACGGCGACACGTAGCGTGAAGATCGAAAGCGGGCCCGGTGTCTTCTCCGGGCAGCCTCTCACGCGTCCACGGTGTGCGTTTGGAGCAGGATGTGGATTGTGTGCCCAGACACGGTGCGTGAAAAAAAAAAAGACGCGAGTGTCTAAAGCCGTGCACGATGGGCTTCGTCGTCGGCCGAGGCGGACGAGGGGTGGAATGTGCAATAGAAGGTAGGTCATGCGGAAGGCCGGGGGACAGGCAGCGCGCGGTTGTTGCCGGGGCCTAGGATCGGCCGGGAGAGACGACGAGGCTCGGATGGCGCCGAGCCGTGCAGTAGAAAATTTTAGACACACTGACGTCGATCTAGAGGGGTCCAGCCACAGAGCCAAGCACTGCAGATTTTTCGTCCGGCCTTCTAAAGCCGTGGCGCTGATGTCATGGATTCCTGGGGAAGTCGGCCGAAATGATTACTCGTCGCGTTGCCGAGGGGCCGCTGTGCCGCGGCTGTCTGGAGTCGCTCATTCTCCCTCGGGGCCCCTTTCTCGTCCCGCATGCAAGCTGGCAGCCACGCCGCCACGCAGCAAATCTCACTCATCTGCACCAGCGGGCCGCACGGAGCGCGCGTCGCTAACTAAACTCCGAGTCCGAGATCCCGCCAAACTTCTCCCACCACGAGCCCACATGCCGAAGAATCGGCAGTCTCACGTCCTGCATCCGACCACGAAAGGCCCCTATTGCGCCATCGTGTCGGCGCCCTTCTCGTCGGACTGTCGCAGGCGCGGTCCACTTGCGCCCCAGAGCTCTGCCAAAGCGCCAGGGAAAGAGCACCAGAGCACCGCTTCTGCCACTTTTTTGCCTTGATCGGGCCAGTTCCGATGAGCAGGCCCGATAGTTCATTTGTCATTTTGCTCCAAGTACGAACATCTTTCCCTACCCGGCTTCGTGCCCCGGCAGTCTGCCACACCCGCCCATCTCGTTGGCTGCTGCATGTGCTTTCCATGGACATCTATCGCCGGCCGAGAGATGCGGACGCTGCGTGGCTGCCTCCTGGTTGGTCCGCTCTTCTCAGGCCCGCTATCGCCCTTCTCTTATCCGCCCCGATCTAGGGTTTTGATACATCTAGGGTCCTTGCAGACGTCACTGCGGTGAAAAGTAAACATTTTTTGTCCGTTTGTCATAGCTCTCGACGATAACTGTCTTTTGTCTCCTCTCGTCGCCGCCGCAACTACTTAATCAAGGCCCCTCCCTTGCTGTTGACCCCCCAGTCCGCTCAGTCTTCCTCCAAAAACCTCCTCAGCCCTTCGATTTCAAGTGTCTTTTTGATACCCCAACCTCAACTTCCTTCACCATGCCTCACTCCTTCACCGTCTACAAGGGTACCTCCACTGGCGCCATCACTGAGGCCCAGACCACCCGCCCCGACCTCGTCGATGACCAGGTCTACGTCAAGGTCACCGCCTCGGGTCTTTGCGGCACTGACCTGCACTACCGCCACGCCGACATGGCTCTCGGCCACGAGGGTGTTGGCATCGTCGAGCAGGTCGGCCCCAGGGTCAGGAACCTGAAGGTCGGCGACCGCGTCGGCTGGGGCTACCAGCACGACGAGTGTGGCCACTGCAAGCAGTGCTTGACCGGCCAGGACGTCTACTGCCCGGAGCGTGCCATGTACGGCTTCGCCGACCTCGACCAGGGCTCGTTCGCCACCGGTGCCGTCTGGAGGGAGGCCTTCCTGTTCTCCATCCCCAAGGACCTCGCCGACGAGGACGCCGCGCCCCTCCAGTGCGGCGGCGCCACCGTGTGGACCTGCTTCGACGACTACAACATCGCGCCCACCGCCCGCGTCGGCATCCTCGGCATCGGCGGCCTCGGCCACCTCGCCATCCAGTTCTCCGCCAAGCGCGGCTGCGACACCGTCGTCTTCTCCGGCACCGACTCCAAGAAGGAGGAGGCCATCAAGCTCGGCGCCCACGAGTTCTACGCCACCAAGGACAAGAAGGAGCTCGAAATCGGCACTCAGCTCGACGCTCTTCTCGTCTGCACCAGCGCCCACATCGGTAAGTTCCTGGCATGCAAACCCTATGCATACACCACCCCCAACAAAGCCCCCTCCTTTCTGACGCCGTTTTTGCACCAACCACAGACTGGGCCACGTACATGCCGCTGCTCGCCCCCGGCGCCATCATCTTCCCGCTGTCGGTCGAGTCGGGCGACCTCGTCGTGCCGTACATGCCGCTGCTGCAGGCGGGCCTGCGCATCCAGGGCTCCATCGTCGCCAACCGCGCCACCCACCAGCGCATGCTCGAGTTCGCCGCCCGCCACCAGATCAAGCCGCTCGTCAACAAGTTCCCCATGACCGTCCAGGGCATCGAGGATGCGATGAAGACGCTCGACTCGGGCAAGATGAGGTACCGCGGCGTCCTCGTGCCCGCCGAGAGGCTGTAGGCTGCTTTTTTTTTGCCATCTCGTCTTCTTCTTCGTTCTGTTTGCAAAAAAGATATCCTCTTGTGGAGCTGAGATGGGACTGTAACTGTTGCTTTCTTCACGATCATAGATAGCGTTGGGTTTTGTTTTTCTTCTCCCCCCTCCTTTCGGGGGGAGCCGTCACAAAAGACTTGGGAATCGTAGACTGGATGCCGGACTGAAAGGGTTTAGTTGAGATGATAAATCAAGAATTAATGATACTCGCATGAGAAGATCTCACTACTGACGGACATTTGTTGTATACCTTGCGGTGTTGATCAAAACTCGCAGCGAGCTGTTGGTCTTTGAGCGTCTCTACCTAGGGAGTTTTCGAATAGCAACGATCGGCTGCAAGTTCCCGGGTCCAAGCTCCATCTTGCCCTTCAGGGTTGTTGCTGCGCGGTGGTTGCAGCTGCCGTGCGTCGTTATTTCCCTCAGACTCGGGCGCCGTACACAAGCAGTATATATAAACGAAGCGCAAGGGATCTCTGAACCTTGCACTTTGGCCCGCGCGCCTACATGCTCAGTCACACCCTTTCTCGACGCATTGTTTCGCTCATCACTTTCCTCTAGCGAACCTTAATTCTCACTGGAATGGAGGCTGGCGAAGAAACGAGCCGATGCGGACCAGGACTCTCGCGGTGACAAGGCGCCTTTTTATAAGCTACACCGGAGCCACGGACATCACCTGTCCAGACAGACCCTCTACAACACATGACCGCCAGTCCAAACCCCAACCTCCCACCCAAGAAACCACGCACGTCCCCCCCTCCACATCCCCGCCGCTCTCCACCACTCACTCGACTCAACCCTCCTTCCTCGCCGTCTCCGCCGCCGTCTCGACCACCCTCCCCATCCCAAACCCCCTGACCCCATTGCTCACCCACACCCACTCGCCCACCGCCACCGTCTCCCTCGCCACCGGCTCCTCCATGCACAACCCCCGCTTCAACGCCCACCGCCTCGTCGTGCCCCTCTGACCTCCTCCTGCACCGCCGACCGGCACCGCCTTCGGGCTGCGGATGCTGTGGCCCCAGCGGCCGGGGAAGGGCGAGCGGAGCTCGCCTTCGTCGCCGAGGGGAGGGGGAGGGAGGGAATCTGACGGAGGAGGAGGAGAAGAAGACGAAGGAGAAGAAGAAAAAGAAACGTTGTCCGGCACCCCCACCGGCGGCGTGACCCACCGCCCGCCGCGGTAAAAGTACGCGCTCGTGAAGCTGCCCTCGGTCATCTCGCCGACCGTGTTCCAGAGGAGGACTTCGTGCAGGGTGCCGCCGCCGCCGGGCACGGCTGGTGCGGAGCGCGCGCGGGCGGCGTCGTAGTGGGCGCGGTGGGTGGTTTTGAGGAGGGTGTGCGGGGAGGTGGGGGTGGGGGAGGTGTCGATGGTGAGGGTCCAGGCGGGCGGTGATGGTGGTGGTGGTGGTTTGGGGGAGGAGGGGGGGAGAGTGGGGTCTAGGAGGGCGCCACCGGTGCGGGGGGAGGGGGTGAATGGCTTGCTACTGCTGCTGCTGGCTGGCGGGGGAGGGGTGGTGAAGGTGGCTGGGTAGAGGGATGAGAGAGGGATGGCGGGGGTGGTGGCGATGTCGGTTTGCATGTCGCCGGGGCGGTTGAAGAGGACGCGGACCTGGGGGTTTGGGTGTTACTGTTGTCGCTCTCCAGGTCGTGTGTTGGGTTCGGGCTGAAGAAGGGTATACCTTCAGTGGGGATTCGGCGTCACCGTTCTGGCTCCTCCATGATTCGACTTCCTGGTTCAACAGAGACTCGAGGTTTTTGCCGTCGGCGAGCTTCTTTGCGACCTCGGTCCATTCGAAGTGCTGTGCCGCTTCGAGCATGCGGTCCCGGTGGTAGCGTAGCATGTAGAAGGGACTGGAAGGCGAGAAGCTCACGATATCCGAGCTGTTCTCGGGGCTGGAGCGAAGAGCCGGATCATGGCGGAGAGATGTGAATAGAGAGAAGGAAGCCGGCTGGGCTGGCATTCTGCTGTTTTTTTTACGAGCAATGAGTAATGTGGAGCTCCAGATGCGATAGCGACCGACCGTGTCTGCTCGAAAACAGAGCTCAGCCCAGGACTCCGGCGCCCCAACGAGAAAGACAGCGGAGATGCCAAATCAAGGTATGTCACAGCAACGGCCAACGCTTTGTACAGTGGAGGGGGATCCGCAGTCACGTGAGCGATGCCGAGAGGGGAAGTCGAGGTCGGAGGGGCTTGCGGGGGCGGTTAATGGCTGCACAGCTGGCGGCGGGCAGGGGAGGTGTGCCGATGCAAGTGCGGTCAAACGGTGCTTGGCTGGGTATTTCGGCGTTAATGGGTGGGCGGTGGTTCGACGGAGACGGCGCGATGACGGCTTGAGCGAAGATCCGGCTGGTGCGAGCTCCAAGGAAAAGTGCTCCAATCCTCGACCCGGTCGCGTCACCGTCCACACAAATCTTATCCATCCACACCTCCAGCATCCCCCGCCTCGCCGCCCGCCGCGAGGTGCCCTAGACGCTGCGACCTGCCCATCGCCAGCCCGCACAGCCCGCCATGTCCAGCAATCCCGAGCTTCCCATCCCGCGCCCGGCGCAACCCATCACCCTCGACTCCAACCTTGCCCAAGGTGCCGGCTCAGCCTCGCTATGGGACCGGATATCCTCCTGGGCCGCCGAGCATAAGGCTGTCGTCTACACCATTGCCGGCGTGACCGTGTTGGTGACGGGTGCCGGTGCCGTCTACTACTTCGCCGGCGACTCCAAGAGGCCCGAATCGGCCAAGGCCAAGAAGAACAGGAAGCAGAAGGAGAGGAAACGCGCAAAGCAGGCCGCCGACGAGACTGCCGCGAAGGAGGCCGAGGTTGCGGGTATGCGCCCATTGACTGCGGAAGCTTCATGTGCTAACCGCGTCAGCAGCTACGAAGAAGCCCTCCGTCTCTGATGCGAGCGATGACGATCTGCCCTTTGTCGACGAGGCCATTGCCTCGGGTCTGACCCCTGATGTAAGTTGCGCGCCTTCTACACGCAATTGAATCTAACGCCGGCCCAGGAGCGCAAAGACTTCGCCGCGAAGCTCAAGGCCGCCGGCAACAAGGCCTATGGCTCGAAAGACTACAACCGCGCCATTGACCTGTACACCAAGGCCATCCTCTGCAAGCAAGACCCCGTTTTCTTCTCGAACCGCGCCGCCTGCTGGAACGCCATGTCGAACTGGGAGAAGGTCATCGAAGACACCACCGCTGCGATCAATCTGGACAACGAGTACGTGAAGGCTCTGAACAGGCGCGCCAACGCCTACGAGCAGGTCGACCTCTTCAGTGAGGCCCTCCTCGACTACACGGCCAGCTGCATCATCGATGGATTCCGCAACGAAATGAGCGCACAGAGCGTTGAGCGTTTGTTGAAGAAGGTCGCTGAGGCTAAGGGCAAGGCCATTCTCGCCGGAAAGGAGAAGAAGCTTCCAAGCCCGACCTTTGTTTCCAACTACCTCCAGAGCTTCAGGCCCAAGCCGCCCCCCGCTGGTCTGGAGCCCGAGGCTGATCTGGACGAGGAGACGGGCAAGGGCCAGCTGCGCAAGGGCTTGATTGCTCTCAACCTCAAGACTGCCGATGGTTACACCGAGGCCGCCCAGGCTTTCGACAGGGCGCTGGAGCTTGGTGATTTGGGCGAGCACGAGGCTTTCGCGTACAACATGCGTGGAACTTTCAAGTACCTCAAGGGTGACAACAAGGACGCTTTGACAGACCTGACCAAGAGCGTTGAGCTTGACCCCTCGCTGACCCAAAGCTTTATCAAGAGGGCGAGCATGCACCTCGAGCAGGGTGAGTGGATGAAACAAAAAGCATGCATTGAGCGCAAGCTAACTGATGGTAGGCGAGAAGGATGCCGCCCAAGCCGACTTCGAACAGGCCATGGGCCAGAACCCCGAAGACCCCGACATATACTACCACCGTGCTCAGCTTCACTTCATCCTGGGAGAGTTCGCCTCGGCGGCAAAGGACTACCAGAAGTCGATTGATCTCGACAAGGACTTCATTTTCTCGCACATCCAGCTCGGCGTTACCCAGTACAAGATGGGAAGCATCGCCTCTTCCATGGCTACTTTCCGTCGCTGCATGAAGAACTTCGAAAAGGTTCCCGATGTGTACAACTACTACGGCGAGCTCCTGCTCGACCAGCAGAAGTTCCAGGAAGCCATCGAGAAGTTCGACACTGCTGTCGAGATGGAGAAGGCGGCCAAGCCGCTGGGCATGAACGTTCTGCCCTTGATCAACAAGGCCCTGGCCTTGTTCCAGTGGAAGCAGGACTTTGGGGACGCCGAGGAGCTTTGCAAGAAGGCTCTCATTAGTGAGTACCGCGTGAGCCATGGCCATTCGAGTTTTGTATCTGACCCAGCCTGCAGTCGACCCCGAATGCGATATTGCCGTTGCAACCATGGCCCAGCTTCTCCTCCAGCAGGGCAAGGTTCCCGAGGCGCTCAAGTTTTTCGAGCGGGCCGCCGAGCTTTCGAGAACCGAGGGCGAGATTGTCAACGCGCTTTCGTATGCTGAGGCGACGAGAACGCAGCTCGAGGTTCAAGAAAAGTACCCGCAGCTCGCTAGCCGTCTTGGTGCGATGGGGGCTGGCATGCCTGCGATGGCTCGCTAAGCTTGCCGTACGGATGAAATAAAATCATAGTCACACCTGTAATCTCCTTGTCCTTCTTCCAAAATCCCTTTTTTGAGCTCTGTGCGCCTCGAAATAACACTCTTCTCTCTTGTACTTATCATCCAGCCTTTCTCTCTTCGCTCTCCGTGCCTGTTCGGCAGAGGAAGCGACACTTTTAAGCGGGTCAGTGCGGTGTGGGGTCCTTTTCCTATGGTTATATGGTGAGTACGGACGAGTCAGGAGCAGCTTCTCCAATATTCCTTCAGTCTTTCGAAGTGCTGCTTTAGAAGGTCCGAGGCTTGATATCCCGTCGTTTCATGGGTGTGTATCTGTGCATTGAAAAGAGCAATGAATCTAGGAAGTGGTGTTCACGCAAGATGCCTGGGAAGCTGGAGCTCGGATTACTAGTGTGTTCCTCTGTAACTCCTAATTTGGCGTAGGTAGGGAGCAACGGGACATTTGACAGCTATGACGAACGCGGATGTAAACCGCGATGGAAGACTGATGTTGCAGCTGTTTCAACGGCAGGCATGCTTCGAACTATGTCCGCCTAACATTGTCATGGAGCCGATTCACCCAGCAAAAAAAAGAGTCCGTGTAGAAGCGCGCCAGGGAGATTTGGATTTTACCAGCTCAGGGCAGCAAGTTCTGCATCGGCTTCCTTACGAGCCTTTACAGCTTCTTCGTAGTCCTCGAGTTTAATATCCCCAGCAGCCCAGAGCATGATGGCCTGCACATAGACGCCGTCCGCCAGCTTCTCCCTCTGCGCCTTCTTAGCACGCCTTTTGGGGGGCGGCGGATTCGAGCGAGAGGCCCGGGGTACAGTCGACGAGAGGCTGGCGGTCTGCGGTGGCGATTGAACATAACCAATGATGTTCAACCATGCACCGATTTCCAAGTCGTTGCACTTCACGGATTCGAGTACATGGTCGATGTTGACACGCGCAACGACGGACGGTTTCGCGGGATAGGCATGCTTGAGGGTCAAGGTGCCAGTGCGGGCGTCGTAGCCGTCAACGCTGCAAGCTGCTCGTCAGAAGGCCTGGTATCAGGTGTGAGGGGCACGAGGCTCACCAGCCCAAGAAGCGCGCCTTGTCGCCGACGTCCATGCGCTTGAGGTCGGAGAGAAAGACCAGCCGACTAGGCGGCGGACCGTTCATGGCGCCAGGAGCCCAGTCGCATGTCGCGGCCAGGGAGCGTGCAGTGGCGTTGCGCGGGCGGAACGGACGGTGGATTCGCGGGGCGTGGGAGGTGGGACCTTGGTTGGAGGACCAGATTGAGGCTCGCGAGGGCACGTGCTCGCCGCGGGCGCTGCATCATCGGGCTTCCTTGTGCTTCACCTCCCCATCACCCGCCCGCACCTCGGACGTGCACTCTCCGACCAGGCTTCCACATTTCGCCCTCCCCGACCCGACAGACGACGCCAGGCAGCAGGCTATTCGCGTGCTCCTTAACCGCGCCGCTCCTCGCTTTCTGCCTTCCACGCCTGATCCCCGCCCGCAGCGCCCGCCGGCGCCCACCGTCCACCAACGTTCTTCCGCTGCGCAGAGCGCCCCGCCGCCCGCGTGCAGATCGGTCCACACCTCGTCGCCGATACAGACAGACGGCCACACAACCTCAGCTGCACTTTCCCTACTAGAAATCCTCGACCATGTCTGGCTGGGGGCTGGGTTGGTTCGGCGGTGGAGCGGCGAAAAAGAAGGATGCGCCCAAGAACGCCATCTTGCAGCTGCGCGGCCAGCTGGAGATGCTGTCCAAGCGGGAGAAGCACCTGCAGCACCAGATGGATGAGCAGGACGCTATCGCGCGCAAGAACGTCAGCGCGAATAAGACCGGTAAGGCGCAGCCGCTAAGCCCTCTCGCCATGTTGTTGGGACCTTGCCATCACCACCGCAACCCACTGCTCCGCCCTGCCCTCGTGTAGCTTTGGATGAGATGCTGACGGCCATGTTCCCGGATTGCAGCCGCCAAGTCCGCGCTGAGGCGCAAGAAGCAGTTCGAGCACTCGCTCGAGCAGACCCAGAGCCAAATAATGACCCTGGAGCGCGAGATCTACTCGATCGAGACTGCGAATATCAACAAGGAGACTCTCGATGCCATGAGAAATGCCGGTTCCGCCATGAAGCAGATCCACGGTAGCCTTACCATCGACAAGGTGGACCAGACCATGTACGTCTCATCGCCCCAAGCCGCCACCGCCCGTGACGTCAAATGGCTCTCCGTTATGCAGAGCGCAGGATCACTGACATGGCCCGTTCCAACAGGGAGGAGCTACGGGAGCAGCACGCCATCGGCGAGGAGATTTCCGAGGCCATTGCCCAGCCCATGGGCCAGACGCTCGACGAGGACGAGCTGGACGACGAGCTCGCCGAGCTGCAGCAGGAGGAGCTGGACAACAAGATGCTGGAGACGGGTCAAGTCCCGGTCACGGACAAGGTCTCGAGATTACCGACGGGTCCTACGGGAGAACGTAAGTGGATGGAACCAAGCTGCGCGTGCATATCGGTTAGCTGACACCTGACGTCCAGTTCCCGGCAGGAAGCCGGCCCGTGCCGAGGAGGAAGACGACGAAGAGGAGTTGCGGAAGCTTCAAGCCGAGATGGCCATGTAATGCCGGGCTATCTCGAGTCAGGACTCATGGGCCTGCTCTGTGCCCGCCCCCCTTTGCAGAGGCAGTATCATGCCCCTTCACATCTATCCCCCCCGCTTGGCCTGTTCAAGCCGATCGGCTTTTCCTTGCATCGCGTTCACACTGCTCGGTCACCGGAGTTTGGGTACATGCGGTTTTCGTCCCTTCAACTCGTTCCATTCTCCTCCATGTTCTCTCAGAGTGGGAGTCAGACATACTTCTCGATGCAAATCAATGGGATGTAGCAAGGGTGGTGCATGTGCAGTATGCAAGTGCATGTACGTGTGCGGCATGTAACTTTTTTGCTTTTTGCGTGAGTGATGGATACTGGGGGCTTATAGATGACATCTTTTCTTTTTTCTTTTCGAATACCAACCATCATGGAGACCTTTTCCTCTCCCATTTCCATGACTTCGCTTTCTCTTATGACCCCCGTCCCGAATTCTCGGCGATATCAGGCAGGCAAACGGAACCACTGGATACGCCGCAATGGGTCAATACATCTTCATGGGCCACTCGGGCGTCTCTCCAACGCATTGCGCTCCTAGCAATATCCCCTCATCCTTTGACATCACTGAATCTTCTCTACAGCATTACACAAGAAGATAACTCAGCAGTACTAGGACATGCGCAGTGCCATCGTTCTTTTGTAATGCTAAAGTGTTCAAAGCAGCAATGATGATAGTGGTTCAGCACGGTGTTTTGCTTCAAGTTTACCGCCTTCGCTAGTCCCTGAAAGAAGTACGTCTGGATTTTGAGAACAGAAATGCAGTGTTTGTTCTGGACGGATATCCCTACTCCAAGACCTTGTCCAGAGTCGAGTTTGACATTCAGCTACCTCCCTTTTCATACATATCGAGGGGTGTATGGTGGTCAACTGATGCCAGAAAGTGCGGGTTCCTTCCGTGGAGTGCATCTGCAAGGGCCCAGCTGACCCTGAGGTTGGTGTTGAGGTAGGTGCAGCCACCCGAGCTCCTCCCTCCTCCGTCCCTCTGACTGTCACATGTGGTACCCTGGTGACCAGTGGCAATCATCGGACTTGCATACGGGGTGCTGGGCAATCAGCTGAGGCTGCGGCCGCTTCCGCAAACGCGCGGCCACCAGCAGATGCGGCAGGGTCGCAAACTCACGCGCCTGATATGGACCCTTCCACGAGCACCCTAACTGCCAAACAAGGTACACTTCGCCATCACATGGCGTCCGAGCACCCACAACGCCTGCCTCGCCACTCGCTTCCCGGAGACCCTGCATGCACCGGCCCCCATGCGCGTTTTCAGTCCTTTCGTCCCCAGACCTTTATAAGCTCGTCCTCGCTCAACCCAGCACCTCTTCTTTTCTTCTTCAGCTCTCTTTGCCTTTTGGCTTAGATCAAGTGTAGTTTCTGTTCTTTTTAGTTTAGTCTCTAGAACGCCCCTACGGGGGCACTTCTATTGATTAAACCAGTTTTTGGCAACGGGTCGATGGCCTCTGGGCTCCGCCTACCGTCATTGACCACAGTGTCGCCCGTATTGCACTGCCTCGGGCTGATGCGAATTCAATCAAGTTTTGAATTTTCCTTTTCGTTGAGCGCGCTCACCTTTACGTGGGAGCTTGAGGAAGAGGGAGAGGCCACCAGTACACGCAGATCCTTCGACCGTACGTAAAGGCCCATACGGCAGCTCCGATCCGATTCTCATCCACTGCTTCACGCCACTACTAACCGCGCATAGTATCGGCAACGACGAACGCAAGGTCACCACGGATACAGGCCCCCTCATGGCATCATGACCACTTCTCAAACACGAGGTGCTTCTGGAGACAAAGACGCGTGTAATGCAGGAGATCTGCAGCTTCCCATATCGTACAGTGGCAGCTCTCATGGCAGGCTGGGTAAGCGGAGAAGCGTTCCAACTTCTGCACGGCCGCTGTTGCGGAAAGGAACCGACATTTCAAATGTGACCTGTTCTCTCATTCATCAACGCTACACGCGCACCGGTTTGACCAAGAAGAACCACGTGGGTCAGTCTTTTTTTTTTTTTGTGAGGTGGTTTGAAGATCTGCGGCTCGTTCAAACGGCAGGTCAAACCGATCCGAGACGCTGCGCTTAGAGAAACAGCGATACTTATATGAGTAATCGGATCGTGGATCCAGATAGATGCTCAGAGGCCGCACACACCGTCTCTTCGTTAGCCGCTCTGCTCTCGAGGATGGGGCAGGTGCAGAAGCGCTGAGCGGCGTCGACCACGGCCTGGTCGAACAAAATTGGGGCTAATTTACGGTGTACCTAAGTTAAGCAAGCGAGCTGCATTGAGTGATTTTACTCCAGCTGGACAGGGCTCGAAAGAGCGCAATTAGCCGCGGGGCGCTCCAAGCTAGCCTGGATGCAGCAGCAGTAGCGGCAAGCCACCACCGACGACTCCTCAACCCTCACGCCCATCCCCAGTACCATGCAACCCTCACACGGCCTTGTTCCCACTTTGTCTGCGGAGCGCGGCCTGATGGCGGCCGCGTCCGCGACCCACTCGCTAGTTTTTCGACGGATCCGGTTGCTGCCCGAGGCGGACAGCGCGGTAGAGCATGCTGCAGTAGTTCGACGGCCATGAAACGAGCATGTGAGGGTTGCAGTGTTCCTGACGGCAAGCCTAGCTGACGCCTGCTGCCTCGTGCCGAATGCCGTGCGCGCCTTCTGTCAACCACTTTTTCCACCGGCAGCCGGCAGCCGCCATCCGCCCTCGCACAGCCTAAGCGCTCAGCGCCTTCCGAGTTGCGCAACACTTGGTGGCCGCCCTGCCTCCCCAATTCTCGGACTGTCTGCCCGCCTACCTGTCTTTCTGTCTTTCTGTCTGCCTGTCAGCCTGTCTGCCCTGTGCAGCCGCAGACTCGCCAGCCTGCTTTCGCCGCCGCCTTCGCCTCTGACCGGCGAGCATGCACGTCCTGGCTAGCCGCCGCCATATCGCCTACTGACGACGCCCGCCTTCTTCCAATACCGCGTCCGACAAGGGCCCCCGGCGACCTGTTGGTCCAAGCGTGCCGCAGCCACCCAACATCTCGCAGGCGGCGCTTGTCATGATCCCTGCCCGAATACTGGCCCGGAAGCGCCGCCTGGGTTCGAGAAGTCCTGCCATCCCGGCGACCCCATCTCGAGCCTCCACACGCCATCTCGCCCACGCCTCCAACCTGCAGCCAACTTCTCTCAGCCATGTGTCTGCTCGCCCCGCTACGCCGCAGTGTTGTCGTGGCATCCTTCTGTGGTGAAGTCATGCGGGTTGGTGGCACAGTAGCACAAACCAAAGCTTGTCCAAGCTAAGTGCTCCCGCCACCATCGCCTCTGTCACTGGCACCTTGTACCGAAAGCGCCGTTGGCCGGCTGCCGCAATTGGCCTAGCCCAAAGGCCTGTCGCTAGCCGCGTGAAGCAGGGGTGGCACGGGAGGGAAAAAAGAGCTGCGGCATGGGTGGTGGCTGCGGCCCGGGTGCATGCTGGACAAGCTTCCCGCTGCACCCAAAAGCAAAGAGCACTTGCGGCGTCCTGCAGCCATGGCTCGCAGTCCACTTCCTTCACCTGTCAGCCTCTTTATAAAATCATCCGACGCTGACTGCTTGCTTGCTGCATCGCTGACCCGATTCAATCACACTGGGGTTTCCTGTCGTGCACCCACACCTCTCTCCATCCATCCACATCTATACACAGGCCGCTCCTCGATTGGCCGAGCAAACGGTGGGCTGGCTTCCGGTCCCCACAAATTTCCGTCTTCGCTGCTTTCCCTTTTCGTTTGCCGCCCGTATTACTCGACCCTCGTCTCACATATTGGCCCGAAGTTCCTCGTGCAACATCAATCTGGGGACGGCGCTTAAATTTTCTTGCCCCTGGCCATTGAAGAAAAAGAGCCTTGCCCTGCCCTCCCCCCTTTACCGTCGTGGGACCGCCGTCGACTTCCTCTCTACTCGCTCGTCGCGCTTCTTCCCGAAGCTCTTTGTTGCGCCAAGGACAGGAAAGGCCAAGGAAAGAGCGACATTCAACCGTCGAACGGCATCGGCAAACGGACAGAAACGCGAGGAAACACAGCGCACAAACCAGGAAGACGAAAGGCCCATTCCAAGATGCTGACCCCAAAGACCATGACCTCCATCCTTTTCACCCTCCTCCTGACCGCAGCCCACCTCACTGCCGCCACCCCCATCTCCTCGCCAACTCAACAGGACAAGCAAACACGCTCTCAACACAATGCCCATGACCGCCGCGGCGACACGCCCGACCTCTCGTGCCTCACCCTCCCCACCGTAGCAGGCGCCGCCACGCCGCTACCCACGATACCCACCGGCTACAAGCTCAAGCACGTGGCGCTGGGCGTAGGCACCCAGAACTACACCTGCAGCAGCGACTCCGCCGACGCCGTCGCCGTCACGTCGCCCTCCTCGGCCGGCGCTCTCGCCTCGCTCTGGGACATCGGGCCCTTCCTCGCCTCGCCGCTGGGCCACCTCTTCGAGAATGCGCTGCCGCCACTCGCGCTGGCCATGTACGGCGCCCTCTCGTCCAACGAGGGCGAGTCGTGGTGGGACGCCGTGATCGCGCAGATGCCCTGGATCCCTTCGGCCTCGGGCGACACGGCCGCCAACACCCTCCCCTCTACCGCCTTCGGCGAGCACTTCTTCTCCTCCACCCTCACCCCGACCTGGGACCTGCTGCCGTCCGCCGCCATGTACCCAGACGAGGCCGCCAGCATCGTCTTCCAGGGGAAAAAGGAAGGCAGCCTGGACGCGCCGCGCGACGCCTGCCCCGGGCTCAATGGAGAAGGCGCCGTGCCTTGGCTCTACTTGACCAAGTCGTCGACGACGGACGACGGCATCGCCGCCGTGTATCGCGTCATCACCGCCGGCGGCATGCAGCCTGACACGTGCGAGGGGCTGGCTGGGCAGGAGATTGAGGTCAAGTATGCGGCAGAATATTGGTTTTATGGACCGTGATGAGGAGGAGGGATGGAAAATAAAGAGAATGAGAAGGGGGACAATAGGGTAAGTAGGGATGGCCTGAGAGAGGCCGGGGGTTCTAATACGCGGGGGCCATTTACTCTCTCTTCCGTCCGTGTGTCTTTCGTGGGCTTTTCGTGTCGATGTGTTTTTCTCCCTTCGGATGGAGGGAAGAGCTTGAAGAGTTGGGTCGCTCGCTGCGCAAACGGAATGGGAGGGATGATTGTTCTTTCTTCTCCCTCCCCTTTTCTTCTTTCTTCGTCCTTCTGTTCGTCCATGGCTCATCGCAGGAGAGCATGTACGACATTGCCCTACTTTCGGACAGGGACTTTTTATTTCTTTCTTCAGCTGCTCGATATCCCCTTCTTTTCTGTAAACAAACTTTCAAAGACGTCGTCGAGAGTCTCCAATCCAATAATTCATGACTTCCTCGCCATAAGGAACCAGCCATGTTCGTACCCAAAAGCCTACAGCTGCCTCGGCCTCGGAATAGCGTTGAGTATAGCACACATCTTCGGCAATCCAACGGCGCCATTTACAGAGAAACGAGCCCATCTGATATGCTTACATCACAGCCTTGAGTTGTATACCGTCATCATCATCATCATCTTACACACATTTTACGTACATACAACGTCGGTCTATCAAAAGATGTCCATCCGCCTAACAGAAGCTTTAACAGACCAACATTCCTTCCTTTCCTTCTCTTCCTTTCTCCTCCCCGTTTTCCCTGAGGGCGATGGCACCAAACCATCCATCCCTACCCGGGAGACTAGGAACAACAAAAGACATCCATACTCCCATCGCCTCTTCTTTTTATTTTCTTTTTTCCCTTTTTCCTTCCTTTCCACATCTCCTCGTCACACTACTCTCCCATATCCCTCGTCTCATCATCATCCACGAAAATACAAAGAGACAACCCTTCGTCGTGCCGCCTGGTTCCCTTCTACCTCGACATCGGGCCATCCCCATCCCACTCTTCCAAAGTCTGTTTGTCCCACACCCCCTCCTAAAGAAGAAGAAAAAACAAAAAAAAAAACAGAGAGAGGCTCCTCCCATCACTCATTCGTCTATACATATACTTCCGATCCGTGCTTCCCATCCCTTTCGCGTTGACGAGCGGCCGGCGAATGGTGGTGGTGGTAGCAGCAGCAGCAGCAGCAGCAGCAGCAGCGTGTATTGCTACGTCCATCCATCCAAACCCCTCTCCCCCGCCCCGCCCCGGCCCTCAGAAAACGACCGCTTCCCACACCACCGACGAGCTGGGGGAGAAAGTAGGGAAGAAAAGAACCCGTGTTGATGTTGGGTTGGATGGGAAACAGTAGAGTAAGCGCGAGGATTTGTTGGAAGAAAGAAGGGAAGGAAGGAAGGAAGGAAGGAAGGAAGAAGTGAGAGGGGGGAGGGGGAAAGGAAATCAAGGGAAGAGTCGGGGCAAAATTGTCCTTTTTCGTAACGATTGCTTGGATGAAAGAGAGGGGACGGACGGCGATGGGAGAGCGGGAAGAAAACGTGAAAGGAAAGGAGGGAAGGGGAGGGGAGGGAGAGAAGGAACAATCAGTGGACGAAGGTGGTTGACTGTGCTTCTGACGAGTGAGGGAGGATATTTTTCGAGCTGCTATCATCAGGACGGAGAAGGAGAGAGGGGATGCTTTATGCAGAGAAAAGGGCGATGAGGGTGAACAGTGTCTCTCCTTCGTCTTCTGTGGAAGAAGTAGGTCAGTTTCGCCGAGAGACGAGACTTTGCTCCCTTTCCCAGGGGGGTATATCTTCAGCCTTCGTGCGTGTTTGGTAGAAAAAGAGGTATCGTGCGCCAGTAAATGCATAAGAGCGCCTTCGAGTCCAATCCAAATAATGGACTCGAGCATCTGGGGAGAACATGGCGGAGTGCTCTAGGGCATGCCTCGTAAGAGAGATTTTGGGAATAACGAGAAGGGGCGAGTGGACAAGGGAAGAAGAGAGATGTGGAAGACCGCCCCAAGTAAAGAATATCGTGTCTGGTGTAGGTACTAGCGGTGGTAGGTTACGTTAAAAAGCCTCCTTCCTATCCTATCGTAGACATCATCAACTAAAAGGTAGTGCAGTAGGGTCCGCTATGTAGGAGCAGCAAAGTAGCAACAAGAAACAACAAAACAAGATAAAACCACATAAACACACAAGACACCCAGTAAATGCTGCTTTCATCATCCACAGGCCATCCCGCTCCCCCAACGCGCGTCTTTGCTTTCGTCCACCAAGGAAAAATAAAAGAATCAAAATCCCCCCCCTCCCTTGACACCTCGGTCCACCTCTTTGGGGAATCTCTATGCAAGTGATGTGAAGAATGACAACGACAGGGTTCGTGAAAGGGTCCAAGAAAAAAATGCAAGAAATGATGACCCCTCTCCCAACAATGACAGAACATTTTTCATCCCAAAAAGCACCATGCCACCCTTTTTCCAAACATTCTTCAATTGAAAAAAAGCAAAAAGGATGCAAGAAATCGGCGCCTCCCAGGATTCGCGAAGAATTAATCAAACGCGTCGCGATGCAGGACAAAAGACATGAAATACGGGGACAGCGCTGGCGAGAGTCATTCGTCGTCAGCTCGCAGCTCGCTGCTCAAGTCCCCCATTCTCTCCCGGCCTCTCTGCGTGCCACCTCTTTCTCTCCCTCTCTCCTTCTCTCTCTCCCGCTCAAGCTTGTCCCGCTCCTTCTCGGCGTGCCTCTCCATCTTTCGTCGCTCGCGCTTCTCCTCTCTTTCCCGCTCCTTTTCGGAACGATCCTTGCCCTCCTTGCTTCTTTTCTTGAAGACAAGACTGCGCAGGCCTCTGCTTTCTCTTTCGCTTCTGCTCAAGTGCTCGAGCACATCGCTGTAGTTCCGATCTCCCCTGGCGTTCACTTGCGGCAAGGCGGTAGTCTCGCTTTCCGAGCCGTCTTCGTCGTACATTCCGCCAGGGGAATGCTGCGTCGGGACGATGGGACCCGCATGGTACGTTGAGATGGCCGTCGGTGTCGAGTGACCGGCGTCACCGTACACACTGCCTTCCATGCTTTGGATGCCAGTTGCCTGTGCGAGGGTCGAGTAAGAAGTCTGCTGAGATGGTCCGCGTGATGGCGTGTACGCGTGTGGGTTCGCGGGGTAGACACTGTTTGGCATGGTGAAGTTACTGCCTGCCATGCCCCCTGGTCCGTTCATCGGCCGAGGCCAGTCAGACTGGGGCTGAGGTCCAGGGCCCTGGTAACTGCCAGGACCAACACTATGGTGAGAGAGCAACTGCTCGCTAACGCCCATGCGTTCCTCAAATCCTCCGTGAGACGACCCCGGGGGCGTGTGTCTTCCATGGCTGCCAATGTCACCGCCCATGCTGCTCTCCCCGTCATCTTCGACATCCTCCTCGTCACTCGTCTCCTCAATGCTGCCTTTTACGCTTCCGGACTGGCTTGCGTTACCACCTTCGCAGCTAGGCGCATACCGGCTCGAGGAACGTGGGGTATTATTTGTCGATGCTGCTGAACGGGCAGGAGATGACGCCGCTATCCGATTCTGTGTGGCCCTCTGCGAGAGACTGCGGTTACTGCCGAGCGTTCCAGCGGTTGTCGAAGTGGTCGGTGTATCTGAGACGCGTTGCAGATCGCGTTCGCGCCCGGCAAATTCCCACGGGTCACGTTGCCAGGTCACATTGCCAGTCGCCCCTTGGATCGGCAAGCAGGGCGACATGGGGGACATCGGCCCGCCTTGGATCGGTAGAGTTCCGATTGTAGACGTTGGCGACATGGGGGCTGAAGGAATGGCGGAAGACGGCGCCGAAGTGCCCGATCCGGTACTCGTCTCCGTGTCTCTGTGCTTCCGCCTCAGACTGCCCAGTTCGAAACCGAGTGGCGGAGATTCTGTGGGTACCGGTGGAGGGTACTCGGACGCCGGAGAGATCGAGGTATGCTCCAGCTGTTCCACCAATTCTTCCCACTTGACACTGAGGGTGCTGCTTGGTCTTTCTGCGCGTTCGGCCCGTTCGAGACAGTCACGTGTTCGCGCATTGAGGGCGACACAGATGTTGTGGAACTTCGCCAGATCACCCTCCTCTTGCGCTAGGTTCTCAGCAAGCTCTCCCGTGTTGTCAAGCCACAAAGTTACCAATTCGGCAAAGTTCCGAGCGTGGTCAATGAGGTACGGCAGGCTTGGGAAACCTTCCCTGCTGGTGGGTGGCAAACGCTGCAAGATTGCGAGCGGCGTGCTGTACGAGGGAGGGATCGGCGAAACGGACGAGGTGTTCGGCGAAATCGAGCAGATATCGTCAATGAAATTCTTGAATTCGTGGCGGTGTCCGTTCAGGAACGAGTTCATGGGCTCCATCCACTGTTCTTTGGCGCCAAAGGTTGACATGTTGGCGAGACCCTGAAGCGACTTCGCAATCAGAGTCAAAGTGCGCCGAGCGCGCATCTTAGGGTGATCTATTGAATGTTAGCTGCATCCTATCTGGTCACGGCATGGACCAGCCAAACGTACCTTTCAGCAAACCGAAAAGCTTGGGGTTCAGAACAGCTGGGCAAAAGAATCGCAAGAATATGAAGCCGCTGACGGAACTATACGTAACCGTCCTCAGGAAGTCTCCATAGCGGTCCTCTGCGCATGCTCTGATGTGCCTGAAGATCAAACGCAACTCCGCAGGGCATCTGTGAACGCTCGAAGCAATGGCATCCCACATCTCTTCGGTCAGCCCAATGAGCCTCTTCCAGTTACGCTGCACCTCGTGCGGATCGCCAATGCGGTTCGGGTCGACTTCACACTCGGGATCGCGGTCTGCGATCTCCTGCAACTTTTCTCCAAGTGTTTCTTCGAGGTACTCTTTGCCAAGACGCTTCATGTGGAAGTCGAGAGCCTTGGTCAACAATGTGTTGCCGCGGAACAGCAAATTCGCCTCGAGTTTAGCATTGTTGCCCAGATCGCGGACGACCAATTCGCGATCGCCGGCGTTGGAGTAGGTCAAGTCACCAGCGTCGCCTGAACCGAGGCGACGACTGAAACGAAGCCGGCTGACTGACGTCTCCTTTGCTGTGCCATCGATCTCTTCCTCGACAAGGGCCATGATCCATTCGCCGGCTTGGCCAGAGACCTGGAAAATGTTGAGGAGGCATTCGCTCAACCTCTTGAGCTCCTGTGGTATCATCGTTGCGATCTGAAGGGTCAATCCGTTGGAGAAGCGATGTAACAGCTCTGACATTGGCTGATAATCCCGCGCCATCAGAATCACGCCTTCCTCTGCCTTGACGCGAACGAGCAGCTCGCCCACGGAATTCCCGTACATGTTGATCATGGGCCACCACTTTTCCACCTCTTGACCAGACTCAAGATCATCAAGATAGACGTCGACCTTTCCACAGGTCTGATCGAAAGAGATGCCTGCGTAGCCTCCGGAACTGTCGTTACCAGCAAAGGCTTCCCTTGCCAGGTCCTTGGCATAGATCTGAGCCTTTGCTCCATTGCTTGGCGGCGTTGTCGGTCTCTTTTTCAGCAGCAGGCTGGCTGTTGACATGGCCGCTGGCAAATCCTGAAAGTCGAACTCTTCCCGCCAGAACGGATCGGAAGCGTCTTTGATCATGGTCCTTGCCCGAGTCTCGCCATCCAAGAGGGCTTCGACATAATAGCCGCCTTGAAGTTCTTTGTTCCCCGATGAAGGTCGTGGCCCGTGGTGAATGGCGCGGCCCTCGCCAAACTTGGGGCTCAAGGGTGGGCTTAGCCGAGCCTCGATGATGCGAACGTTGAGAGAACGTTCCATGCGGAACATGTCTAGGGCGCTTTGCGCTTGGGCCAGCTGTGACGATTGCGACCCTGGCGACTGCAAATCTTCTGGAAGACTGATCGAAGGCTGTTTCGGGCCGTATAACTGGGGTATCGTAAATGCACGCAGAAGGACAAGCCAGACCTCGTATTGTACCCGCGAATCCAAGGACAGGAAAATCGGTCTGAGAAGGGAGAGGGAGGTGGAGGTGGAGGTGTACTGAGGATAAATAGCAATGCAAAAATCGCTGTCCAGAACGGTCGGATCCAGCCGCTGAACCGCACACCGCGAGAGTTGCGACAGCTGCACCACCGACACGAGCGTGACGTCAGTGTCCGAGTACAGCTTCAGCTCACCGTTCTCGCGCAGTGTGCAGGAAACACGTCGCCACCTGCGAGCACCGAAGCTCTGCATGCGAGTCGCTGCAGCAGGCCGAGCCGACCCAGCTGCCGCGGGTTGGGCAGACTTGGGATTACCGGCATTGCCGTATGATACATTTGTATCCCAAAAAATCATCTTTCCAACTTTTATTATCGGCGCCTCCTTCAAGAGAGAGATCTCCGAGTGCCTTCGGCTGTCGAGCGGTGGCCTGCCGCTTGCGCTCGAGAGTGGTTGCTGAGGCTTTGCCATTTTATTCTGGATTCCCTTGGGGCGGATGGGTTGCCAGCACATGAGAGCGGCAAACCATGAATCGTATTCCTCCTGGGTCGGAGGGCGCAGGTGAACCTCCAGGTTGGAATTGTGTAGGTTGACATCGATATAGGCGGTGTAGGATTCAGCGTCATACGCGGTCTTGACCCGACAGCCACGCAGATCCGGGATCAGGGTCCGATGGTAGGAGTTGTCGTTCTTGGGCTCATACACCAAACTGCCGGACTCTTCGTTGATGTAACAATACGACAACGCCCAAGGGCTTGCGTCTCCCCTTCTGAAAGCCAGCATGCCCTTCATCCGCCCACAAGTCGACCGCATGAGTTTCAGTATCTTCTTTGCGTCAGAGGCGGGGACGGGCGACACCCACGAATCCGGTTGGGCCGAGTGCGAATGGGGCAACGGAGAGGTCGGGCGCGGCGGCTGCTTCATGAGACGTGCCCGCGAGCCAGAGTTGTTCCGCGAAGAGGAAACGGGCGGGGGCGAGATGGTGGATGGGTGGCCGATGGAAGTGACGGTGTCGTCGAGTCCTTGAAAGGGGACTGGACCGGTCGAGTGGACTGAACCGATGCGGTGACGGTTCTTCTGGAACAGCGAAGCGGGCGAGCGGTCTCTCGACGTTCGTTCCTCCATGGTCCGGGTGCGCGGGCGGCTGGACGGCTCGCGGGAGCTCCTCATGGCGTACTCTCCATCGTTCGCCGTCGCCGCGGTCCGGTTGACCAAGCCGCGGTGCATGTGCTGGGAGCCGTCGCGGGCCAGGGTCTTGGGGGAGGTCGCGGGAGAGGTCGCGGTGCTGAAGTCGGCGGCCGGTTGGTCGTCGGGGGCCTGGGTGAAGGACTGGTCGATGTCTGGGTTCGACTCGGGGGTAACCGGACGGATGGTGGAGGAAGATTGCGAGAAGGATGCGCTGGGCAAGGGAGCGAACTGGGATTCATCCTGTGCGTAGGGTGCGTCTTCCGGGACAGAAGTCGCCGTCTTCTTGCGGCGCGAGGGCCGGGCGGTGTCCATGATGCTAGACGATGCTAGACTAGTCGACGGCCGTGCGGGTGGTGCTTGTGGTAGTAGGCCGGTGTCAGGCAAACGGCGCTCGTCGGCAGAGAGCACTCCGGCCGCCTTGAGACTGCAGACGTCTGCCACTGGCGCCCGCCGCGTGTAACGTGTGGTTGTGTATGCGTGACTGGCGAGCAGACTCGGCTGTGCGAGGCCCGAGCGAGAGGCAGACCTGCGCGGCGATAACGCAATGAACACGACCCGTAGCGATGGCGAGCGCCCGCATTGGTTTGCCGTCGGCGAGGGTTCGCTGGTGTGGAGGACGATCGTGCTGGCGCCGCGGGTCAGGGAGGCATGCGGGCGTCGGTCGTGCTGGGGGCTCGGGGGCAGGGCCGGGGCGTTCGCAGCTTCGCAGGAGCAGGAGGCGAGCGAGAGAGAAGGCTCGGTAAGCTCGGGGGTGCTGCGTCGTGCGTTCGCTCGCGCCGCAGAGTCGGTGGGAGGGAGGCGCGGCTCTGTGCGCGCTCTGCTGCGCGGGAATGGGCGGCGGTGGACGTGATGAGAGCGGTGTTTGTCAGGGCGGGCCTGGTGTTCGTGGTTCTGCCTTCGCTCGAGCGATGAATAGGGCCGGGCGCTCGTGCCAATGCGACAGGGAAGCCCTCAGCACCCAGCAGCAGTTCCCGCAGCGGTTAGGGCGCCTGCTCGGGGCGGGAAGAGAGACGCTCGGGCAGGCCTGATGCTCGACTCGCCTCTGGCGCTGGGTTGCCGGTGCCTGTCCATCGGTGCGGCTCCCCCCCGAGCAGCCCGCTGGAGTCCACCCAGGTGCATGCAGCGATCTGCTTGAGCACCGCCGTTGCACCGCGCAGGCTGACACACTCTCTCTCCCCTTGCGAGGCCAAGCCTTCGATCTGACGCTTCCACGCATGCATCCACGCCCGGCGTCGCTCAACTGCCCAACGGCGCCGCTCACCGCATGCAGCGCGCACTGAGCACCACCGCTCCACGCCCAGCCCGCCGGCGTGCCGCGCCCGCCCCCGTAGCATAGCCGTCGAATCGCAGCCCTGCCCGTCCGCTCCCAATCGGTGCCCGCCCCGCCCACGGCTAGTCGTCCAGCAGCAGCAGTCCAGCAGCAGTCCCCCAGCACTCCCCGTCAGCGTCGCCCAGCCTCGGGCGCCCGTCGTCTGCGAGCTGCGAGCTGCCGCTGCCGCTGCCGCCCCTGGAAGTCGTCCCAGACCCTTCGCTTGGAACAGCGCAGCGAGCACTCGAGCCACCCGCCGGGGCTCCCTGCGCCCTTTCTCATTACCGTGGCGCTGGGAACGGACAGCTGGCTGCCCGTTTGAACGCCTGCTGCTCCAGCATTGTACAAGGGCCACGAGCCATGTCAATAATTCTCCTATGTATCTATCTCTCCGAGCACCACATACGTGGCGCCACAGGGCCGAGCAATAATGGTGTTTCGTCCTGGCCTGCCGTTGTTTCGCCCCGGCTGTGACCTCGAAACACCCACCCTGCAGCCACCAATGTGTAATGACGGTGGGTTCCCAATTACCTTTTTCTAGCCTTGTATTGCTTTTGATTTTATTTTTTTTGTTTGCCGGGCGAACGGCCCGTATGCACCTGTGCTGCGCTGCGCTGCGCTGCGCTGCTGCACGCTGTACTATGTGCCCGCCCGGCCTCAATGGCCAGGCAATGGGGCCAGAAAGGCCGTCAGGCACCCATTGCCATGCGTCAGATTGTAGTCGGGCGCCGAATAAGGTCTTCGCCGCCATCTATTCTTTGATTGATTGCCTTACCCAGCTATAGAGCTTTTTTTCTTCCCAACCGTCATGTGCTTCCTGTCGTGTACCCGCCGACCGAATGCGCCTGCCGGGTCCGCGTGTCCAAGGCTGATCAGCACTTGGCTTCTTGGTCCCAAAAGCCACTCGGTCTTTAGCTATGAGCACCCAGCCTGAGCGACAGGAGACACATGTCCCGTGTTCCAGCCCAGTCGCGAGCAGCCAACACGTTGGGCTTCTGCCAATGAATCAGCATCCAGGTATCTGACAGCTAGTGAATCACTTGTCGACAAGTCGCCCCACTGCGTCCGGTGCACACTCCGTAAGCAAACGCAGCCCTGCCATTCTCGGTGCATTCAATAACAACTATCTCAATCATGACGTGTGTATTGACCGTCATCCATCACAATCGGTATAAACGTCCCAAATAGGGGTAAAAATCCCTCTTCATCATGCTCCAGCACGAAAGAAACTGAAAAGATAGATCCCACCCACAGAGAATCAAGAACGTAGAAAAACCATCACCGCGAAGGGGAATCTGCCTGCTGAAAGAGCAAACCACGCCAACATGCGCCCATGGTAAATCTTCTCGCCTGAGAAAAAGAAAAGAAAGGAAACAAACCTAGAGAGTCAGGCGGAAGCAAAAGGACGTCCACAGAAAAAAAAAAGCAGAAAAGGGGTACTCCCGCGAACCAAAGCATACCTAGCCATCTGCACAGGTCCACCCCCAGTTGAGCATCCTGAACACCCGGATTACCCGTACCTGCACCTGCGTGCATCACCCGTCATGACGACGGCCAAGTCCGAACCCATCAGCCCTTCTCATCATCGTCCTTGTTCCGCGTACAGTAAGCCTGCCAAGTAACACGTCGCAACGCGTGCGCAACCTCAATGGCCCTAGCTCCTCTACCTGAACGGCGGTCGATCTGAGCCTTCTGGTTCGAGACTAGCAGCGCTCATTGGTTGGCTGGGGCTTCTCGCACCGCTCAGGTCACCGCTGCCCGTCTTCCTCAATGCTTGTCGCATAGTCTCGACCATGAGCTCACCGCCGCTCAGCGGCGGGCTGTAGGCGCCCTGAGAAAGAGTCGGGCTTGCGGGCGCACCGCCTACACGTGGTGCCTTCGCGTCGATTCCTTTCATGCTGGGCGCACCGCTGGTAGGGGGGCTTGTGCCGACACCGCGAGAAGAAGCGGGGCTCCGGACAGGAGACGGCGAACGATTTGCAGTCGATGAGAGAGACATGTGGTGGATGGAGTCGCGGCTAGTCTCGGCGTGTTCTGCTTGCACGACATCTGCGAAAGAGATGAAGGACAGGCGACGCACGTCTTCCTTGTCAAAGGAGCCGTAGTTTGAACCATCGGCGCCGTCGTCCGTTTCCGACTTAGAGGCTACCTCGTCGATGGTTGGGGACGACACTGCCTCGGTCGACGCGGTGCTTGGGGGGATGCCAGATACTGCGGACTGGTGCGCGGCGTGCATTACGATCTCAACCTCATCGGGGTTCAGGTGATCGTCCGTGATGGCCTGCGCAGAGGCTTCCAGAACCGGCGGGATGTGATCTTCTGTTTGAATATGCGAGGGTATAGCGGGCGAAAGTTCACCCGGAAGGGTGCTCTCTTGCACATTGCGCTCGAATATTTGCGACGAAGCCGGCGAGTGGAGCCTCGGCGAGGAGGATCTGTAACCCCTGCTAGGGGACGCGGCGGATGAAGCATAGACGCGCGGACTGCTCTGAGGCGTGCTGACGAATGCCTGGCGAGCATCGATGGGCGGCGAATACCTTGGTGAAATAGGACGCACGGCGGCGCGCAGAGGCGTCGTCTGCTGCAGTTGCGAGGCTGCAGTCGCGTTTGCAGGCACGCCGGCGGGCGTGCGCGGCGGCGCCAGGTCCTGCTGCTTGACGGGCTTGTCCTCCTTCCTGTCGACGCTGTCCTTCTTCCGCCCCAATCCGAAGAAGCGGCGCTTGCCGGCGGACTTTGAGGTTGCGGTTGAGTCGTCGTGGGCGCCGTCGCCGTCGCCGGTGGTGCGGCGCTCCGGCAACAGGGCGACGGAGGAATTGCGCGGGCTGGGCCCAACGGGCATGGCCTTGGGCGGATCCTGCAGGGCGCTCATTGAGTCGCTCGTGTGCTCAGGTCCGGGAGTGTGTCGGCTTTGGCGGGCAGTAGTGGAGGAGATGCGAAGAGATGTTGGGGTTGCGCTGAAGAGCGGAATTGGGCGTGGGCGCGGCGCTGGGGGGGGCGAAGGCTTCAGGGCCGGAGTCAAGCAGGCGTCACGGCAGGCAGTGGGCGAATGCGCGGTATTAGGCAGGATTGGCCGGTCTGGGGCTCTTGGAGGGCGGCGTGTCTGAAGAGGACGGACGACGTGGTGAGTGTTTGGCGGGCGCTTCAGCGCAACGGCGGGCCAAGGCGCGTCATGTGCCAAATGACCCAAAAGTCCAAGCTTGGAAGGCTGCACTGGAAAGTCCAGGCCGCACCTCGTGGCAGGGCGAGTGGGGGATCACTCGGCGGGGACCAGCAGAAACCTGCTGGCCGGCGCGTCCGATCGTCGCAGCGTCGCATCTTCACGCCCCTGTTTGCAGGCGGCTTCGCAGCGCGGAGCTTGGTGCCAGGTGGGTTTCAGTGTTGGCCTGCCAATGACGACGGCGCCCCGATGTCACGCAGCACCGCGCCTCCACCGGCAGCCGCAGGCAGCTAAGCACCGTTGCCGGTAAGGGTCCGCCCCGCCAAGCGCGAAGGCAGCGGCGCGCCGGGCCTGCCCTTTTGGCCTTTTTCCTATCCTGCTGGCCTCCAGCCCCGACCCGCCCTCGCCGCCGCCGCCCACTCCCAGCCCACCCTCGCCGCCGCGCTGATTCAGGAGCCGCCGCCGCCCGTCGATCAAGCATCCAAAGCATCCCTATGACGCCGGTGGTAATGCGGATCGGCGCCCGTCACGTTTGGGCTTGATGGCAGGCAACACGAGGAGTCGGCCGCAGCCAGTGGGCAGCACGACACCGCTCGCCGCCACGCAGCCCGTCGGTACATATCGATTGATTGACCACCTTATCCGCGCCCCCGGCTGCACCCGCTCATTTCTTACCGTCTGCACGGAAATTATTGAACAGTCGAGCCAGCGTGCCAGCTTGCTAGGTAGGCCACGCCGTCGCATCCACGGGAGACACAAAATTCCTCAAGACTTTGCCCCATGCCGCAACGCGCCATGCCAATGATTCGAGAGCTGCTGCGTGACCCCAACGCTCGGTCTCTCGGCCGTGTTGCCCGGGCTTCGCGCAGTGCCTATTCGGGTAAGCCTACATCTACTTCACTGATGCCGTCATGATCTTCTGCGACTCGATGATTTGGGGCGGCCGCGGACGACTGCGCATCCACGTTACCAGCGCACCGCGGCGCCGGCTCGTCCTCAGTTGCGCGCATGCTGGCCCCTGGTTATCTCGGTAGAGCCCGTCCTACCCGAGTGCTGCCCAATCCGCGCCCTTCCAATCTTCTGGGTCCGGAGCATTCACAGCGACGTCTCGTTTGGCATCGACCAGCACTGTACTGAAACCAAGGTCTGGTGGTGGGTCCGCAGCCTGTACGGATCCGTACTCACCGACTCGTCTACTCCGGCTGCATCCCTGTCTGCTTGCTGCCCTATCGGCCGCGAACGTTTCGCCGTTGAAGTTACCTCGACAACCCCAACACTACTCAGGAACGACTCATGTTCACGGGCTGCTTCTGTCACAATGCGCAGACCGCCATGCCCGTTCGTTTAAATACCGCCGAGGCCAGTACAGAGAAAAACAAAACCTGTTCACAAGTGCACTCTCCATACCTTCCACGGAGCGTTCAGAGGCCCGCAGCTCGACCCTAACCCGAGTCGTTCTTTCGGTTCTGAAATTGCCGAACTGTAAATCGTATGCTAGTGTGGTTTGATCATGGCAGTGAGGAAGTTGCCGAGGCTCGTAGGATTTTCCCCTTAGCCGCCCGAAAGAACGATGTGCGAAAGGATTCTGGTCGTGCTCCTCTCCCGCACAAGCGCGCATCTTCGCCTAGTCTATCGCTTTAGACGCGCGGCTCATTAATCATGGTCGAAACTTCCGTGTGACACTTCTCTACTTACAACGGCACCCTAGAATACTACATGGCAGCCACTGAACCGGATGGATCTTTGAATCTTCTGTTGAGCAGTGACTGATTCTATAGTGTTGCCACTGACCTGTGGGGCTTACGTAGATGCCTTAGCATAGTCCGTTTGCTTAGACAGTAATTGGTAGTCACAACGGACTAGGAAGATCTCCAACTCTCGCATTGTTGTCAGGAGGTGGAAACCCCTAGAAAGTGCAGCCTACAAGAACCACGAACTCGATTTGCTCCGAGCATGAACACCTATTAAACCATTCGGATTATGAAACCCCTAGGCATCAATACTTTGAACCCCTGGCGCATGACTGGAGAAAGGCCAAAAATGAACTTCGGGTCCGTAACTCGGTAACACAACACACCCATGTCATCTCCCTTATGCCCATCACACTTCTTTGTCTCACACACGCTTCGTTTTCGTTGCCTTTCCGCCCCTACTTAGTCCCGATGGGATAGTGTCTTTGTTTAACATCTCATCACCCTTTCATTCTAATTCTTGGCCACTTGTCCCCCGCACCTAAATCCGACCTCCTATACGGCGATGCTATATGCAAATACATCTAAATCGGTACCGGAGCTGCGTGTATGTGACCATCAATACGGCCAATTGCCTAGTCTCTCGGAGGCGGCCAAAATGTTGCAGCCCGGACCTGAGTATGTCAAGAACCACCCCCTGTCCCGTTGCTGATGCGAATTACTCCTAGTATGCAAACATAAAACCAGACACAGAAAGTTGGACTTCCTTTCTGCAAACACCACAATACACGGTCCCACGATGCACAGATTGCTCGGTCATCCACTTCATTTTCCGGAATGCAAACACCTGCTCTGAATCTGATGTACATACTTTTTTGTTTTTTTTTTAAAAAAAAACCATCATCCTCCGTAGCCGTTTGCTACTAGTAATGCATGCCCGCCCCCTCTGCTACTAACGAGATATCGTTGTGAGCAAGCCGAAGCCTCCGAAAAGAAAAACAAAGGCAGATGAGAAATGCCCAAACTTCTCAAGCTGAGTATACTGAGTTTGGGGCGTGGATTTTTTGTTTTCCCACGTGGGGTTACATTGACCCCCTCGTCCGCATGAAAACCGCCGGTCTTCAATCAAAACGCCAAAAGGAAGGGAGCAATCGTAATCGTCCCGAGGAAAAGCAAATTAAACATCAAGTCCCAGACCGAAACCAAAAATTCGATCCGATGCCCCATTTACCGCTTCCTGGCAGCATTGTTCGCGAAAAGGAGCTTGAAGCCGTTCTTCAGTGCACGCATATCTGGGTAGTGGTTTTTCTGGAGCTCGAAAGCGTTTGGAATAACCTTCACAGGCCAGGAAGCGAGAGGAGCCTGCTGACCTGCTTTGAAGCAGAGGTGGAAGTACCCAGGGAACTTCGGGTTGATGCAGAAAGCGTACATGCTACGCCTGGGGTTAGCCTCCGTGTAGGTCGTAAGCCATTGTTCTGTGGGATCATGTTAGCAAATCGAGTTGTGAGTTTCCGAGGCAAAACGCTTACCAGTTTGCGCCCTGCTGCCGCTCTGGTACTTTTCGTCCGTCATCATCTCATCGACCTTCTTGGCCATGGCTTTGACGTGGAGTACGATCAACTCGTCGAGATCGCTGTAGGTGTACTTGCCACCAATCTTGAGAGTACGTCCCAGACTGAACTCGTTCTCCTTGTCCAACTCCAACACATCGATGTGCTGATAGATGTTGTCCGACACCTTCCAAGTAACAGCGAGGTGGTCCAATCCCTTGGAAGAAGGCCGGATAACGACGTCGCCCCGTCCCTGGGATCCAAGGTACTCCTCGGCCTGAGCGGCATTGAAGGGGCGGAAGAGAGGATGCTTGATGACGCGTTGAGCGCGACCGGTCTTGCTTTCCTTCTCTTTAGCTTCTGCATCCTTATCGCCCTTCTCTTGGTCATCCGCCCATTCGCCTCGAGGGCGGTCGATGTGTCGGTTGTGGCCATCCTTAAGCTGTTTCTCGTTGAAGGAAACCTGACATGACAGCGCCTTGCGATTGAGGAAGGTGACCTTTGCCTGCACGGTCTGGTTCGACTGGAACACTTGTCTCGGGTCAATGCCACGCTCTCCGCCAACATTGTTGGGGAACTCGGGTTCGTTGCAGATAGCTTCCATGCCGCAGTCCAAACGGCCTTCGATGTGGTCAGGGAAGACGCGTCGGATCTTGACGGGAACGATCATGCCCTCGGCTAACGATTCGCGAGTTTCTCCGGTGAGCATGGTGTAGATTTCGTCAGAAGTCATATAGGTGAACTTGTTGCGCAACTCCTCGTAAGGCACTTGCAGTTCAGCGCGAATTGTCTCGAGAGTGGCTCGCTTTCGCTGATGGAATTGCGCCTCCAGCTGCTCGGCGTATTCCTCCAGAACCAGATCGTTGACCTTTTCTTGGGCATCTTCACGGATGAGCCTCTTAACCACCGCACCGGGACCGTTCTCATCCTGTTCGGCTTTGATGTCCTCTTCGTCCATCTCGAGGGCATCCGCAGCCATCTTGCGACCAAGATCGTAATCTTCCGGATGCACGCGAGTGGAGTCGAGGTAGTCCGACTCTGGTTCGGTGGGGTCGTAGTTGATGTAAAGGAAACTGGCACAGTTCATCCAGACCTTGGGTCCAACGGCTGGCAGGATTTTCTTCTCCGGATCGCCAACAAGCTCGTCTCTCGTGAACACGACACCGTTGTTGAGGTTGCTGACTTTGAGAAGTTGTTGTGCCTTTCTCGGTCCAAGACCACAAACGTACGGGATGAGGTTTGAAAGGTAAGTATCGGTGAGAGCATCGTTGATCTCGATACCGACCAGGTTCACGATGTCCACCATCGCCATCTCCAAGTACTTCATGAGTTTGTCTTGCGGAAGAAGGATTTGGTTCGGATCGAATGAGACTGAAACGATGTCTTTGCCGAGAGCAGCGTACTCCTTCAGCGGGCTTTGCAAGAAACGAGCCAGTGCGATACAGTACCTCACCAAGGGAGGCTGACCAGGATGTTCCACGAGGGACCGGTCGCTGGTGTGGTACAGTCTCGCAATCTCATCATTGACCATGACGACCTCAAGCTTGTCACTCTTTTCGTTGCCATCCTCGTCTTCGTAATCAGCACAGTGCAGGTCGTGATCGTCCACAATTTGCTGAAGATCCTTGTAAAGCTTGCGTGTCTCCACCGAGAAGCCGGATACAGCAATGACATCGGGTCTCCGCCGCTGGATGAGCTCAACGAGGTCTTCGATGTCCTTGGCATCAGGGATGTACTTCTCCTTGTTTCCAGGTCGGAGGTCGTTGAACTTTCCTTGCTCAAGTACACGGCCCTCTTCGTCAACCCAGGCGTAGCAGACGGCATCACGACCAGGAATACCGTTACCGTTGGAAAGAGCGAGGACTCTAGGAATGGTACCAAGCTGCATACCCTTCGGTTTGTACGGCGCCTGATCCAGCTTCTCCGCGTATCTTTCCTTGCACTGCCTAGCCAGAGCGTTCTCGCACTCCGCCTTGACAGTCTCCTTGACACCTTTGGCAATTATCCTCTCGAGTTTGGGCAAGGCCATTTCCAGGAGGATTTCTGAACGGAATTTGTTCCAGTTTGTAGCACGATCGCTGGTTCCATCCGAGCTGAGCAGCGTCTTGAACTCTTCCTTGATCCTGTCATAATTTTGCAGGCGGACCTTGACCTCAACCATGCCCTCGTCCTCGGCTTTGAGCATCCGCAAAAACAGCTCAGGTCTTCTAGCCATGGCCGTGTATTCCTGGTTGCGCAGATACTTGAATTCGTAGTAAGGATGGTCCTCGGTGATTTTGCGGAGACCCTTCTCGGTTCGGTATATGTCGAAAAGACCACTGGTGTAGAAGGTGCGTCTCATAACACTCCTCATCCGGGGGCTCATGACAAGTTCTTCGGCAAACATTGCCTTCGCCGAGCGCAGGACCACAGCAGCAGTCTGGTACTCCGGAGGCTCCAAGAGGTGATCGGCCATATCCTCTGGCATTTCTTGAGGATCTTCGGGATACAAACGGTGGCCTTCTTTCTGCAGGTTCTTTGCGTAGTCGTCAGGGGTGATGCCAATGGCGCGAACAAGGTTGTAGACCTTGCTTGCCCGGATTCTTTCATAGACGGTGTTACCGCCACGCGTCCGTTTCTGGACACCAGTGCCGGCTTCAGCCTCCATGGTGTTGACGTCCTTGAGTTGGGCCGAATACGTGAAGTGGATGTAATCTTGAATGTCCTGAATCTCTTCGATCGATTCGGCCTTGGCGAGGAGCAACTCGAACACGGAGTCCTCGACGTTTGAAATGCTTCTCAGAGTGTCGTACGTCTTGATGAGAGCCTCGCGCTTCTCCGACAAAGCCCGGAACTTCAAGTCCAGTTCAAAGATCTCCCACAAATCCGCTTGAGTAAGGAGTCTCTGGGGGCCCGCATTTGCGTCAATGTCGTCCTGGTCCTGCTGCGAGCTGGAGTGGATCAAGTAATCCTTCCGGTGGTTGAAAATGAATGGAACCTCCAGATCCTCGATGTTCATGAGCTCCAGAACTTTGCGAACGGCCTTTTGGAACGGTTGTTCGCAGCTCTGGCTAAGCCGCTTCTTGGGCCAGAGGAGTTTGGACACCCAAAGAGACTCCACGCCCAAACGGTTGGCCATCTCATCCTCATCCAGTTCCAGTGGTTTGAAGGGTTTCCTAGCAAGCTGGAAGCGCTCAGGGACATCAGTAAAGCGGATCTCATTATCCTCGTCCGTCATCATCTTTTCAGCGAGCTGGGATGGCTCGAAGACATCCTTCAGCTCCAAGGGCTTTTCGTCTCCCATTTCCTCCTCATCTTTCTGCTCTTGAAGCTCCAAGGCCCAGTCATATTCCGTGCCATCACCGAAAGCGTTCCGGTAATCCTCCATCTCGGCCTCGTCCAATCCAGCTTCCGGGAAACCGACACCGGCAACGGGCCTCTTGCCAGGTCTGGCGACCTCTCGGTCCTCCTCATCCTGCAAACCCTCTTCGTCGTCAAAGACATCTTCTTCAATGAAGTCTGCGAACTCATCGGCAACGCCGCCCCTCTGTTCCCGTCGGGCCGGTCTCTCGTCATATCCGTCACCAAGGTCGTCGTCTTCATCAGAGAAGATGTCGTCAACACCGCGGGGGGCTCGTTCGGTTCGCTCTTCCCTATGGCCGCGTTTGAGGCGCTTAAATTTGGACTGTGGCATGTCAGAACTAGCTGGCTCAACCAGGGCACGCGAATACAAACCTGAGTAGGCTGCTCCCGAGGAACAGTCTCGCCGATGAGGTCAAGGTCTTCCTCGTCTAAAGCAGCCTCTTCTTCCTCGCGCTCAGCCCGCCGCCTCTTTTTCTTCTCGCGCCTGCGGGCGCGCCGCTCGTCGTCATCCTCCTCATCTTCGTCGACGATGAAGCCTTCCCGGATCTAGCACGGACGCAAGGTGAGCATGTTGACGCAATGGCAGATAGGTGGCGCAAGCACGTACAGCGGCGGCCGCTTCCTCATCGTCGTCCTCGTCTTCCTCCTCGCTGGAATCGTCTATGCCGCGTCTGTTGCGAGACGGCTTCTCGGCATTCTGGGCGCCATTCTCCTCATCGTAGTCGCCGTCGTCCGACTCGCTGCCGAGCTCAGCGGCAGTGTCCAGCAGGGGATGCGCCATGCTGTGAAGTTATGATCGGCCGGGGAGTCGCAAGGCGTGTGTAGCTGACGTGGCGAGGAAGCGGTGCGCCGCAAGGTGGGTGCGACACGAGGGCTGGCCGAGGTGCTCGAGCGCGTGGTGTCGATGAGATTGTCGGCGTCGCAGCAGCGCTGGTCACCGCGACGCCAGCGTGAACATGAAAGCTGAGCGCGCCAAGGCGGCGGCGTGCCAAGCACGCGCTCACCGCCCGCCGATTCGGGGGCTGACATAAGCGGCGCTCGGCCCGAGCCCGACCCCTCCGCGAGCGAGACAATGCGGCCCTGTCTCTGTGCGCCATGTCCTATGGGGTCCGGCAGCTATAGTTGCTCGTAACGGCCTCACATCATCACCTCGCTTACCAGGCGATGGCGCGCGCAAGGAGCGGGAAAACGCAGTGCATCTCGTCTGTAAGATCGCCAGCGCCCGCGGGCACATGTGAAACTGAACGTGGCCGCGTTGAGTTCTGAGCGACCCGCGCGGCGCTCTGAGCAGCGAGCGATGATTTCTGCGGATCATGCAGAGAGGAGCCTCCGCAGTGAAACAGCCCCGCTGGCGCTAGTCCGTGATATTCATGACTGCGACTCCGTCTCATTGTGCCGCTGGTCAAATAGCAGAGCTCCCGCGTCGCGGCCTGCAGGAACCAGTGTCGCCGTCTTACGCCTGCCCACCTGCTGCTCGCACGCTGATTGAACCGCCGCCCACTGCACGCCCCGTGCCCCACGCCGCAGCCAGCGGGTCACGACGTTCTCGACTGCAAACGCCCGCTAACCACCACCGCCGCCCAAAATCCTGTTCCAGCCCGCAGCCCGCCGTTGTCCTGTCCGCTCCCCTCGCTCGCTCGCCCCCCGAACAGCACCCCTCGTGCCGTTGCCCTTGAGCGACTCCAACTCTCGCCCCGGACCCACCGGCGCGCCCAAAGCGGCAATCCAATAGTTAGACGCCCTGCCCGACGGGCACCACACCCGGTACCTCCTTTCGCCAACGGACTCCCGATTGGCGCGCCACGCTCCCGCTGCAGCACCATCAGCTTTCCCGCCGCCGCGTCTCTTCAACTCCTGACCTCTTCTGCGGCCTCCAGCCCACCGCCCACCGCCCCCTCACACCACACCGAGCACAGTGACGCAACCACGCGCCCAACATGGCGGATTCTCAGTTCAAGGTCCGCACAATGAAGCGGAAGAACGTCAAGGGCCTGGCGCTTAATGCCGCCTCGCCGAAGCCCGCCATGTCGGGTGCCGACGCGCAGGTGCCCGGGTCGCGCCGCGACGACGATAAGGCCGCTGGCCAGCTGGAGATTGGCGTCGAGTTCAGGCTGGACCTGAGAGCGGAGGACCTGATCGTGATAAGAGAGCTCGGCCACGGCAATGGAGGAACCGTTAGCAAGGTCCAGCATGCCGCTACCAAGGCCATCATGGCCCGCAAGGTGAGTGCACTCGTCTGCACAGACGCGAAGCTCCTCCGGTTGCTGACAGTCCTCCGTCCAGATTATCCACGTCGAGGCCAAGAACGAAGTCCGCAAGCGCATTGTACGCGAGCTGCGCATCATGCACGACTGCGCCTGTCCCTACATCGTATCCTTCTATGGCGCCTTTCAGAATGAGTCGGGTGACGTTGTGATGTGTATGGAGTATATGGACTGCGGGTAAGGTGTACCATGGCTCCTGAAACCCCTTGGAGAAGGCTAACTGGACCTCAGCTCGCTTGACGGCATTTCGAAGCACTTCGGCCCTGTCCGCGTTGATGTACTTGGCAAGATCGCAGAAGCAGTACTGGGCGGCCTCTCATACCTCTACAAGCAACACCGCATCATGCACCGCGATATGAAACCGTCCAACATCCTGGTCAATTCGCGAGGACAGATTAAGATTTGCGACTTCGGTGTCTCGAGCGAGCTGGAGGGCTCGGTCGCCGAGACCTTCGTCGGCACCGGCACCTACATGGCCCCGGAGAGGATTCAGGGCGCAAAATACACGGTCAAGTCAGACGTTTGGAGCGTGGGATTGACTCTTATGGAGCTTGCCATTGGCAAATTCCCCTTTAACAGCGACGCCGACGACGAGACTGGTGGACCGCAGGGCATTCTTGATCTCTTGCAACAGATTGTGCTCGAGCCCGCGCCAAAACTTCCCAAGAGCGATGCTTTCCCGTCAATTCTGGAAGAAATGATCGCACGCTGCTTGATGAAGAATCCGGATGAGCGACCTACGCCTTGGGAGCTATATGTATGTGCCTACTCACCGCTATACCATATAACCTCCAAGCTGACTGGTGTTACAGGAATCGGACCCCTTCCTTATGGCCGCTAAGCGTACTCCGGTGGACCTCGAGGCGTGGGCAGTCAGCATGATGGAGCGCCAGAACCGCAAATCCCATCTGCAGCCGGCCCCAGCATCTGCTAAGATGCGTGAGCAGCTCCGCGCATCTCCGAGCCACAGCCCAACGCCGTCATCTGCCTCGAATGGTCGTCACACTCCCACCTCGAGCCATACTCCACGCTCAACCGGTAGCCAAGACTCGAGAGACGGTAGACCACAATATCCAGCTAGGACCAGCAGTACGGGCCAATTGTCTGGCGGTCAGCCCATGCAATTGCCGATCAGGCCGGCACCTCCGCCAAGCAACCCGCTTCCGCAGCCGCCGAGGAAAATTTGAACTCAGAAAGTGGAAGAAAGCAGTGCCGCATCCCGATAGGACCGAATCTCAGGGTGTCGTGCAAACCGGAGCGCAAATGGAATCAGAAAGTCGCATTCTGAACACGCATGAATAAGCCGTGTTTCAGGCGTTGATCCTTGCGCTGGTGTCCTTGGGAGACTCCTTTTACCGCGATGCGTTGGATTAGGTTGTTGGGGTTTTAGCATTCATCGGCGCCCCGATCCATATGGATTCCCTTATTTTCCGTCTCCCCCATGGATATTCAGTTCATGTCCGATTCCGAGAATCAGCCCACGCATCTTCTGGTAGGAGGGAATGGAGTTTCGGGTGTTCGCGGGATAGGATGCAGGAGGCTTATCAGGGGGAAATCGTTTCCAAGCTTTTTCGAAATTGTTGCGAAGAAGGAAAGAAATCTGCAATATATCAATGATATGGTTTGATCCTCGATCTTTCCCCGCCCGCTGATGTTTCCATTGTTAGATCGTCCTCACGAACTCGTTCCCTATATCTCCAGCCAATGCCAAGAAGTGGTGCTCATCTTTGCTCGCATGTATCGGGGGCCGAAACGCAGGGTGCATCGGAAACCGACACCGCGGAAACAGGACCCTTCATACGTTCTCCAAGAGACCATGAAACGAACGACTCGTAAGAACGCGCGGAATCTGGCGTATCCGTGCCACCCCTCCTCGGCAAGCAGACCGAATGAGGGAATGATCCGTAAGAAAATTTCTGAGACGACACCACGACTGCACCTCATACGAGGGGGGATGAAAGTACTTGAGCTGATGGGTGCGCGCCGCTGTGTCACTACGCGCCCTCACGTCCCAATAGTTGGTCCAATCTGGGCACTGACAATTGCGACTTCACTCACACAAAATATGTCAGGAAGGAAATTGGCCGAATGAAAATGGTGCTTAGAATACATCCTTTCATATGGAGGATGTCAGACTTCAACCAGCCGCTACCCCGAATCTTTCAGAGGTTCTCCAGTAAACACTCGCAACGACATGTGCCTTAGAATCAGGTCATGCAAATCCCTTCCAATCATCACCTGACCTCACCCATTCACATGTCCATGTCATGAGCTGGAAGAACGATGACTTGCAGAGAGAGAAAAGGAAGAAACTGATAACGGCGTATCCAAAGCAAACACAACATCCAAAAAAGCGACCGCTACAAAATCCGTTCTTCACTCTTTTCTCACGTTATCTAACAAGGCAGATCACAAAAAAAAAGGGAACTCCTCTGTCCTTAGAACGCGCAGGTACGCACGCAGCGACCATCAAACCATCGCTCTGAGTTCGCCCCCGCCCTTGAGTCAACGACAGCAAGATGAAAGCAGCCCATGCCCCTTAATTTCAACGACGTGTGGAAACGGAGCGGGAGCGGCCGAAGAAGGGTCATGAGCACAGGTCCAGAAAACGCCACTCCGGATGTGGCGCCGCCGCATTTGACTCCTTCAGGAATTGCAAGCGAAGAAGCTCTGGTGCGGAAGAGGGGAAGCATTGATAGTATGTACATACATACAAACAATATAGAACCGGACGTGCCCAAAAGCACATTTGCTAAATGCTTTTCAACTTGCACTCTATCCTTGTCTCCACGCAATTAATCAAACTCGTAGTACACATGTCATGACAAGCAGAAAATCCAAGTCGCCGGGTGTACAGACGTGCGAACGGTCGAGCATAGGAAAAGTCGATGCATGAGTGGACGTTATGGTTGAACCCCAGATTCCGGAATTAAATGTTTTTTTTTCTTTTCTCAAGTGTGACCAGCCAAATAGGAAGGCTATTTCTCTCCTCCCTGTAGACGCCTTCCAACGCCCCGCTCGTTCGAACACCGGCATTATGCATAGCTCGCAGCCACTGAACAGCACGCACTCTTGTGGTAGATGCAATTGCCTTTGAATCCCTATCCTCTTTCTGTCTCTTAAGAGAAAAACTTGGCATACGCCGCCTTCTCCTTCTTCTTGAACTCTGCAAGCCTCTTCTTAGCGTTGGCCAGGCCACTGAGGACTGCCGAGTCATTGGGTGCAAGCTTCTGAGCCGCCTCGTAGTCCTGGATGGCCTCCTCCTCACTCTTGCGGGCCTCACGGGCCTGAGCCCTGCGGAAGTATGCCTTGGCCTTGTCGGCGTCGGCAGTACCCGGGACCTCGAGCGCATAAGTCGCGCTCTTGGCGGCGCCTTCATACTCCTTCAACTTGTTCTGCAGCAGCGCGCTGTTGTTGTGAAGCTGGAAGCGGAGCGAGGACAATTGCTGCTTCGTCTCCGGAGGATCCTTCTCCTCGACCTCGGGGTTCTCGTTCAGGTAGCGAAGACCCTTCTGGTATTTGGCGAGACCAAGGCGGAGATCACCACCCTTGAAAGCCTTGTTGCCCATGTCCTTCAGTTCGCCGGCAATCTTGGCAATCTGAGGCGCAGTGAGCTCCTCGGACTGATCCTCCGGGAAGTCTTCATAGGGGTCACCGGTGCTGTCAGGAGCGCGTTCGGTGCATTTTTCGTAGTCCTCACCAGTGAGCTCGCCGCAATCTGTCATGAAAAGGAAAAGTGAGCACCAGTCCACTACGTGCAGAGGCGAGGAAGCGGAAGCATACCAGCAATGATGGGAAAGTTCTCCGGGGAAGGCCTGTCCTGGGCAGCCGTAGGCAGGTTCTCGAGCTGACGCACAATCGACTTGCCGTTGATGACCTCGCCGAAAACAACGTGCTTGCCGTCCAGGTGGGGAGTGGGCACGGTAGTGACGAAGAATTGGGAGCCGTTGGTACCAGGGCCGGCGTTGGCCATGGACAGCAGGAAAGGCTTCTCATGCTTCAGCTCGAAGTTCTCATCCTCGAACTTCTCGCCGTAGATGCTCTCGCCGCCAGTGCCGTTGCCTGCGGTGAAATCACCACCCTGGATCATGAACTGCTTGATCACACGGTGGAAACCAGAGCCCTTGTAGTGCAGCGGCTTGCCCGACTTGCCCTCGCCCTTCTCGCCAGTGCAGAGGGCGCGGAAGTTCTCGGCGGTCTTGGGGACAACTATGACGGATGTTGGTTACGACGAGGCCAAGGTCAGGTGGGAGCGACGGGGTGCTTACTGTCATTGTACTGCGAAGGGTCAGCGCTGCCGGAAGCTGGACGCGCAAGGGTAGGGAGCACTTACAAGCTCGAAGGCAACGCGGCCGGCGGGCTGAGAGCCGACTTGGATGTCGAAGAAGACACGGGAGCGCTCTGTTTTTTGAAGGGTCAGCATGCGGCTAGGCAGCTTCGCGCGGGGTCGCACGCACTCTGCTCGGCCATTGTTGGGTTGTATGTGGTGACAGGAGGTGTAGACAGCGACAGGAACGAGGCAGGATGCAGGATGCGCGCTTGGAGAGGACGTGCGAGTTGCAGATGAAAGCACAGCCGAAAATATGCGCGCGAAGTCGTGGAGAGCAGGCTGGAGTCGCGGCTTCAGGAAGATTCCATTCGGCAATGACGCCCGAGCGCGGGCCGATTGCTGCCCTTCGCGCTCCTCAGGGCCCAACCGCCGCAAAACCACCACACGCACTCGCGATCTGCAGCAGGGAACATCCTCCAGCCTCAACTGTGCCTCAATCCCCAAAAGTCGTTGCCGCCGTCTCCGCGAACCGCACCACGCTCGAGTGCAAACGGCAACCGCGCCACTCACTCCGGACTCGGCGACGGCCATTCATTTTACTCGACTGCATCAAACTAACGTCTTGGCTCCATAGAGCTGGTCGTACTCGTAACAGAGGACTCCGCCCTTGATGTCCATCACGTCTCCGACCGTCACGTTCTCCGCGTTCACGCCCAACGTCATCGGGAAGTCCAAGGTGACGTTCCCTCCCTGCGCGTTGTCGTAGTCCATGAGATAGATGGGACCAGATATGTCCGTCAGTCGCGCATCAAGGTCCATCGCCTGCCATGACCACCACACGCGGTCGAGGTTGCCGTGGTGCATGTAGAAAATGGGCTGCACGGCTGTCAGCCTATCCTCCAGCCACACGTTCGGAGAGCACTCACATCCGAAGGGCTTGCGTATAGATCTCCCATCTGACCGTACGTCCCACCAACACCGTAGTGGCCACCTCCGTGAACGCCGGATGCATCAAACGATGGACCGCCTTCCACGACCCTGTCAAACCAGCCAAAGTCTGTCTGGGCCAGGGTCAATTGGGTCTGGTTCATCCCAAGGTACCGCCCGGCAAAATACGGACTGAAGTCGCGGGCGAGGCACCGCGGATTGCCGCTAAGATCGCTCGAAGGTCCCAAGTTGACTGTCAAGTTTGCAAACGGGCCATCTTGAATACAACCTCCGCCGGTGCGGCCTGGCACGGAAAGCGGATCAGACACGTTGACTGGAATCAGCAATCCATTGCCTCCAAAGCCATATACAGGATCAAAGACGGGCGAATTGAGGAAGTTTGTTTCCGACGTTACGTCCAAAGTCCAGTCCCAGTACGGCTGGGCTCCCGTGTAGCCGCACTCGTTGCGAAGACCCTGCTCGTATGTTGCGGTGAACCATCGGTGCCAAGCCAGAAAATGACCCTGTACGAAAGCTGTTAGCACACGATGGATTTATTGAAAGGCTCCGCAGACTGGCGATCCGGCTTGGACCTCGATGCGACTGCCGAGACATTCAACTCTGTTGAGATCTGCACAGATCGTCCGCTCCGACCTCGGCCTTGTGAGTAGTTTCAACGGTCAAACGGGACTGACTGACCGTGTAGTGAATATCAAAAGTCAATATTGATGTTAGCCTGCTGTATTGACGTCAGAGGCTGCAGGCATACCTGGTTGATATGTGTCGCTACGAGATCTTCAAAGCGAGAGCGGACGCCGGGCGCGTCTGCTTTTGGGGTGATTGGAGGCTTCGTCAAGAAGCATTGCACCGCGTCAATATACTCAAGCTTTTCGTCATTGCTAAGAGTGCGCCTGGAATTTCGGAAACGTTCAGCCTCCAACCTTGCAGGCGGCGAGGCGTCCCGCCTCATCCTGCCGGCAGTTCTGAAATAACTCACCACTCCTTACGGACGATGGGGCTTCCACAAGCAGCCGCATTTCGCGCCTGGGACGGAGCAGCGTCCGTTCCTGAAGCCAAGGCCAACACCCCTAAAAGAAGGAGAACGCCACACTTGCGAAGGCTTGCCATGAGTGGATTGACGAAGCAGCTTGCGAATCAACAGCTGCCGATCTTGCGATCTTCGGGCTAGGGACCTCGTCGCGGGTCACGCTCGCTCTCGGGAGGTTCGGCAGTTGATCAATGTGGCCAAAAGTTTATCAGAGGGGTCCTCTAACTGACGTGCAGGGCTGTTAAGACCGAGAGGGGGTTCGGTGTTACTTGGGCGGAGGAAGAGAGCATCACAGACTCTCTTTAATACACGCCCGAGATCTACGCATACGAGCAAGGAGGAATCGCCAGCTCCACTGCCGAGCCGTGCGAGCTCCTCAGCTGTGCCGCACACAAATCCTCATGCACCCGTCCAGACTTCGGGATGCTGGACGACAGCTCAAGCGAGCCGAAGGCGTCCGATGGCGGCTGACAGAGATTCCGCGCAAGTCTGGTCAGTGCGCCGCCCGGGTGGCGCCACGATGCGGCGCCTTCACAAAAAGCTTCACGAGTCTCGCACTCTCGGTCGCGCAGAAAGGGCTGCGAGCGGTCGTCCCGATGGCTGCACCATGAAACATTAGCTGCGCGGGTCGGCCAGACTGTACGACGTCCAGGCATGCGCCTATCAACCGGGCGCGGCTAAAGGTGGTGCAGCCTCTCCGCTGACGGACAGCGACGCAGCGGGCTAGTTGCCAAATGGGCGCCACATGCCCGCCAGTACTGACCCACTGCGGAGCGAGGGCGACCACGATCGGGCTGGGAAGCTGAAGCCAGACGGCAGCTCCGCCGACTCAGCATGCCTGGAGTCCTGGACAGTGCCGAGCCATTTGTCTCGAGCGGGACGACAGACAACGGCTGCGAAGGGCAGTGACTGGCACTCCACATTGGCCTGCATCATGCGTCTCCGTGCACCACGACCAGGGGGCAAATTGCGAACACGCCCGCGGCCAATCGCTCCTCGCTGCTTCGTCGGCGATCTCCAAATGATGGGGTCAGACCGGCCAGCCTGCGCCCCGGCTGCTGCCGTCTCCCGGACAAGGCGCACGCGGACAGCCTGGTTATGTATGCCACGAGCTTCCCTCTCCAGCGTCGAAGATAGATGGGCTTCCCGCCCATGCATTCCGCTCCCGCTGTTCGACGCCCGCCGCTACGGCCAGAATAATTCATCTCTCTCCCCCGCGTCTTGTTCCTTATCCCCAGAGCCCGCATTCGATCCTCTCATGACTCCGGTCAATCCACTCGCCGATAGTGCTCGCTCAGCTTCATCGTCCCGCCCACCATGGCGCCGAACGACTTTGGCCCAACCATCGAGGTGACGGCCTTTACCCTCGTCACTGTCTCCACCGCCATTGTTACTCTGAGGTATGTCCCTCTGTGAAGCGTTGATGTTTCGGTGCGGAATCTAATTGAACCCCTAGGTTGTACTGCAATGTTCATCTGTTGAAGAGGGCTGGTCTCTCCGATGTCTTCATGAGTTTTGCAGTGGTGCGTCACCCGACGATCCCTCCACATTCCGAGGACCTTGTCTTACAAAGTCGCGTAGATCTTGACTTGGGCCGTGGCCGTCATCAACCATTTTCAAGTCAAGTATGGCTCAGGCAAACACTCCTCTACCTTGTCATCGGTATGAAGTCTTCGCGAAGCACCATTAGATATAGCTGCTAATGGCGCGCAGTCGAAAACGTCTCTTGAAGGCACTCTGAAGTCATGTAATTAACAAGATACCCTTGGGTCTTTTTTCCCTTCTCGTACTAATCATCACTAGGGTACTCCTTCCAAATCGCCTATCTCGTCGATCTCCTCTTCGTAAAGCTCTCGATACTGTGTTTCTACTGCACCATCTGCGACCAGAGATGGTTCCGTACCGTCATTTACGCCATGATGGGTATAGTCGGGAGCTTTACGACTGCCATGATCTTCGTCAACGCCTTCGAATGCCCCAAGCCCTCGGACGCCTTTACGGTTGAGATCATCATGGCCGGCCTGGGATCCTGCAGGGACCTGCATTCAATGTATTTTGCGCAAGCCGGCTTCAACATCGCAAGCGACATGGTCATTATGCTGATCCCGGTTCCTCTACTCGCACGTCTTCAGATGCCCAGGTCGAGGCGACTTGCGCTGTTTGGCATCTTCAGTGTCGGCTTCGTTGCGGTACTGGCATCCATACTACGGGTCTGGACATTATCAATCTGGGCCAAATCATCCGACGTTCCGTATTCCGGTGGGCCGATTCTCATATGGAGCCAGATCGAATTGAATGCAGCAATCGTCTCGGCCTCGTTTCCCGCAATGAAGGCCCTCTTCGCACACACCCTCTCCGACAACAGCTCGACGCGAAAGTCTTCCAATGGCGCGCGCTATTTCAAATACAGCTACGGCGCGAATTCTGCGGACAAATCCAAGGGAGTGAATGCAAAGGACAGCATCATGAGCTTGAAGACGCTGTCGTTCGCCAAGAGTGGATCAGGCGAGACTCGAGCGTCAAAAACATTGATCGGGAGCCATCACGGGACGCGGAGCCTTGAAACCGGACATAGCGACGAAGAAATGTTCTTCGACGAGCCGGCCGGCCAAGATACCGTTGTCGAGAGCGGCAAGAACTCGTCCGACGTGCACAGAGAACGGGCTACTGGAATAGAAGCGCCCCCACCAACGTTCGCCACACACCCGGGAATCATGAAAAGCCTGACGGTGGAGCAGACGAGCGAAGACGCGACGGGGCGCCCTCAATATTACAGATCCCACTATCTGCGCTAACACTGCACATTCATGAGAGATGACTACCCTTCACGGCGGACAGGTTAGCTTGGTTTGGGTTGGTTTATGGCATTGTGCATGGGTTTGGCGAACAGTGGCTATACCAACATTCTTACGGCGGGTTATCTCCTTCACAAAAAGCTCTCGGCCGGGTAGGGCAAAGGCCCGGGAACAGTCAATCGCTATTTCCTTTTCCTTTCGAGATACCAAACATACGTACGCATTCCACAATACCAGAGCGGATATAGCTTTAGCCTCTCGGAAAAGGCTCCTCTATCTCGACTGCCAACAGTCCGTCCCGGACTACAGCCGGTGCTCAGGTCCGCTGTAACAGATGCCGAAATCCAGCCCACTCCATCGGGAAACCAAGAAGAAGAACATGGCCCCCCTGGTCCGAAGAAGCGGGGCTGGTTGATTGCCACCTACCTAACTCAGCTACCTAGCCAGCCCCTGCAGCGGCCGCCAATGCAGGTGATGTGACGGACGACCGTTTCGTTGTAGGTAGGTAGCTGTGTTTTGACATGGACCCAAGGCAAGTCCCTTCCCTATCTCCCGTCTCCACTTTTTACACACGACGAAAGACCGGG